ATTTGCGCAAGCCGATCCTGGAAGTCCGCGAAGTTTTCACCATCGCGCTGTCCCCAAGGTAATACCTCACGTTCACGAACCGGGGCATCCGCGCCTCCATGGCCGAGTGCCAGCCCACCAGTCAACACCCTGTTCACCGTCACCGGTGATTGAGGGCCCATGTCCTGAAATTGGACTCGCGCCTTCCCTTTATCCTTTGATATAGCGGGTGCCGCTATCTCTGATGGAGTGGAAGCCCTCTCAGATCCCAGAGGAACCATTTCCGGCGACGGAACTACTAGCTTTAGTCCATCACGGACCTTATGGCGAAGAGACTTACGGTCCTCATTTAATTCCAAGAACACATTCTTCAGCCCTTTCTGCTGCTTCCGTACGTGGTCGATATTATCGTCCACGGCCTGAATCTCCGCCCACACGGTCTCAAACCGTGTATCGAATTCATTCAAAATCTCGTCGACCAATGCGACTACGTTTGGTTTCAAACGTTGCTCGTCTTCGAGCGATAAATTTATTATATGACCTACCTTCGACGGGCCAGGAGCTTGCACTGACTCGTTAGAGTCGGTGATGTCAGCGGGCAACATAAGACTCTGCTCGACAGCCATGGAGTCAGGATCCGTTTCCAGATCCTGACGCGGCGCGGTATCGAGCAAGCCCGAGGGTTGCGGGTCGGTGGGATTATGGGATGAGTGTTGACGAGCATTGGAACTCGACTCGCCCGCCACGTCATTCCCATTCCCCTCTGTTTCCCTTTCCGGCTCAACGTCAGGTCCTCGGTCGTGTGAAGCGTTGTCCGCGGGAGCAGCTCCCGCAGGCAGCTTCTTCTTTCGGCTATTCTTCTGGCTGGGGGCCATTGGTTTTATATTAAAATTGAATCACGTACCGTTTGTTTGGATGTTCAAAAAATGTAAGAGGTCGGGGTGTTTATCTTGAGGTCCTTCGTAAGAGAACAGAACCCGTAAGCCTGCAGAGGCTACGGAAAGTGATTCACTAAGCGTAAAGGTGTACAAGATAAAGCTAACTACTCCGAACGCTCGATGGTCCAACACCAGCCCCCGCGCATCAGCCACAACTATACAGTATTACGTCAGACAAGATAGATGGATGCGCTTTCCAGCACACCCATCTTATCTTATCCCGGGAACGCCCGTCGGTACCGCTAAGGTATAAGGCTGTCGCCTTACATGCTCCGCGCGCTCTATCCACAGAAATGGCTGCCTTATCATTATATGGGGGGTTTGGTGTGGGACACGTGGGATGTGGAGAGGGTTTTGAGGGGGTTAGTCACAAGGCAACAGGAGATGAGGGAGAAGGCGGGTATGGTTGGATCGTCGAGCACGGAAGGGGTTGAGGTGGAGAAGGATTTAGGTGCGACTAGATCTTTGGGCATGGATAGGCAGCGGAGGAACGGGGAAAGAGACAAGACGGGGGAGATGAAAGTGGTGAAGACAAATGAAGAGAGCGAGATGTCGTTGTTGGAGACGCTCCTGCCGGACATGATGGTCCTCCTGAGCGAGAAAGACGAGTTGGTGCCGAATGAGCAGGGGCGGAAGATATGGGAGGATAGTGCGCCATTCCGGAGGAGTTCGAGCCTGAGTGGTCTTTCGGGTTCACGTTCGAGCTCTGACTCTGATCGCGTAACGGGTACAAAGGGCGGAGTCCATGGTAGGTTTGGAGTGGATGATGCGGATGTGGACGGGGATGGTGGACAAGGCAGACTCGTAGTAATCGAGAAAGCGCTACACGAGGATGCGTGGAAATATAGACGGTGGGGCATCGAGATGAGGAGGTATATACGGGATGTAGAGCGGAAGGCTGCGACTCGGAGGCACTGGCAGGGTATGAGGGGACGGTTAACAATTTAGCGTGGAGCGCTAGCTTGTACCAGCCAAGTGCTAGCTTGCGTTAGCTTTTGGCCGGACAAGCTAAATTGTCCAAGCTAGCTTGCACGCTAACTAACAGAAATAAGTGCGTAGCGTGTGTAGCTTGGACAATTTAGCGTGCGATCGCGTGTACGCTGCCAATCAGTTCTTAAGCATATTGTATATCTAGCGTCTCTGTGCCCTGAACAACCCGTCACTTTGACATCCTTATATCTGGGACAAGCTTCGCTATTCTCACGGATCAAGAGCGATAATTAGATAGTACTAGAAAACAGACTTCATGTTATAGAACGCGATTAGACCTTATATGTTTCAGGTTTACTTGGAACTCGTTGGCGGAAGATCTGTCCGATCCACCAATGAGCTTTCGCAAAAAGTTCCAAGTTTTTACTAACATATAAGCCCTATTGGCCGGGCAGTATTACTGCAAGCCGTCGTCGCTGTGACGGAGATCTGAACAGTCAAGATGAAGAACAGAAATATACAGTAACAGAGCCGCAGGTGGTGATGAGCAACCATATGACCTAACCGATGAGAAGAGGCCAGCTAGAGAGCAGATGATGGCGACAGAGAGGTCAAGCTAGACGCAAGCTAGCTCAGCCAAACCATACACGCTAAGAACCATTAAGTCAGCCGTAGTGTGGCGCACAAGCTAAGCTACAAGTTAGCGCCACACGCTAATCTGCGCTGGCTCGTATGAGGGCAGAGCGAGATACTAGTAGCAAGCAGAAACTCGAAGGCCTTGGGTCATGATAAGTGCGTGTTTTACCATTCATTCTCTCGTCCCTTTGTTTCTATCCTATTCTATCTGCGGTGAAGCTGAACCTGATTTTAACGTCCGTCGCCAACAGTTAAAGCCCGTTCATGCTGGCTCTTGCCCCTTTGTTATCGTGTTTCGCACATACACCGTTCACATCGTATCCATTGTTCCTTCCTTCCGGCATCAATGGGGTAGTGTTAACCTGGGTCGTTGCCATGATCCAAGGAGCTATGTGTTTCGACCCGCCGGGGGTTCAATTCTCCCTTGATGCATCGCTGATGTCTCGTTACATTTTTTTCTTCGTGTCTAGTCAGACTGGATGTCGATTGGGTGTCGTGTTTACCATCCTCTGTGTCACAGGATCTTAGCCGAGTAGGTTAACTCACGAATCACGGTCACCTCGTGTCGTGGTTTTTTTGTTCTTCACCGGTAAATGCCCTCCTTCGTGCGTCCTTTGTTCTTATTCACCCGCCTCGCCTTTCCTTTTGTTTCCAACTGAGAGCGACGCCCCAGGGCTATCCGCCTCCGCATACATACACCAGATATGTTGGAATCGCCACATCCTATTGCTCGAGACTTTTCACGTCTAATGCACAAAGGTATGGTATCAGTGGGGTAGTGGTAACCTGGGTTGTCGCCATAGTTCCCATGTGCACATTGTCTCGACCCGCCCAGGGTTCGAGTCCCTCTTGATGTACTCACACGTCTTCCATTGTTTCTTTTTCCCGTCTTTCCTAGTTATTTCTTCTCTGACATTTTATGATCACTCGGGAGAATCAATATCGTCGAAAACACGGCGCGATTTGTGGGCAAGGATACGAGATAGACATGGTCTAAGCACACGCGTTCTTCGGCTCTCGCTTGATGCATATTGTACCTTTTTTTTTCTCGTCTGCATCTGCATCTCTTGCCGTCCGCCAGAGCATCGAATGTCGACGATAATTTGTGCCTCTGGTCAGTTTCACGCCTGAATTGACCTCTTCAGACTGGAATCACCTTAATGGTGATTATGACTACGTAGAGCTCACGCAAGCCGCACAGTTTGGCTCATGCGTGGGGAGTGATGTCTTCATCGCTCGAGTAGGTGCTTGAGAACACGGTCGACTAACTTGCGTTCGTGCGACAAAAAAATTAGATAAGTTGATTGACCTCATTTGCCGCTAGGAAGTGAAGCATATTGAGATAAATAAAAATTGCACGAGCCTGAGGAGGGGCAGAACACCAACGGGAGAGCTAAAATTATGATACAGCGGACGGAAGAAATATTAGTGCGTAAGTCAAGGCTTGTACGATGGAAGGTTCACCGCTTGTGGACGCGAATGAAGGACGCGGCTGCGCGATTATGCGCTTTTTCTCCGCGAAGTTCCTACTGTGCGCGTCGGCTTTGAAGATCCTGGAGTCTATCATAGGCCAACTCAGATATTTCTCGAATAAATTCAAGTTTATTACTCTGGTACGCTGCTTGCATCGATAAGTCTGCGTTCTCCGGTGTTCTTGGGTCAGGCAAACAAAATAGAATTGAAATGCACTTGAAATGAGACTTTACAGTATTATGCGACGTATCAATATCGTACAAATACGCTAACGGAAGACAGAAGAGAGTAGCGATGGATCCCGAGTACAGCGGAGCACTTTTAGTTTCGGCACAACAATTGTAAGAACGAAATAGCCACGTCTTCAGACATACGAAAACCCGAAATGACTACGTCACGAGCGACCAACCTTGAAAATGCGCCTCATAACCTCGCAGACCGTCCTTCTCCGGCTTTTGCCGGAAAGGGGAAGAGGTGGATGGGGCGTAAGGGGCGCAGGAGGCGATGGACGATAGGGAAGAGGCGTTTGTGTAGACACTTTCCCCGGTTCCACCTTTGTCGGTCCCTTCTTTGGTGGTGGTCCCACGACAGGTCGAGTTGGACGGCCCATAGCGGTGCGAGAGCAGAGTTTGGTCTTGAAGGGTTTGGCTATGAAGAGTTGTATGCTGTGGGTGCGACGTCTGACAAATGACGTGCGGGTTGTTGAGGTGAAAGGAATGGCAGGGGACATCCTGTCCAGGGGCCCTTAGGCCCTCGTTCTTCTTAGCCATGATGTGGACCTATTGCGAGAATATAAGCCTCCCAAATGCCAGAAAAAGCTAAGACAAGGGAATAGAACGGACGACTACGGTTTCTAGAGGGATGCTGGTGTGTGACGGAGATATGTAGCCTGAGGGAGGCGAGATGCGCGGTCATGTTAATGTACACGAAATATATATGACCAAGAGACGAAGTTATTCGACGTACTTGTCCACGAGACAAGCTTCATGGTGCGTAATAAACGGGCTTGGAAGGCCAGCTGTATACCAAAACTAGGGTTAATTGAAAACGCATTGAATATTAGTTGAATGATAAAAAATACACACCCCGGACGCGACCAGAGGGAAAGTGAACCGGGGCTATACGTTCTGCATCTGAAGTCTCAGGTCTTATAACTAAGTTGCTCGAGGCAGTGGCTTATCGACATGCAGGTGATTTCTAATCAGGCTGTACACCAACGAGGCTCACGCAAGGCTCCAGAAGATGCAGATGCGATACAGCTCTCGGAGATACAGAGAATGACTTTCACTGTCACTTTCGTACCCATGGCCCGTCGCATGCCCCTTGAGGATCACAGACGACCGCGAGGCGGCGCCACACTGAAGAGAGTTTTCGCCTTGTATTCAGTGCCAGGCCGGGCTAGATACGCAAAAAATAGTCCCAGTCCGTTGTCGATATCGGGCCATGCCCAACGATAATTGAACCTGTTTTCGTAGTGAGCTACCGGTGCAGACTGAAATGTGGCACCAAGGACAGGCCTCGTCCAACCCGGGTTGCTCGGTGTGATGCAAATGTGATACCAGTCAGTTGACCCCATAAGCGCCATGGAAATCCGTGGAGAGAGTTCGGATGGCTATCTAAACGGCAGTAATCCGATTGTAATCTGATATCACAGCCTCGGAGTCCGGATAGGCCTGTCGGAGAGGTGTAATCGTCGTGCCACAAGGAAAGAGGTCGACGTAACCTCCGTGAGACGCTCAGCAGACACAATCACCCCCTTGCTCGTGCACTCAGACGGATGCTCCTTAAACAAAGCCGTAGCCCGAGGCATAGAGTGACCAGATATGCACAATACCTATGCCGACCACACGGAGAAAGCGCGTTCTGTTGTTTTTGCACGACGAGTCTGCCTTTGGGAGACTAGGCCACAGTATGTAGTATGGCAGCATACCTATCATTTCACGATCAAGAAACAGTCGTTTCCCTGGCGGAATGAATACAGTGTATTTGCGCAGGCCCGAGGAATCGTGATGGAATGCCACGGTTAGAAAGTTGAAACACCGGTCGACCCAGTGAGGACCTGAAAATGACACGGGCTGTACTGCAGGGCGGTAAATACGTCCACAATACATCCAATGCCTGTATCTGCATTCATACGAAGAAGCATGATGCATTTCCAATGCACAGGAGTTTTCTCATCATAAACGACTCTCTACGCCTGACCGACGTTACTGTAAGCTTGCTGCTATAAACCACTTTCACCACCTGTTTTCGCCCAGAAATGACACTTCGTAAACCCAATGCTATAGTTTGCTTACATTTTTACCAAGTAATCCAATACATCTCGTCGGACAATTGCCCTGGATAAGCGCTACTGAAAGAGGCGTCAGTGGGCGCAAGCCTATGCCTGAGGAACGACTTCGACTGCGTCCATGATCTTTATCCTATTCACGTTGTTCCTTCTGAGAATCGAGCATTGAGTCTAGAAGATTCTCCGAGGTGCGATGTTTCTTGAAACTACTGATCAGATCCCTGACAGAGGGGCGATACGCACCAGAATACTTCAGTACTTGACATAACGCACAGGTGGTGTGAGATCCTCAGAGTCCCATGAATCGTGCATACCTACGCCACACTGGCCCGCGACATGAATTTTCCTCGCTGTATTTCCGAAAAAGCGCACTACCAGGCGTAAGGTCAGTGAGCGAGAGCTAATTGGCATGAGATGACTGATACTTATTCGGACTGTACTAGTAAGTATTTGATCTTCAAGACCGCCGCAAATTGGCCGCAAAGTTCCTTACACTTTGTATGAAAGTCTGTCTCTCCACTCTGAGAATCAGTCCCACAGTCCAAAAGTAAGGCATCAGGCTCCAATGAAGATCGGCATCATCTCGATTTCCATCGATTAGCTCGGAAGAGACGGGGCCGGCATTTGTCTTCTGATTCGCGGTTTTCCAAACTACGGGCGGAGTTTCTGTTTCCAGCAGTGCTTTCACAACTCTAGACAGGGTACAAAATCTTCTCAGTGAAATCTATCTTTGTTTGGTCCATCCTCGTTTCTGTTTGGTGCAGGCGAAAGATCTTGCCCCCTGTCTAGAGTTGTGAAAGCAGCTGTCAAACACAGCAAAAAGTGCGCGCCCCTCTCCTCCCTCCCGCCGTTTCGGTTTTGACAATGAAGTAGCCGGATATTGCCGTCAACAAGCTCGCCTAGCTCAATCGGATAGAGCGTCAGACTCTTACTAAGTCTTGCAAAGGCGGGTTATTGGGCTAGTGTAAATCCCCGCAATCGTGCTTTTTTTTCGTTCCGCTCATACCATCACGCTCAAACACCAAAAGTTCATCTGGTTTGTATCGCGAACTAGGTCCAAACTCAATATTCACTGGTAGCTACCGTATCAACTCCGCACCCTACGTTATTGGCCATTTTGATGTCCTCCCAATCTCCGCAAATAAAGAGAAGGTAAGTTGGTAGTCATGGCGAAACTCGTGGTTACGAACCACCAACGTTAACGCATCATGCCGTGGGTGAAAAACTTCACTTTCACTTCCGATGACTGAAAAACGGTCGAGACTTCACAAAAATCTGGCCCTGTGATCTCAACGAAGGCATTGAATTGGTGGCTCTTCTGTTTCTCCCTCGCTTCTTACGCTGATGTGTGCCTTGTCGTCTTGAAACTTTATTCCTTTGTAAGTGGACGACGAACCATACAAAAGTTGGGCTTTCCGGAGGGCTGGGTATTCTCTCTCTTTCCCCCGCGCTCGTCTTTTTCTGGTCCTTCTTTTGGCTCTGAGGCTACAACTGAGAGTCTGGACTGCATTGACTCTTCTCTCAGGACACTTACCTGTCGTCTTCGCTCGATACCTGCCATTGTTCCTATCTTTGCTCAACCTTACTAGCCATGCGTCTCCGCTCCATCTTGAGCTGTACCCTTTCTCTGTCCCTCACCATCCTCCCTTTCGTGACCTTCGCATCCTCAAACATCGGTGACCGAGATGTTGGAAACTCGAATGGCGTGCAGAGCCGCGCAGAACATCAGAGAGTAGCGATATGCAGACGGGATCCGACGTCTCTTGAGGATCATGAGTTGGCAAAGAGGGATACAGTGGATGGCTCAGGAAGTCCGGACGTTACGGTGCGTGGAGCGCGCCTCTTTCTTTGTTCTGGGTTGAGTCGGGTGCCCGGTGCTGGCAAAAGTGTGGAATTTTTGATTTTTTGGGAATTATCTTACTAGCTTCCATCGGTCGGAGCGTCGCTCGGGAATATTACTACGAAGTTAGGGAATATCAACTTGACGTGAGATCTTGTTATCATTCTGTCAGCGTCTGGTTTTTATTTCAACTAATCTGGTGTCCATAGCGTCACGAACGTCACCATCTCCGTCGGAGACATCGAGTATGCACCACTTTACCCTTCGCCATCGTCCTGAAATGAACTGACATGGAGATGCTTATAGCATTTCCAATATCTCAATCGGAAACATCACAGTGATCGTCTCCGTCCCTCTTCCTGGAGCCAGTCCAGTTAACGCCTTCAGTGCATTCGTAAGCTCTAGCCATCTCACTCTTTACCTGCCCACACTATCCTATCCACCCGAAAGAAATTAAAATAACACGAAAACATGCATTCGTTGTCCACAGACCTCCGGAACGTCCATATCCTCCTCCACCGCTTCCCCTACTTCCACAGTCAGCTCCACCTCCGTCACTCAGACTGCGACCACGTCCACGTCCACCGGTACTACCGACACGGACCTCGCGCGCCGCCAAGCAAGCGATTCCTCCTCTATCGTCACCGTAACGCCGTCGTCTTCGGCAACGAGCACGGCCACAAGCACGAGCGTGGGCGTGAGCGCGACTGTGAGCGGAAGTCCGATCGACTTAGGAGTAGGGAATGTGTATACGGAGATTGGGAATATCAGTATTGAAGTTGGGCATGTTAACGTGTCGATCGGGAATGGTGCGTTCCCGTTTCTTGAGTATCTCTTTCTATGTGGCCTGTTCGTTCCGTTCCATCCTCCGTGCGAGTGATGTGTGCGTAAAGCAATGAGCTAATGGGTGTGTTCTTACTTTTCTGGTGGGATCATTCCGCGGCAAACGAATAGTCAATATCAGTAACGTGACGGTCGGTAAGTACTCATGTCGACTTCCTGTGATTATTGAAAACGTAGTTCATCTGACGGTTGTACTGGTATCTTCGTATAGGCAACATCTTTGTCCTCGTCCAAATCGGTCAACCCGACGTACGTCATCCTCTCGTTCTCACCTACTGCAAGCATCCTTATCAGAACTCTGTTTACCTCCTTACAGTTGACTGGACTCCTCTCCAACGCAACATCCAGCCTCGCTGGCATCGGCGCCTAAGGTCCTACTTCACCCTCAATTGGGTGCTGGAAGCATCGCTCAGCACACCCCAGTGGAATTGTGGCCTGCAGCGCTGCGCTCGCCGAAAGACCTGAACCTCAGGCCCCCCAACACAAAATATTTCGGGATGTATACCGCGACTTCTTCCCGCGAACGATCAAGATAGGGACTCTAGCCATGATTCAGACAGACATACTATTCGAGTAGTACACGACACTCTTCATGGTCCCATACACGGTGGATCAGGGATTTGGGCGCTGGTAGTACGGAGGGCCATCGCCATGGACATTGTATGGCGCAGATATACGTATAGCATACATTTACCGGCAGATACTCTCATGAGACTTAACGCTACGAACGATGGATGGCGCAGTGTCATTGACATATAGCATGATCCAAGTACTTATACCCAACATCACATTACTAGTAATACTCCATCTCCGGATCTACATATATAGATTCTCTGACATTGAGACAGTTGCGTCCAGCGATGGCTGAAGCTAAGTCCCAACATCGCGTTCCTTCACTTCCACCGCCATAATGCTGTAATGGCTAGAGAAAATTGTCGCCAGAGAGCCTAAGTAGGTCGAACATTTCTGCATACAAGTGACTCTCGCCCTAACTACGCAAAGTTTCCACGTCCTTCGTCACAACCCTAGTAACACGTCCGAAGTTCAAAGCCTTCTTGACTCTCTTCTCGTTACTCGCACGCGTTACCCTACGATCTCCATACTGGTTCCCGGACAATACCACACAAACGGTACCAATGGGAATGTGTAGCTCCCCTCGCTCCCTAATCACTTGATTGAGCTTGTTCGGTATGTCAGCACCAGCAGCAAAACCCATACATACGCGTGGATGCGCCAGCTTGCATGCGGCCATATCCTCTGGATCGGCGAGATCGCTGAGAGTAAAGCTGTAATCACTGAGATCTGGATCGATTAAATGAAAATCTCGGAGACGTGGCAGGCGAATTCGTGACCGAACCGTAAGTTCAGCATCGAAGTCACCATAGGCATTCTCGTCGAGAGGTAAGGGGCGAGGATGACGATGCGACTTCAATAATGCATCGAGTACGGTCGATGCGATTTCACTTCCACAGGCTAGTGTGGTTAAACCATGCATGCGTTCTAAGAGCTTATCAGCCTCAGGTACGCTCCAAGCCAACTCTGGACGTTCATGCCCGTCAATCGTGAATGGATATTCCCCGACGACAGCCAACCTCGCAATTGCTGCCCAGTTTATTGGCAAAATATCGAGAAGGCGGGTGCATACAGGTGGAATGCAACGATTGCTTGTTGTCCCAAGTGGTAGATACAGCCGAATGTCAGGTAAATGGTGACATGCGCAGGTGGGTCCAGAAGGAGCAACTGAACGTTGAAACCTGAAGAAGTCTGAACCAAGACGGATGAAGAGTGTTCCCGGACCAGCACGAACAGGTTTGTACGAATTGTAGTCTTCGTAGGGAATGACATGCCTGATGAGAAGCTCATTGAATGTGTGCGAGTGCGGATCCTGAGTGAGGGATTCCACCTGGGGTGAAGTAGATGTGGCCTGAGGAAAACACAATTCCTGCACAAGATGTAGAACACGGTCGTACGCCAGCTCTGGTTTACCAGGCAAAAGACTCGAAGCGTCGATATGCAGCACCCTCAAGGCATTACTGACTGTCAGATGGCTCTCGAAGTGAAAGAACACGTTCAATGTCGAGCAGATCACTTTGAGACTTTGCAGAGAGTGCAGCGTTACTCTGTGTTTTGGTTTGTCTCCTCTGTTCCTGGGAGTGGCACCGCCTGGAAGCTCGAGCGACAGACAGTTGGCGAGCTCCAGCTGTTCGAGTGAGTGCGATATAGACCCAAGCGTCATCAAGAGTTGCTCAACAGATGGAGAGGCGCGGGACTCAACTGCCGCCCGCGTCTCGCCTGTACGAGTAGGTGTAAACCCGATGTACAACGATGTGATCGATGAGGCGGTAAAGACGGGAGAATTCCATGGGGGGGTGGTGTTCAAGAGCGAAACTGAAGAAAGACTCGGTAAGGAGCCTGAGTGACCACCAAGTAATGAGTCGGTGAATGGCATACTGGTGAAACCCATTTGTTCCGTCGGAGCTGCATGAAAGGTAAGACGTTCGAGCGCGGGTTGGGGTTTCCCGAGCAGTTGTGAGACGGCATTGCCGCTGAACGGATATACATAGTTGACGATTTCTATACCTCGAACCGCAAGCGCGTCTCCGGCATGCGCCTGAGGGAGCTCGGATGCATGAAAGCGACGATGGTGCATATGATCATGATGGAAAGAAAGAGCTGAACCTTTCGATCGCAGTATCATCTCAGATGTCCATTGTTCCCCTAGGAGGTCTGGGTCAATGTGCGTCCAAAGGGCTCCGTGGCCGAGAGCCACTTGTCGCCATTTACGATCAAACTGCGTGGCGTAAATCCATCCGAGATGCAGCATGCTCGCCTTCAGAAGTTTCAGTTTTAGGAAATTCGTCGACCCTGGGTTATTTCTGTGCTGCACTTCGAGTTCGCGTATATCCTTTGCTGTCATTCGATGTGGAGGTGATACGTCGCGAAGGAGGTTCAGTATGGTGCCGATGATTTCAGGCGGAATCTTGTGTTTGAAAATCCACACGCTGCACAGCGTGATGTTCAAAGAAGTGTATGATTCGAGAGACAGAAAAAGAAAACAGTGCATGAAAAAAAGAACATGTTTAGCATGATGGTGAACTAGTGCATGATGCAAGATGGATTCACTACCACTACTCACGATTTTTCCGTGGGCATAGAATGAAATGGGTTGCACGCATCACCAGAGGGAATGACCGTCGATGACCTCCAGCCACGAGGCATAGCGATATGTCGGAGAAAAGGTACGGTGGCCCGGCGGGGACGATAAGGTGGATGCGGTACGGGCTATGGAATACTAGGGGATCTTCCAGCAAGAGGTAGGGGAAAGAGCATCGAGATCAGACAGGGAATTGCAGGCGTTCTCGACTTAAATACAGAACGAAACAAAGCAACGACTCAGCCTGAGAGCTGGTGCAATGGTGCAGTTGACTCCCAAGGTTTTGGAGAACAAAGGCTACAAGTAAAATCATCGACTCCGATTGTTTACTTCAGCGTCTTAGAGAGAACAAAAGGGTGTTGATCATTGTTCTCCTCGATAAGCTCCACCAAAGACAGGATAGAGGATGCTCAACCTGAAGTGATGGTTATGGTCGAAGACGAAGTTGGCCGCCGGGAGCAACGGAGGGTTGCCAATTGCCGGCCGGGCCGTCCTCCTCTGCGCCACCGTGTGGCGTCTTGGTCATTCTCAGCACTACAAGGTAGCAAGCACTCCGCCTTTATTCGAAACGTGAGGGTATCAGATAACATTGCTGTGGTCTATCGTACATGCATTCATGTCCAGTAACCGGAGCATCCCACAGTCCGCAAACATCATACACTCAGACACTGGTAAACCTCGCTTGCAATTTCATGCCACGAATTCGCCCTTGATGATATCAGCAGCTACGGGCACAGGTATGAGTGGATACTGCACAAAAAATCCAAAATTTGATATACACAAACCTTGTTCTGCGATGGCGTACAACACCGCTGCACACACAGAGAGGATATCAGTTCACGATCAATGGTGTGGGATGGCGGGTGGATGGACACGCAGACTTACATTGAACATGAGCCGCAAACAACAGTGGCACAATTGACATGTCCACCACACGTAGGTTCGACGTTCCGTATACCTATAATCATAGTTAGCTCCAGCCAACTATAGTTCCGACGTGAAAGGAAAAGGATCGTACCTTCAGTTGAGGATCGACTACGCCACCTTTCTCTCTAGGAAGCATAGACGCCGTACCCGCAGTATCTGGACTTGAATGAGATATCTTGCATAGGATAGGGATACCATGCAGGGAAGTATAAGGAGCTCACGGAATGTAGTCGACATGTAGCTCTTGACGTAATCTATGAGGCAGGGAAGGACGTCTTTATGATTATGCACTAGGAGAGACAAGGTGTCTAGGTACGTACCACCAATCTGTGCATCCGTTTGTACATCCGGGCCAGGGTTGACCTCTCGGACTGTGTAGACTAATTATTATTCCTCTTCGTCTGGTACAAGGACGGACTGCTTACCGACAAGCTCTTTCCAAGGCGATATGTGGCGCAAAGTACGGACGAACTTGACTGTTTCGATAAACGTCTGGAGGTCTGTGTGTAGAATTCAGGCCACACAGGAGAGGATACGGGATAATTGACTGGAGCAAAAGAGTGGCAGATATAAAGAGGAAGATCGCTGCACTCACCAATGTCCTCCTCGAATGCATGAGGGTCGATCACGGGACTAGCAAACGGATCCGTGGACGCTATATGCTGTATAGAATCCAGAGTAACCGAGACCACGACCAACCACGACGATAATATCAGTACTGCAAGCATAAGAAGATCAAGTGCAGGGTGAATGGGTACGAGGTAACATACAATACTTCCCCGACTCCACTGATGATGCATACAAGAGTTATACGAGAAATACTTCTTGCCTGGCTCCGGTGGATCTTCATGAGAACAGTTAGTACCTGCCAACATACTCGAAGTTAACCCAGAACGAACTTGGAAAACTTCTAAACATGGCCGCGTGCATCATCTCGCACCCAGGCCCCAGCCTTTCTGGCCCCAATCTCTCCTTCATGATTTCAAACTGCGCCTTCAAGCCCTCCGTCAGCCTACTCTTTTCCCCTGAACGAGAAGGGGTCGCTGTGAACTCGTTGACACGTGAGATCTGGGCCTCGTGTATCTCTCTCGCACGGGGAGAGAGCCAGGTGAGAGGAGCAAAGGTGTAGCCAAGGGAGCCGTAGGTGAAGAGACCCTGGCCTTGAGAGCTGTCGATGACACGATGCTCATGAATGCGGGTTTCAGAACATAAACGTGAAATGAAGACAGCCTACTGCAATGCAAGCTCCTCTGCTGCTCTCTTCGGGTATCTCAGAACATCGAAGGTCTCGTATGGGACATCGTCTTTAAGCTCTATGCGACGCCACTCCCAGGATCAGTCACTACATCATGAAGGACGTGATGGAATTAGAAAGGTACAAGGCTCACCGAACGTCACATTCGCAGTGTTATGCTCTTGTACGTTTTCTCCGACCTCCGGCATATCGATCTTGGTCTTTATCCCGTATCTCGAAAGAATGGATGGGCTACCGATTCCCGAGAGTTCGAGAAGTTGAGGGGTTTTGATCGCCCTACGCAGAGAAACACGCCACACGCCACCAATCAGCCAAGACAACTATCACCCCTTACAGAGTCAATTGCGAGGACAAGACGTACCCAGCGCAAAGGATGACCTCTTTTCCCGCTGTCGCAACGTGGACTGTGGCCTCACCACCACTGTTGACGATGAATTCGACCCCGGTGGCTTTAAGCGGTGTGCTCCCTTCTTCGAAGATGACTTTGTGCGCCGTAGCAGAGACGATACAGCTGAGATTGGGACGGTGCTGATTGGGTATCCAGTAGGCCTGTTACCATTCGGTAAGTACGCACGAATGATGGAGAGTGTGATCCAGGAAGTTAGAAGGGACTATTGAGATAGTCTGGTAGACGTACATTCGCGGCGTAGGACCGTTTGAACGTCTTCGGGTCGACGGAGATCGGGTAGATGTAGAGTCCCCTAGGCTGGCAAAGAAACAAAATTGGTCACTGATGTATTCGCACACATAGTGTGCGAAACATCGTATGCAAACTTACGTCGCCATTTTGCTGAAGACAGATAGGGTGAATTAGGGCTCGTCCATATGCATAGTTGAAGTGGCTTACAGGTGCTTGGGCTTCAGGGATCCCCGCACTCTTCATGACCTGAAAGAACGAGGTAGGGCATCAATAAGTGTCTCCAATCTCGACCCACTCCTATTTTTTGAGTTTCAAACCGTGATTAGAGGAGACGTACTTTGATAGCGTCTAAGTCCGCGCCAGACGCCCTCGACGGGATAGCCAGCTTGATTGGGCCTAGGAACATCATACAAAAACTTTACCAAGGAACCACATCAGTGAGAAGAGAATAACTGGGAGACGTACCATCCTCACCCATCTTCCACTCCCCGACTGAATGTAACCCATGCTTCTCTATCTCCTCGGCAGACGGCTTGACGAACCTTGATGCCACACGCCACATCGACCAAATCAACAAACAAAAGTGAAAAAGCTGAACAAGAACGCACCCCTCAGCTTTGGCACAATACTTTTCGAAGTTCTTCCAGTTCCACCCAGGATTACCGAGTCTTTCGAAGTCTGCGTGTCGTCGATGTTAATCAGCTCCTCTTTGAGGGTGTGGTGCGCAGGTGCAGGAAGAGAGACTGGTAGGCTGACGTACCGTTAATTTCCTCCTTCGGCGGCTTCACCCAAGCGAGAAAGTTGATCGCCGAGCTTCCGCCCAGGGTCTTGCCTCTGTTTGACATCGCAACATTCATCAGTCACGTCGATGGGAAGGAAATAGAAGTGAGCGTGGACACAAAGACGGTGAAGACGAGGGAGAGGAGGAACCTTGGCCACGGGATCTGTCGGTTGTTACAGTGCTTCTGTGGAACCTATACTATATGGTAAGCCCCAGTACCACTGGAGATTCTGCGGTGGGTATATTAGAAGATGAGAGGAAGAGTGACGTACAGTAAGGAACGACCAATCATATTTCTCTTGATTGAAGTGAGCGCCATACGAGCCCATGCGTACTACATTTTCGTGAGCACAATAAAAGTAGTCTCGTTAGTGAATGATCCACTTTTGATCATGTCTTAAAAACAAGAGCTGTACGAGTCTCATAAATAAGTGGACAACGCAACTAAGGACTTTGGTACTCGTCCGGCACCGCCTGCACCACGTCAACCGGATAACAGTTCTCGTGTAGGATTCACGACGAAGATGAGCGACAAGATTATGACAGCACAACTCGTCGTGGAGGCCCGGAAACAGATAGAGTACAACAAATAGATTAGGAAGACAGTCGCTTACAGAGCAATGGGTCATTCTCGTTTGCGGGGCCAGCTTCGAGCACTAAGACGCTCGCGTTCGTGTCTTCGGTCAATCGGGTAGCGAGGACGAGACCTGCGGTCTATGGTGTGGTGCCCATATTAACGTCGGGGAGTTCCGAAGGTCGGGGGAGAGGAAGTATGGATTTGAAGGATTTGAGTCAGCGTGAGCATGTCAATGTGAAGTTCAAGGGTGGAGAAAGCAGATATCTGGACTTTGGGTAGGGGTGAGAGATAGGGGTTGAGATAGGAAAGGGTGAAGGATGTGGATGGCAGGAACGGGAAAGTGTGTAGCCGATGGTGATGACGGGGAGAGGACACCACCGAGACGACCGTGGGCAACGTATCTTGGAAGAAGACGTACCCCTCCACCTTTGCATCGATGAACAGATACGCGCGCGATGAGTCCAGTACAGTAAGCTGGGTCGGTTACAGAGGGAACGAGCGGGGAAGAGCTTACCAACGATGACATAGTCAAATGCTTTGTGTGCAATATCTACTGCTCAGGCGTTAATGAGCACGATGAAGAATAGAAAACATATATCCTATGTCAGTTGTTGTGTTCTTGCGACGAACACGCAACATGTGGGGCCTTGATTCCGCTCAGGGTATTTGGCCTCTGGGCTATGATTGGAACTGATATAAAAAGCCACATGACGTACCAGCTGTGATGAGGGGCATATCGCAACCACAGTTTGAGCAATAAGATGGAGTCGACAGGTCTACTTCCAGCAAGCTTTCTAAATAGAATGACAAGGCAACGAGTCCGACTGCAGTCAACGCAGGGTGGAGGTATGTAGCAGGACACAATCGGTAGGCGCCGATGGAAGCTGCTTCCGAAGATTGAGCTATAGGGCCTCGTGGAACGCAGGACGTACATAGCCGGACGGTCACCTTATTATGACCGTACTTTCTCTTTCGTCAGGCCTTAGGATGTGACCCGGCACAGCTTTGTACCACAGCCTGCGGCGTCATTGACCATAAACAAGATTTTCTGACATTAAATAACCCACTGCGCCGAAGCTGGACAGCCAGTTAACGTCTTCCATAGATATGACTACCCTTCGGGGTCGAGGACAAGTAAGCGAAGTGGAGTGAGAAGGGTTGAGAAGCCCTCATGCCGGGCGTAACACAAAGCGCAGCACCGTAGAGCGTACCGCTCGAATCTGAGAAGGCGACGAGAGAGACAAGTGTCAATGTGGGAATGGGTTCTTCTGTACAAGAGATAGCAATAAATGCGTGAGCTTGATGGGGCTGAACGAGGATTAAGTACTGTACGACCACAGCGCACAAATGGAGAGGAAAACACAAAGAGAAAATGAGAACGTCGTGTCGAGGCCTCTCCCGGGTGAAGCCCTTTTCGGGCGGCGACGGAAACGGAGCTCATGTTGTCATGACAAATTCCCCAATTCCGATCCGTTTCCACCTCCTCGCCACACATATCGTCACCATAAGCAAATATTCGGGCTACATCGTCTCTGTCAGTATCAAGCCTCAGACCATTTTCTAATCCAAGAGGATACGCTGGAATTATACCAGGATGCAAAACTGGACATAAATCACCATTTTCCCCCGCTGACTGAGCTTCGGAGCTGCTTCGTGGCATACCCACGGCCACGGATTTCGTACATCGGCATAACTAGCGCTGGTGGAGAGCGATTCTGACCCCATGCGCCTCCATGGACCGATAGCGCGAGGGTATAAAGACGTGCTCCGGTGTCGCCACATCTGGCCTTTGCGCTCTCCACTGTGTCAAGCGCTTCCCTTAGAATTCCTCACGAGCAAGCCGCGACTTTGTACGCCGGGCGCCCTGACTTCCGCACCAATACCGAACGATACTCTTCGTCTGTGCTCAGAAGACGATTCAGGACGGGTCGGTTGAGGAAGATAGCGCAGGACGAGAGCTAGAACCCGCGAGCGCTTGAAGCTCAAGCTCGAGCCAGTACGAGGTATTGGTGGTCATGGCTGCAGCAGATCCAGATTATGCAGAACTTATGTGCGTCTTTGTTCCCGTTTATGGTCAAATCTGGTCACCATCTCCGATCTTGTCCCCTCTGTACCCGCAGCGATCGGTTTGAGCTCCGCGAGCTGACTTGTGTTCCTCCCGTCCTTGGCCCGTGGATGACGATGGATCTGGTTGCGAATGTTGGATGAAATGCTCATGGAACGCCACTGTGATCGCCGGGTGTGTTTGGTACTGGACGCAATACGAGCACAGTCAAGGCCCTACACTCGTCGGGACCTTCCTTAACCTTATACTCTACGGCGTGTTTATGACCCAAGTATACCTGTACTTCAACATGTACAAGCAGTACGTCCTTCTGTGAAATTTTGCGGGTGGCACTCATTCAGATAATTTGTGGATAATCGGTTGTACGTTGTCGTACCAGAGATCCAACATGGCTAAAGGCATACGTATGTTCAGCTTCCCCAGGTTAAAGGGTTGATTTGTCTGATTCTTTGCGACTCGTCCGGCATGACGATATAGATCGGTGGTATAGTCCTTCTCGAGACCCTCAATAGCATATTCGCGATGATATATTCATACAACCGACTTGTGCTCAACTTCGGTACGTCCTCTCTCTTCAACGCCACCTGTTCTATTCTGTGTCTGGAGTGATACATCATTCTAACCCGCCGATAATCTCTCCACCTTGTGCAGGCGATAGTTTTGCCCAGAGTTTACCCACATGGCGTAAGCATAGTTGCCCCTGCCCTCTAACACCTTTCTTTTCTCAGTGACATGCATTATTGCGTCTTCTCTCTTTAAACTCATGCATTCGCTGGCATTCACACTTCATGTTGTGTAGAGCTCGGAATATGCACCGGCACAAACGGAATTATCGGCATGGCCGTCCAGCTCTTCTTTGCATGGCGCGTCCGCGCGTTGACAGGCAACCTGTTCGCCGTTGTCCCTATTGTAGTCCTTGCGCTGGTTTCTTGTGGTCCGTTATCCTCTCTCCCTATGTTCTTCTATTCTTATCGAAATTTTACCTTCTATTTTCCCTTTCATATCCATCTATCGTCTTTGTTGCTATACTCGTGTCTCACTCGATATGTACGAATGGTACATTCTGATGATCGATTACCTATCATGTTCGGTAATGTTGTCGACGATTCCTCGCCTTGATAACCCGGCAACGACACGCCACAATGTGCTCAATCTAAACCATGCGCTCAACTGAACAGGAGCGGCCCTCTACCTCTTCATCGAATCTATCATCGCAACTCCCTCACTCGTCCTCAATGCTCAGCTCCGGCCACTTATCATCTCCTGGCTCGTATGCTCATCGGCCGCGGACATATTGATCAGTGTGATACTGATCTTGTATCTAGTGCGCCTCTTTCTCCTCGGTTCTAATATATTCTACTTACGAGGCAGTCGCAACTGATGCTCATGGTCTGGTGTCGTTGACGGTTCTACTAGAACAAGCACCGAACAGGGATCAGAGGGACTGATACGTTGATCAACAAGGTTATCAGACGTGCGTGTTTTATTCCCTTGCTTGTCCCCTTACTCGACTGTGTATCCTTGACTTTATAAACATGAAGTTGATTTACACCGATGTGGCGTCCTGTTTGTGCGATGTGTACAGTGACGATCCAAACCGGGGCCATCACCTGCGTATGTTCATTACTGGACCTCAGTTTCTACCTCGGAATCGTATGTCTCTGCCCTTCTCCCTCCCCAGCGTCTTCCACATTTCCGCCTGTTGACTTCCGACTTGATTGATCGCTGGGCGAAACAGTCCGGTGCAGCGATCCATCTCATATTCAACCAATCCCTCGCCAAACTCTACACGAACTGCCTCATGTCTTCCCTCAATTCTCGTGGCGAGTGGAAAGCACATTGGAACAGTACCAACATCTCACATCGCCACCGCCACTCGCGTTCTCGTTCGGGATATCGTTCGTCTGATTCGCAATTCGATGTCGAGACGGGGCCGGGAGTAAGTGGGTTCGTGACGAGTAGTAGAGGGAGGAGTGGTGAGGATGGGAATGAAAGAGGTTTGAAGGGTTGGGGAGGGAGAGGTCGAGACCGTCAGATTGAGACGGTAGGACAGGTTGGGCTTGTGAGTGTGGAGAATGCGTTGAGACCGGAGGTAAGGCTTATTTGGCTTGACGTTGGACTCGATTGATTCTCTGACCATCACTTTGCCGTGTGCTCTTCATGCACGTGTTTCACAGGTCTTTGTCAATATTGAGACACACGAACTTTCCGATCGCGACGCTGATCATTACCTGGATGAAACCGACCACGACCAGTCATTGGCGTCCGCGCTGGAATCGCAATACAACTATAAGGACTCCGTGTCCATAGATCGTAGCACTCCAGGAGACGGGGAGCGAGATGAAAACGTAGAGTCTGGTACGGATGTCGGACATGGTTTACGGTAATGGGGGGTGAAGAAACGGAAATGGGAAGATGTCTACGGGCTATCTCCATAAGCACACCGGCAGGGGCTAGGCAGCAATCTCATGCTTAAGAATCGGTTCCCGTGGAACTCAAGTAAGATGCGATAGCGATGCCTAACGTCAGTCCACTTGAAACGACAAAGACACATTGCATCTCCGTGTTTGCACCCTGATGTGGAAGGGACTTGTACGATCATGCATTTCTCCCATTCGCCGTTATATTGCCTGGAACATTGTCCGATCTTGATCATTTACATGCTCATCGTTCATACATACTTAACTGTACTTTTTTTTTTGCTTTGTGCTTGCTATCCACTGAATTGCTGCTTTACCAATATAGTGTTGTCTCGCTGTCGGTTCCGCCATCTTTCGATGTGACTCCCCCCATCAGCCACAAAACAGAATATCACTAGCGTTGTCGCAGAAGGCGAACATATACTCGGGGACGCCTGCGGGCACCATACGGAAACCAAAACACGAAAGTGAGTATGCTCCTAATGAGAAATGGGTGTTTTTGTAGAAGAACTAAGATGATATTAGGTGTCAGCATGATGCATTGACTGGAGGGTCGTATGAGAGAAGGCCCAAACAAAGGCGACGTCGAAAACAAAAGGAGACAAAGATTTCACATAATACAAGACAATAATGTCAGGTCAGTGAATCCGGATGGAAGCCGACGCCACCGCAATGACAGCTGTTGTGTCGCCTGAGAAGATGTCCCGAGATGTCCATGACTAAAGAAGACAGCATAGTGTTGAGCGTACAAAGTTGTGACCAGCAACTAAAACATCTTACCGTTCATAAGGGGGCGTTTGAGTGTCGATGTTGACGGTCGGTTGCTAGACGCGCCACACTGAAATCGGACGAAGGGTCACGTGGCATTCCCACATCGACGCGAGGCGCGAATTACGCGTGTTATTTGTGCATGTTGTTGTCTCGTTCGACCCGTTTGGATCTGCACCTACCAGACGGAAGCTAATCATTGCCTTGTTGTTCTTACCACCATTCCTGGCTAGCCAGCCTTAGTAGCGGCTCTTTGCCACTCACCACTGACTTTCATCCTTATCTTCTTCTCGCTGTCCTCATATATCATTTTTGCAAGTCTGTAACAATATCCAGTGCTCCATTTACTTTTTCGTTTCAACCCCATGATTCCACCCGCGGAAGAGGCAACCGATATATTTTCTCTTTCTGATCAGGTTTTGGCCGACAGGCTCGAGTTTGTCCAGGAGGTATGTGGCCCTTGCATGACTCTCTGACATTTGTTTAAACCAGTTCCACAGATCGGCTTTGGCAATTGGGGTAGTGTATGGCTATGTAAACCGAAGACTACGTCGACGAAGGGTAGGAAGGAACCTCTCAAGGTAGCCGTCAAGGTCGTACATCGATCAAAGACGACCACAACGGCTGCTCGAGTCAAATCATTGTAAGTCTACCATGATTGATTGGGCTGACATCTCCTAACGTCTACTTGTCAGGTGGAACGAAATGAAGATCGTCCGCTTGTTCAAGGAAGACCCACATCCATCTATCGTACCTTTTCACTCGTTTATCATCACACCCTCGTATGCCCTCATCACGATGTGAGTCTCCTCCTCTTGTACCCTGAATTCTCTTTGCGAAGACCTTTTTGCGACAACTGGAGACGGAATTGCACGTCACTGCGCTAGCTGGCTGCGTGTGAATGCTTGGTGGCCTCGTGTTCATTTGGGTAACTTTAGCGAGGTACTCCCGTTCGTGGGATATCTTTTCCGATAGCTCCCGATGGTCGCCTGGTGTGGCGCGCTTCGTACCTTACGCATGGATGTCTAGATGTCTGCTCACAATTTATCCTGGTCGCTCATCCATACTTTACCAGGGAATATCTACCCGAACTCATCCCAGTTGAAGTACCAGAACCGAAAGCCAAGGAATGGTTTCGATCACTACTCTCTGGCGTTCAGTTCCTTCACGAACACGGCGTCGTACATAACGATATCAAGTACGTCCGGCCCTCGCTCATAACCGAGTCGCCTATCAATCTGACGAACGACGGGCTCTCACTCCAGACCTGCCAACATCCTTTTATCTACTTCACTCATCCCCGTACTTGTCGATTTCGGCTTTGCCGAGCGCTACGAATTAAAGTCATCAAAGGCTTTCCAAAGTAACCTGACGTATGGCACACCTGAGGTACCGACCATTCATCTCACTTGATTCTTCTCGCTTTGGCTTATGGACCATACAACAGTACCTCTCACCAGAGCGGGCTCGCGGCTTACCACACGATACACGCAAATCCGATGTCTGGTCTCTCGGCGTCACGTTCTTCGAGATTCTCGTCGGCCGGACACCTTTTGAACACGTTGAGGGTGAACAGTTCGAGACCAAGGAAGACCTGGAGAAATATTGGGCTCGTACCGTACGTAATAACCTCCTGTTCTGTCCTCGTGTTTGATTTCGTCTGGCGAAACTAACGTATTGCCGGTCAAATCAGTTGCGTGGCAAGTGGGTCGGAAAGTGGACTATGTCGAGGGCGATTGAGAAGCTGCTGAAGAGGATGATCCAGCCTAACGCTGACTTGCGCTGTGTTACGGCTGACGCGATAGAGGACCCGTACTGGACTTCAACTGAGACACCTTCGTCCAGCCTTGGGTCATCGCATCGTGCGTTTCTTTCACCTCGTTTACATTTTGTTCTATGAACTGACAATATTCGTTGTGACAGGCAAAGCGACATCCATTGCCTCCACCGCCCTGTCTACATCTTTCGACAAGCTCCTCAACCAATCCCTTGGCAAAGAGAACGCCCCCACTCACCCAAGCGCGACCGCCGCTAAAGAAAGCAAAGGCTCGAAACTCATCGACATCGTCTCTCCCTGGTCCAGCCGTCGCCCCTCGAAATCCGACCGTAAAAAGTCGCAGAACGCAGCCAAGAACCAGCTGCCGATCATGGGTCCAGCCAGCCACACTAAGATGGCGCTCGGGACGAAGACTAACGCCAACGCAAACACCGCAACGACCCCCGGAACATCCACCGCTGCAGCAAAGCCTGCCGTACCGCCCAAGTCAGCCACGGGTAGGGCCCCTCTCCAGACGAAGACCGGTCCAGGTGCTACGAAGCGGGATAAAGAAAATGCAGGCGCAGGCATGGGTGCTGGATCGCCTGGCTCTAGGGCCGCAGGCGGCGCGTTGGCGAGTACGCACGCCAGTCGCGCGATGAACGTCACGCCCGCGAGATCACAGTCTTCAATCAAGGACAGGCCTAGGACGAAGACGCTGATCCAAGAAGGTAAGCCTCACGCCTATTTTTCATGATTTCCCGATCTGTCCCCTTCCATCCCTTGTTTCATGGACGTATGCTGATGCACGTGGCGGTGGCGATGTTGAAACTTGTTACCTATAGCGACAGCGAACGCTGGGACGAAGCGTGGTGTTTTGGGTGCCAGGCCCCCGCCTGCGCCGTTGCAGTCGCGCGAAGGACGTGCTGCACGCGTCCCTGTTTACACTAGTTCTTCGTCTGGGAAGGAGAACGCGGGTCCGTCGCCGAGGCATAGAGCGATCTCTGGGGCCGGGAAGAAGGCCGGTGGTCCGAAGACACCAGCGAAGGTCGCGCTGAAGGAGACTTCGAAGGCTAAAGGGAAGGCTACTCCGAGTGGGAAGGACGAGTTGCCCGTATGCGAGGAAGTCAAGACCATGGGGAGCGTGAAGGATCGGATGAGGGACTGGGAGAGGGAGAAGGAGAGATTGAGGTCCCTCGCGAGGTATGATATGGTTGAGAGTTCGGAGAGTGCGAGGGAAGAAGTGCCTGTGGTGAAGAAGGCGGCAGAGAAGGTGGAAGAAGGTCCCAGTTTCGGGAGTGTGAGAGACAGGATGCGGGACTGGGAACGCGAGAGGGAGAGGTTGCGAGCTATGAAGTTCGTAACGGATACCGAGGCGGACACGGAGAAGGAGAAGACGGAGCAGGAGCAGGAGACGATGGAGGAAGATCTTGATATGAAGAGCCTCGAGTTTGAAAGGCCGAGCATGGAGAGCGTTAGAGACCGGATGAGAGATTGGGAGAGGGAGAAGCAGAAGATGCGGGAGATCGAGAGGGAAAGGGAACTCGATCTTGATCCGGACATGGAGGGAGACGAGTCCTTGGGTGAGGTGCAAATTGGGTTCCGCGTCAGCATGCAGCCCTCGCGCGGTAGACCTGAGGCCCGCTCAGGGCGGAGCGTCGAGGGTCTGACGGATGCTTCATTTGCGTTCGAGCGGAGCAATAATGCTTCGAAGATCCTGTCGGACAGTTTGCCGCCAACGCCGTTGTCTCCCGGTATGAGATCGTTCCCTTATAACTGTGGCGAGGCGATGTTTCTAACGAAATTTTTCTCCTTTCACTTCTCTTCCCCTTGTTCTTCTTCTCTGTCCATGATGTTGTGTGTTTCAGTGATGGACTTCACCTTAGCGCAGGATACGCTTCCTAGGCCCGTCGATAGCACGGAGGACTCTGTCAACGAGTCGTCTCTTAACTTGAGCCAATTCACCCATGGTCTGAAAATGTCCATCGGTACGTCGTTCTTGCCTCAGGCTCCACGCAGATCGGACTTACTTAACCTTGATTCCGTCGGCAGGTAAAACGGTACGACTATACAAATCCTCAACCTTGGGCCATCTTGCACGGGGCCACAAGTCGACGTCGGCGTCGATGCAACGTCAGGATCTGTCCATGCCCTCGGAGGATGCTCTGAAATTCAACGGTAGTCGAGAGGGCACGACTTCAACTGAAGGTATGGCGACGAGTCGCCAATGACCTCTGAATTTGTTATGTTGCTCACGACCCACATACATGTCAGTAGCTTCTATGCTGCCCGTTCTGCGTCCCTCGACCGGTAATGAGCGGGTTGGCGCCGACAACAGAGCCGATAGGATGACAATGTGGATTGAGAATGTCGAGAGTGAGTATCACCTTGCTTGAATTCGGTAAATGGTTGTTGACGGTTCCTTCACATGTTCATGTTCAGAGGTCGTTGAGGACGCTCGCCAAAACTTCGCCTCCTCTAGTGTCAAGCCTCTGGTTCCACTTCCAGTTGCTCCGCCATCCCGCTCTGCATCTCACTGCCGAACGACCTCCCAGGCTCAATCCAACCTGTCTTCGCGTAGACCGCGCAAGATCCTCGCCGCCAGCCAGATCTTTGAACAAGATGGCTCCCCCCGCAAGACAAGCAAGGAACGACCTACTGCCGCCGATGAGAGTGTCATATCCGCATCGTCCTCTATGTACAGGGCCGCTAACGCCTCATCGTTCTTCGCGCGGGGAATGTCCTCCGAGTCTTTCGTACCGAAGGAGAATCCCCAGATTTCAATGCTCTCGGCTTTCAGCAGCACCTTACCGACGATTCCGTCCGAATCCGAGGGTGAGAACATCCGGGTTTTCAAGAAAAGTACGCCCTTATGTCCCCCGATGACGAGGAGGGCTACTGTCTCCGGGCTTTCACCGGAGAAGATCGTTGAGAGTACGGTCGCAGAGGAGCCCGAGAGTCCTTCAAAGAGAAGAACGAAGTCCAAGTCCCAGTCCGATCTGCTCTCGAGGCCTATCAGCCCTGTTTCCCGCTTACAATCTGAGCTCGAAAGACGTGAGCCTTATGCTTCCCCCGATATACACGCCACTTATTTTATGCATCTTTAGTGTCTCAGCCTCCTCCCCCTTTGCGTCTGGATGCCGTGCTTGACAAGAGCCTTTTCATCACCGAGCATAGGACGCCGACGATCCAGGTCTGCGAAATGATGGACAGGCCTGTCCCTGCGACTCCCAGTTCTTCGATAGCCTGGTCGAAAGTCGACGATAGCCTGGTCGCATCACCGCACGTCGTCCAACCCTATGCATCTCGTGCTCCATCACCTCTTCTCGAGTCTCCCAACACCCGAAAGCGCACCGAGGGCGTCTACGACCGCTTCCTCATGGCCACTAGCGGGGTCAAGCGTGTAGGGCGCGGTTACCAATCTGAGCTCGCTGTCCCTGTCGACAGCGAGCCTCGCAGTCTCAGTCGATCACTGGGCCCCGACGGAGCGATCCCCAAGCCCTCTCCGAAGATGTTCCTCTCTGCTAGGAAGTCTGCGATGCCGCCTCCGGTATCTAGCGAGGATTTGGTCGACGAGAGGAGAGCAAAGAGTGTCGATGAAATTGGGGTGATGCAGACTTTTAGTGGCGTCAGTTCGGCTCCCCTGACGCGGGATCCGAGGACGAAGACGGTGAAGAATGTGAGGAAGGCGCTCAAAGCGATGGTTACTGGCAGGACCGCCTCCGTAAAGTCCTCCACGGGCAGGGCGGTCCATGCTTGATGCTCGCACCTTCGTGAGCCATTCTTCCTCCAAGCCGTGTCGTTCAATTTTTTTCTTGCATCTTTTCTCTCTCATTTCTGTATGATTTCCCCGTCATTGTTCATTATCTCATCATTGCATTGGACTGTTGTTTCTGCTGCTTCATTATATTCACAATTGTCATTATCCCCTTCGATGTCATACCATCTTGTCTCGCTCTCCCTCCCTCACCTTCATCCGCTACCTGTACCATTGTCTCGTCTCGTCTGCATATCGTGTTGTTTCTGTTCATTATGTCTGTTTCCCCTCGCTATCTATGTGTTGTCGATGTCGAAGTCGCTGGATATACTCGTCTCTCGTGTTCTATTTTGTTCCACCCTCTTCACATTACGACAGCTCCCATTTCTTTACGTTTCGTACGAATTCACTCAACGGGCTACTTCTTTTCGTGCTCAGGATCTCTTCCCTTCGGTTTCTTTTCCTCATTTCTATGTACTATCCCCCTCTTCAAGTTCTGAAGCCTACGCGGCCTTTGACTGGCAACGCCCTCAGTGGGTACAAGGTCTATCCTCCAGCCCAGTCATATTTCAGTGTTATGTTTCCTCTTACCTGCTAGTCCATTGATTGGTTCTTGGTTTTTTTCAAATGATGTCTTTTCATGCCTGCTCGACCTTTTGGTACTACGCTACGAATACGACGCCTCGTGACGAGTCTTGACGATGATGCCTTTCACTGTACATAGACATCACACGTACCAACTCATGCTTAAGCTGAGTATTCAATGCCAATGCTACGTTTCTACCCTAAAGACGATGGTGAATATTTGAATCTTGACTGATGGTCAGAATTTTAAAATGGGACATAAAGACTTTGACGACCAACGCCACAATCTTGTCCGATGTGCCACTGCTTGGCCACCGCGGCCGAGGATGCCGCCTCGGCAATGAAGTACCCGCATCCGGGCACCTCGGCTTCGGCTTTTGACTCTCCTTCCTTCCAAAGTTTCAATCTTGCCGCCTCCTCGAGCTCGTTGTCGCTTTCAACGACCATAAAGTCTACTGAGCTATTTATCGGTTAGAGGCTCTGGCGCAGGAATGTCTCGGTTATTTACAAATGTCTGGTACATTGTGGGACCAATCCTTCCATTCCGCCGACAAATTTACTGTCTGCGCAAGCTATTCGACGTCATCTAGAAGGACAATATACCGAGCTTTACATCCGATGCGTTCAACGTTCGAGCGAGTATCTACCCCACACCCTTCAAATTTCTTGCTTACAGAAACCCGCTAAATCCATTGTCGCTCCTCGTAATTGGATGACCGTATCGGCTTTACGCTCACCAACGTTGGGATGAGCAATCCGCAATCGACGATTTTTGCTTCATCGTTCTGCAGCACGATAGCCATGACGGACGATCGTATCCTCCAGCCGGCGGGTGCTATAAAACCTCTGCTTTCTGACATCGAGATGTAATCTCTTCCCCCATCCCCCTCGCTTCCTCATAAAAATCCCCAGTCGCTGCTATGTATCCTGAGACTTTTGAAGGCTTTTCTGTGACCTCACATGAGAACTGGTCCGACCTGAAAAAGACAGAGGCACGTCTGCACCGTCGATCTGTATTATTCCCCGTTGACTAGAATTCTCGTTGTCTCTGCATCCAGTTCAAGCCAAAGACCTTCGAGGACCACGATGTCGATATCGTTATCGAGGCTTGCGGTGTTTGCGGAAGTGCGTCTTCGTCCTCTCCGTGACCAGCACTCACCGAATGTTGATTTCTTCCTCTTCCTCTTACGCAGGCGATCTCCACACGATTACCGGCGGCTGGGGTACTCAAAATCTTCCTCTCTGCGTTGGACACGAAATCATCGGCAAGGTCATTAAGGCTGGGCCAAAGGTAACGCTCTGCAAAGTAGGAGACCGCGTTGGCGTCGGTGCACAGATCGGGGCTTGCTTGGAGTGCAAGGTTTGCAAAGACGATAATGAGAACTACTGCCCTCACATGATCCGTGCGAACTATCTCCTTTGATTGCTTCAATGTCACATAGCTGACGCTGGATGTTTGCCTCTTTTTTTTCGCACTGTAGATACCTACGCTTCACCGTACCCCGACGGTACGATCGCGCAGGGAGGCTATTCAAGTCATATTCGCGCGCATGAATACTTCACCTTCCCTATTCCTGAGGAGATGGACTCCGCTGTTGCTGCTCCCTTGATGTGTGCCGGCCTCACTGTCTTCGGACCCATGCACCGCGCCAAGGTTGGCCCTGGAATGAAGGTCGCTGTACTTGGAATGTACGTCCATATTATCTTTACTGGCCCCACCCTTGATTGCCTTGCTCTCTTCCACCTTCTTACGAGTGGCATTTTATTGGTCTGCAGTGGCGGTCTCGGTCACCTGGGCCTTCAATTTGCTCGTGCTCTCGGCGCCGAAGTCTACGCCCTCTCTCATTCGCCACACAAGAAAGACGATGCCATTAAATGTGGCGCTCAACACTTCATCGTCACCTCCGAACCCGACTGGTACAAGCCCTGGCAATACACCTTCGACTTCATCCTCAACACTGCCGACGTAACCCACACCTTCAACATGGTCGAATACATCTCTACCCTGAACATCAACGGAACGTTCCACAACGTCGGTCTGCCTGACGAACCTCTTCCGGAAATGCGTGCCTTCCATTTCTTGCATAACGCGGCCAGCATTACGGGGAGCCACATTGGGAGTAGGCCGGAGATGCTGAGGATGTTGAAGGTAGCGACGGAGAAGGACGTCAAGCCATGGGTCGAGACTATACAGATTGGGGAGGAGGGGTGCAAGGAGGCTTTGGAGAGACTGAAGAAGAATAAGGTGCACTTCAGGTTCACCTTCACTGGCTATGACAAGGCGTTCCCCAATAGGATAACATCGGCCTAGAGACGTCAGAATGCGACATTTAGTTTAAAATATCATTTATGCTGTAGCCGTAGAGATGTTTTGTTCGTATCTCTAAGAACCGTCGTACACGTAGTATCCTTCGGAACCATGACCATTTCTTAAATCCTTGTGGAACGTGGACACTCTTTGTGATTCATCACTCATATGGTGTCGGAGCGACGAGCAATGAGAACAAGGCTGAATCAACGTGGAGAGTAGCATAAGACATAGGGAGGACAGTCATAATATCAGATATTGCGCAGAAATACAACACGAGAAACGGCTTCGACTGGAGAACAGAATAGGAAAAGGGTCATGTCAACGAGCAGATTATGAGGGCGTGCAAATTAGTCGTCATCGTCCTCTTCGCGGTGAAAGGCATTTCTGATTCGACACATAGCATCGTCGAGCTCTTCGTCCACGTCGCGTTGATCGGCTCGAAGATGTTGAAGCGCACGAAGAACGTCGTTCTCCAAGTCCAGCGGCGAAGGGTCTAACCATCCAGAGAATGAACGTGAATGACGAAGGGATCGTGGACTGGAGGAAGACCGGGGGGAGAATGTTGATGGGTCGGGGACTCGAAGCTTCTCCTTCTCTCCCGGACTGGGGATCCGCATCCTCTCCTCATGTTCCTCGACCGATTCGGGGACGTCGATATCTACATCAGCGTGGAACGGAGAAGGCGGCACGATCCTGAGTTGAGATGGTGGAGCAACTGAGCGCAAGTTCTCGACTGTCGATACCTTCCTCAAGCTTTGGAGTTTCATCCGGAGGAAAGATCCTTGAATCCTGTTGAACATCGGCGTCGTAGACCCTCCGGGATTAGCATTCGATAAGGAGGCGCAGTCCGCTGTATCGTTGTCTTCGTTCTCGCGAGCGAAGTCTCCTTCGTTTTGAGCTCTGAGCGACCTGCCAGAATATTCGGGTACCACCGCCGGCTCGGGATCTGCATTCGACAACTCTCGCTCCTTAGCCTGTCGCTCCGTTAGCGGTGACACCCTCGCGTACATCCCAAACGAATCGCCTCCCATCCTGGGCGACAATGTCCCTACAGAGGTCTGAGCGTCCCGCGCGAACGCCGAAGGGCTACGTGTCTGCGTCATCAAGGCAGCGGGAGCAGCCCCTGTTCCATGAATAAGGTTCCCCGCCATGTCAGTGAAGATACGATTGATCTTGTCGCGGTGTTTGATCGAGTTGCTACGATAGTGAGAGGGCCTTGTATTGGTTAGTGTGTCGAGGGCGTCGGCGCGGGCGCAGGCATCGGAGCAGAAGCAGGAATCGCGGTCAGATCCTACGGGACTACCGCAGGAGCATAAACTAGGTGACCGAGGAACGCGTGGAGCCTTGGTAGGATACATTTCGTGAGGAATCGATGTCGCTGCGGTCGGGTAACAATAGTAAGTGGCAATGTCCAACATGGGGGAGGGAAATACGCACGCGAGTCTGAGATGCAGCGGAAGGGAGAATGGTTCGATGCAAAAGGCGCGAGAGCAAGCCTGGAAGTGTTGCGCTGAGGATTTGTATGAAAGGACAACGTCCAGCAACGTGCCGTCTCAAACCGTGAACAATGGACGTCACACTGTCACGGTGCCATTGACACTCGGAGTCAGCGAGCCGAGTGCTTGGCCCTAAAGGGCGACCCAATCTGGTAGGAAACGTTTCAGGTTAGACGCCTTCGACTAATCGGGATATGAAAGAGAAGCTCACCGTTGAAAAGTAACGGGACAACTAGGAGCAACTTGTAGAGCGTGTCGAGGGAGACGGAGAAAACTTTCGCAGAGCCACATTGTCTTGATGGGGAAGGGTTGACTGGGTGGTCATACAAGACACGGGGCGGCATTGAGTGCAATAATGTGCAAGAGGCATGCAATTGAAGACACGCTCGACGGCGAAGTCCAATGTACAATCAAGAAAACTAGAAAAGCTGGATCTTATAAAATACAACAAACACCGTGTGGACAAATAATTCGACGAAAATGAGGAGAAAGAATATGGTGGTTCACAGACAACAAAAAAGAAAAAACATGATCATGGATGCCCAGTCCGATTACGCTGCAACTGTACTGGCGGTTTTGGTCCCCCAGCCGGCGCACCTGCATTTCCACCCGCATTCTGAGCTGCGCCACCCTCCGCGGGTTTCAATCGCTTGGCGAGCGAGTTGCCACTAGCAGCTTCATTTTCTTCCCTGGCGCGCTTGGCTGCAGCACCAGTGATAGAGAGACCGGCATTGGCAGCAGCAGCAGCATTGACGGCGGCTGCAGGATTGGCGGTACCACGGATGCTCATACCACCACGCCCTCTTCCAAGGCCGACATTCGAAGGACCAGCAGCAGGCACGGACGGTCGCCGGGGGAGACTAGTACCACGACCAGCCAGTCCACCACGAGCGCCTCCCCTGGTTACTGGAGCGGTCGGAGCCTGTGTAGTGGTGGGAGTCGTGGAAGTGGTGGAAACGGGAGCGGAGGGAGCAGCGGGAGCAGGGGTCGCATTGGAAGTGGTAGGCGGGTTGGAGGCAGCGACTGGGGTTTCGTCTTCGGGAACAAGCCCAGCCTTCTTCCACGCATCGATCTGCGCCTCCAACTGCTTGATCTTCGTCTGGACGCGCACGAGCAGCCCGTCCTTGACCTTCATCTTTGCCTGAATTTCCATCCGTCCTGCCTCCTGGGCTTTGGCGATCCGTTCGTCCACCGTGGCCATGATCTCTTTCTCCCGCTTGGCGACGGCCTCCTTCACAGCAGACTCCGTATCGGGGGGGACGGCGGCAGAAGCAGTGGACTCTTCCTTGACCTTGGCCTCTACTGCTGAGACGGCAGCCTTTAACTCGGCTTCGTATTGAGTCTTCAGACGCGCTTCGAGGGCCTGGAGTTCTTCGGCATGCTTTTTGATGATCTCCTCCGAGCCGGTGCCTGAGGCAGCCTCGGTCGCTTTGTCGACGGCAGCTTTGAGGGCTGCAGCTTGCTCATCAACGAGTTTCTGACGGGCTTTATTGGAGTCCTCAATGCGAGCCTTGAATTTATCCTGCATCATCTTGTCAGCGTGAAGCGTCGAAGACAAAACGTGGTAAGCACTCACGTTAGACATCTTGAAGCCGCGGACTTCTTCCAGAAGCCTCTTTGTCTCGGCCTGAGGATATCATCAGTTAGTATAACAGTCTTGGAACGTAGCAAGCACGAAGGACACTGACCTCGGCCTTCGCAATGGCCTCGGCGTGACTCTTCACAAGAGCGGCCTTTTCAGCCTCCCATTGAGCGTTGTCCTTCGACGCAGGCGCAGATGAGAGAGCCGCCATCTCCGTCTTCAGACGATCGCGCTCGGTGGTCAAAGAAGTCTAAGGTCGCCATCAGAACTGACGATGAGAAGGGTGCATAACGAGAAACTCACAATCTGAGCCTGGAGTGCAGTGACGTTGGCAGCAGGCTGCGCGTTGGTCTGCTTAGCCTTCTCCTCAGCGAGCTGTCTATCCACGGTAGCCTTCTCCATACGCAGCCTGGCAAGTTCTGTCCTGAGCTGTTGAGAACCTGCGTCTTGAGCAGGGGTGGCATTCTTCTGCGCCTCGAGCCGAACATTGAGAGCCTTCAATTGCTCGCGCGCCGCAGATAAGTCCCTGTTCAGCTGGGCTTTCTCGCCATTCACTTGACCCATGCGTTGCCTGAACTGCGCGAGAGCATCCTTGTGAGATTTCAAGTTTTTCTCCAGAGCTTCGAGCTAAGGAGAATACTGTCAGCTAGAGAATCGTGATGGTGTAAGACAAACGAACCCTCTCAGCCTTGGCGGCCTCATCGGCAGAGTCAGTCACAGACGCGGCAGCCTTCTCCGCCTTCAAGCGTTGGAGTTCGTCCTTGAGTGCTTGCATTTCCGCGGGATCGATACGGTCGTACTGTAGCAAGGTGAACAGTCAGCTTGACGAAGATATCACGGCGTCAAAGTCATGCCAACACGTACCTTAGTGAGGAGCTGAGCATTACGCTCCTGCCATTTCTTGTTCTCCTCCTCCAACTTCCGAACGTGAAGGTTACGAGCCTCCAGCTCTGCCTTCGCCACACGAGCCTGCTCGCGGAGAGGTTCGAGCTCCGCTGTCATGGTCCTGACCTTGATGTCAAGCTGCCTGACGCGCTTCGAGTGTGCCTCAGATTCAGCACGGAGAGTGGCGTTACTCTCGCGAAGGATCGTGAGCTGGTTGATCTTCTCAACGAGCTCGGCGTGCTGAGCATCGGTGGCAGCGGCGGCGACAGCACGTTCGCGCTCCTGAAGATTAAATATGAAGAATTAGTGAGTCTCTTGAAATTACGAACAAACTAGAACGTACCTCAGACAACGTCGTCCTCGTATCATCCAGGTCCTGTGTCAACCGCGCAATCTGGCTCTTCAACCTCGTGTTCTCCTGCTTGCTCAGCTCCAGCTGCATATCCACGATCTCCTTCTCCCTGCGTAGGTAAGCGATAACCCTGTGTAACTCGGAATCGCCAGCGTCGACGTTCTCGGCGGAGGCGGAGGCTGGATCGGTGGCAGCGGTCTCGCGGATGCGAGCGGCTTGTGAGCTGACGGAGTCGAGGTGTTCGTGGAGAACCTTGTTCTGTTCGGTGAGTTCCTTGGCACTGTATATGGGGTTGGAAAGGAAACGTTAAGATGGCGTGGATGACACAACCTAGGACTAAAACACGCACCGTGCACTAAGATCAGCAATCTCCTTGTCCAAAGCCTCCCTCTGCTGCGTCCAGCTCGCCTCCGACGCCGTCAGCTTCGCCGCCGCCGTCTCAGCCGCGGCCGCATTCTGCCTCGACGACGTCTGTAGCTGATTCAATTGCGCCCTGAGTTGCTCGATGGTCTGTATGGATTCCGCATGGGCGATGACCTCGCGGCTGTACCGCTCCTCAGCAGCCTATATAACAGCATCGTCAGAATGTCGCGCAGGGATGGACAGAAATGGGAAAATAAGTTACGGACCTTAGCGCGCTCCTCCTGCTCCCGGATCTCCGAGTCCCTCGAAGATCTGTCCTCCGCGATGTGCTTCTCCGAAGAGGTCAAGTCCACAATCGTATCCTCCAACGTCTTCTTGTCGTCCCTCCATGCTTCCCTCTCCTCGTCAGCCACACGTTTCGCATCCGCCAACATCTTCTTCGATTCCTCAAGCTGCTGCTTGACAGCCTCGAGATTCGCCTGGAGGGCGGCGTATTCGCTCTACAAATATCACGAAGATGAGATAAATGATTCGAAGTATGGAGATAGACCGAAACGGGTGATGGACGTACTGCCTGCTTGGCCAAGGCGGCTTCGGTGCTGGCTTTGTACTCGTCGTGCGTCGAGCTCAACGAAGCCAGAGCCGCCTCGCTCGCCTGACTGATCTCCTGGAACTGCGCCACATGCTTTCTCGCGTTCTCGAGATCCACCTCCACAAGCTTCAGCTGAGCGCTAAACACCCAAATTCGAATGCAAGGATCATCAGAACCTCCATCCGATCAATCGAAAAGATGAGCATGGAGAAACGCACCGAAGATCAGCGACCTCAGTCTCAAGCTGCTGTTCCTTCGTCGTCCCATCGTCCATCTCAGCCTGATGTCCAACCCCATCCACAGCCATAGCCGACGAAGACGCAATGGGCCCTCTGCGCTCATAAACTGCTAACTTCTCCTCGTTGCCTTGCAGCTGCCGAGAAAGGTCGGAAACCTTCTCTTCGAGGTGAGTCTTACTCGTTTCTGCGCGTGCGAGGGATTCGCGAGTGGTAGAAAGTTCCTGGGTCTGTTGTATGAGAAGGGGCATGGGTCAGGATAGGAATATGCATGAAGTTAGATGGCGACGGACCTGTTTGTCCAAGCGCGATTGGAGTTCCTTGGCCTCGAGCTCCCTCTGCAGGGTGAGCCTCTGGACAGAGTCCCTTTCGAGACTGAGCTGGTTACGAATGTCCAAGCTACACAAGCAGATAACGAACACGTAAGTTGACTTGAACTGCCAGAGGTGAGAGAAGAGACGTACGTCTGGCCCTCAAGCATTTGAATCTGGTTTTCCAACCTCTTCCTATCGTTCTCGCCTGATCGCTCGAGGTCGTTATGCATCTTCTGCACGTTCGACATCAGATCCGACAGATGAGACCTCTCGACCGACAGTGCCCTGTTCTCCTCAACCAGGCGGCTCTGGATGCTCTGCATAAACCAGCCACAAAAATCCCAAGTATGTCAGTCTCGGCTCAACCGTAGAGAGAAAAAAAATAGAGCAAGGCGAAAAGGCTTACATCCCAAATTCCCTTCTCCGCTCTCAAATTCGCACATTCGTTCCTCATGATCTCCATCTTACCCTCCAGGACGGAAAGCTCCTCTGTTGCTCTGGCAAACTCCACATCCGTGCGGGTCCACTTATCGCAAACGATATCATACCGTTTACGAAGCTCGTCCATATCGCGGGCTTGAACGCTGTACTGCTCTTTCATCATTTGGTGCCGCTCTGAGATGAAACCATAATATCGAGCGCCGTGGTTCAGTTACATGCGCCGGGAAAGCAGGAAAGCGGAAGTGAGAAACGTACCGTTCATGTGTTCGATCCTTGCATTTGCTTTGGCCAACGCTCCGCTCAACTGACCGTTCTCCCTCTGGACTCTCACAAGCTCCTCCCTCACCCTTCCCCCATCAACGTCCATCTCCGTCCTATACGCCTCAAACTCGTTCTGCACCTCCACCAGCTGACTCTTCAACCCCTCTGGCTCCTCTCCTGCCCCAACTCCGTTTTGCTCGACCGTACTCGCACCGTTCGACTCGCCACCACCGACAGCGGACGGACCACCCTCCTTCTTCATTCTCTCCAACATAGCCCTCAACGTATCCTTCTCCTTGATAGCAACTTCTTTCGCGGCCTTCTCCCTGTCTATAGTCTCCTGCATCGCCATCATCGCCTTCGCAGCCTCCTGAATCGCATCTTCACTCTTCCTGGCCTCGACCTGCCACTGGTTCCTGAACTCCTCCTTCCACTCCTTTTCTTCAGATTCCATCTTCGCCCCGAGCTCACGCACGATACGCAGCAGTTTCTGGTTCTGAATTTGCATCCCGGGGAGCGTGGTGAACAGAACTAGATTATTCGTGATCACATCTTCGATATTATCCGACTGAGCGCCACTTTCACCGTCAATCATCTCCGTGTCCTCCTCATCGGGCAGCTCGGGATGGTCGAGTCTCTCCTTCTGGCGCAAGAGATACCGAACTTGGCGTCCGAGGTCGTCCGCCTGCTTGACAAGCATGTTGTTCTCCTTGAGGATCGAATTGAGCTTCTTCGTGGCGTCGAGCGCGGCTTTGGCGTGGGCGTCGCGGGCCTCGAGAGCGGCGGAGAGTTCGGATGAGATGTGGTGCGATTCTGAGATCAGGCGGTCGTATTCCATGCGTTGTTCGGCGAGTACGGGGGCCTGGATGCCACACAAGTACATGTCAGTCAAATAGTCCTCAAACACAGAGAACGGAGGGAGAAGGAGTAAACACTGACCCTCTCCTCAATCTGGTTCAACACCCCATTGAGCGCCTTCTCCATATTCTCATACTCCCTACACTTACGCGCATACGCATCCTGGAGTCTAACATGGTCCGCGTAGACCTCCGTAAACGTCTTCCCCGCCTTCTGCGCCCTGCTTGCCATCGCGATCGTCGGGCTCAGACCCATGATCGCCATCTCCGTCGCATCCGATATTCCACTCCTCATCGGCGTCGCAGGCGAACCCGGCGTCCCAAACACCGAGGCCATAGAAGGCGACACACCCAATCCCATGGCAGCCTCAGCGCTCGGAACGGGGTAGTCTCCGCGGTTGACACTCTCTAGCACCCGCTCGAACTCCTCCAACTTCACCTCGAGCTCCTCTGCCCTCTTGCGTTCGCGGTCCACCTCACGCAAGAGCTCGTCTTCCCGCCTCTCGGCCGTCCGCTGCACCGATTCCCAATCACTCTCTATCCTCCTAACGACGCCCTTCGCTTCCTCCTCCCTCCTCTCCATAACAGCCACAAGCCTCTTCAGCCCCTCGACCTCCCTCCCAAACTCCTCTTCGCTCTCGACCTGTCTCCGCTTGTATTCCTCCTTCTCCCTCGACAGTCTGGCATTGTCGGCGCTCAGCTGAGCGTGCGAGCTGCGGAGAGAGGCGAGGCTGGATTGGACTGCGGTGTGTTCGGTTTGGAGGGTGGATAGTTGAGATTGGAGGGTCGTGAGTTGGGTGGAGGTGGAGGTGCGGTAGGCTGTGTGTGTGGATTGTTGGGTCGTAAGCGTGTTAGTGAGGCGTTCGCATTCGTCTTTGGCCAGTTGGAGTTGCTGGGTTAGAGAGTCGAGTTTGAACTACATAGAGTTTGGAGTTAGTCAGGGTCAGGGTGGGGAAGAGGGAGGAGGGAGGAAGTACCCTAGTAGATGTTTCGGTGGAGCGGACTTCGCGGAGTTGGGATTCCAGTGACTGATATTCGTGCCGGGCTTGCTTGAGGTTTGCGCGGAGTGACGTGACTTCCTCTGTAAAATGGGAAAGCAACGCGTTCGTTCAGTCAGCAAAGGTAAGAAGACGGCCCGAGCTTAGAGTGAAGGCGTAGGAAGATGGAGGGGGAATCCCAATAAATCATATAACAAATATTGTTTTAAAAAAATAGAGAGAAGGGGCGTACCATCACGCATCGCGCTGTCCTCTTTCAGACGGTCGACGACACCAACCAGATCACGCTTCTCTCGCTCGGTGTCGTTGATCCTGTTTTTGAGGAGCTCAACCTCTGAGCTGGAGCTCGTCTGACTAGTGGTCACCATCATCAACTGTTTCCTCAGCTCAATCTTCTCGGAAGCTATAATAACGCCACATAAATACCCGTAAGTCCATGTACTGTGATGAGCATTATGACGGGACGTGAGTGAGACGCACCAAGCTCGTCGCGTTCCTGTTTGATCTGCTTCAATTCGTTCTGAACTTTCTCGAGCTCCCTCTGGGACTCTACAGACATCGTCTCTCGGTCCTGAAAGATCTGGTCGAGCTCAACATCTTTCTTCTCGATCTCAGCATGGGCTTCCTCAAGCTCCCTCTGCGTCGCGTCGAACTCCGCCGCCTGTCCTAGCACGAGCTGGTACAAGGCCAAGACATCTTCTGCTGATGGTCTCGAGAAATCGACATCGGGTAGCGTAGAGCTGAGATATTCAATGTCGAGATCATCCGGTATTGGGACGGTAAAAGGTTTGTTGACGGAGGAACCAGGCTTCGTGCTGGAGACCTCGCTGCCGGCGTCGGTGTCCTGTGAGTTGTCGGGTGCGTTGGAAGCGGTGGTGCTGCCGCCAGCTTTTGTTCGACGTCTGGTCATCATGGTGAATGACGAGCGACGGCTGAGAGGGGCTGTCGACGTCGTCGGTGACGGTGTGGATGGTGGAGAAACGAGAGATGTTGAGCGTCAACACGGTAGCGCTTAGGCCAGGCGTGTCTGTCACGTGAATGATTGCGTAATCACAATGGGCGTGTTGACTCCGCTTGGACTCCGCCACAAAAACTGTCCTCAGCATCCTCTTCATGGGTTTTCTTGAACTGCTTATTTTACTGGATAATGTCTTTGGCGTATTATGCCGACCTGCGCATACTCCAGCACAAACTAGATGCAGATCTTTGCAGAGGATAACATGTCGTTTTCCTTATGCCTTCAAGTTTGCCACCACCGCAGTGGCTTTCGAGAGGCTGCCAAATCGGCCCCTGAGAAAAAGACAGAGCAATTTCGACTCGAAATAGTACTTCGAGAGGTCATTATTCATTAGTGATCACAATTGTATCTGGGCCTAGCGCAGCTTGAGACGATCTAGGCTTGACACATTGGCACGCATCCTACGGACGACAGACACGCGTTGTGTTCTTTATGTCCCTTTCAGGAATAGTTTCACATGCCCGTGGTTATCGATCATCATTGTCTCTTTCTGTACAAAGCTGGTCTGTGTTGTGTAATATAAAGCTCTACTGACACACCCTTTTTTTTCTTCCTCCACTCTACAGTCTTTCGCTTCGAATCACCTCCTGCCCCAGGTCTCGCGACGCCCCGAGCCACCGCCACGATGAATAACGCCACCCCACCAGCTCCTTCCAAGCCCAAACCTCAGCCTCCTCATCTCTGCCTCTGCGGCCTTCCCGCCTCCCTAGAGCACTCCAACATCTTCTGTTCCTCCGCCTGTGCCCTCTCTGACACAATGAACACTCTTTCCGCCCGTAAACCCTCGCACTATCGCAGTCAGTCGTTGAAGGACGATTCAGAAGCGAGGAAAGTGTTCAAGAACTTTCCGTTTTTGATGGATGGGTTTACGCCCAAGACGCGGAGGACTCATACTGGGGCGAGAGTTGATCGTCCTAGCGAGTTGTGCTCGGATGTGAATTTGACGGAGACCGATGCTAGAACACGAATGACACAGAGCCTGGAGGCGGATGCGCCACCCGCTGTTGGTCGAGATAAAGAGCCGTCGTATAACGGGCGAACAAACGTGAGGGGATCTCAAGTCGCTTCGGATGGTATTTTGTCCGAATTCACGCCCGAAGGAAACGATGCGGTCCTAGCTCCGGTCGAAGAGCATGGGACGTCTGACTTGAAACGCGACAAATCCAGTGTCGACGAGGCTCGCGCAAAGCTCGATCACCTTCGAAATATCCTCTGCCCAGGGCTCAGTATCCCAGCCCATCCGGGTAGACACCTCGGTATCCCCTCACCGATCCCTGAGACATCTGAATTTTCCCCAACTGTGAGCGTGACCGACAACACCGAACTCAACGCCGCCGCAGACTGTTTGGTCTCGGATCGTGTCAACGGCTCTGGTCGAATGCACTCGCACTCCATCGCGAGACTTCGTATACCCACAACTTCTCAGGCGACCGTTAACCACCAACCTTCCAACCACCCTCGCTTATCCGCTGGCCTCCGACGCTCACGCTCTTTCGCAGGCTATAACACTTCTCAGGCTTCTCGGGCATCAGATCTAACTATGTTGACTCCTCTCACTAGAGCCCGAAACGAGCAAGAGTTCCATGATACGCTCTGGGCTTACGTGGCGGAGATTAGGGAAGGATTCAAGTTGGAGGATATGGTTAATGATAAGCGGATCTGGGGGAGTGTCAGTGACGACGAGGACGAATGAGACCCTGTCATTGAGACGTGACTCTCCATCTAATCTGGACGCGAGTGCGCTGGTGTAGGGGAGCAGTCCTGGGAGACGTTGAGTTGTGGCATGTTTTCGTTAAGACAAGAAGCTGCGAGATGGTAAACAGCCTGAGGTACTTACTGCATTCAAGTTACGAGATTACGAGTCGGCCCATAGTTCATCAGTTTAATTCACTAGATATTCTTTTATTTCTTGCTCTGATACTCTGATACTAACGCTTTCTGCTTACCATGCATCCGTGTCTCCTATATCCATTTCACATTTCTATATGTCATTAATTGTGTGGCCACCAGAAAAGGATGAACGTACGCGCCACGTCTTCGGTAAACGGGAGGAAGCGCTCGGATCTGACTTGCGGGGTACGCCGCCGGCTGGTTGACATGCCCTTTCGCTACCGAACCATGACCACGACCACGCAATGACAATGAGTAGTATCCCCCGAGCCTTCATCCGACATGCTGTCGAAAGGAAAAGAAAAGGACGTCTCTTCGAGCGAGCACACCTTCAAATGCACTATTCCCGTCTCCTGAGCATCTTGCGATCTTCAGCTTGAACCTTTGCCTATGCTGCGGTCCCTCGATCTGAACTCCTTCAAGAATGTATGTATCTGCATCGCTGCTCTCATAGCCTACGGGACGCATGCGGGACGATATATCCCTGTGCGTCGGTGCGATAGGAAACAATGACGACGGCCAACTAGGGCCAATTACGAGCATCTACCAGCACTTATCGCAACGGCTCCAAGTCCGCCTACGCCAACGGCCACACCGTCAGTGCCGGCCGTCGCTGTCCCTGTCTCGATCTTATCTCCATCGAATATTCTCCTCTGCAGGATCATTGGTTTCTTGCGGGAAATGGATATAAAGCAGTAACTCTACAGACGATGTGTTCCCCTTTTCACTCTGCACTCTCTAGCTCCCTAGTCTTCTTTTGTTTGATATATATCGTCCTCAACCTCCGCCAAGTCAAACATGCCTTACCCTGATACTTTCGAAGGTTTCTCTGTCTATTCGCACGAGAAGTGGAGTGATTTCAAGAGGACGGAGGTACGTCCTGCGTTGCTTCCGACTTGGGAACAAGAGCGACGAACTGACCTGGCGCTTTCTTCTATATAACAACATCTTATATCTCGCTTATATGCATCCTTTCCGATACTCTTAGCTCACACCAAAGACCTTTGGTGATAACGATGTAGATATCGTTGTTGAGTGCTGTGGCGTCTGCGGAAGTGCGTATCTCTTTCTACTTCAGTAAGCTCGCCGCGAGCCTCATCCACATCTTCCACGCCGTCTCTACACCCTGCATCTACCCCAACTTGCCAACCAACCATCACTCATTCCTCACCTGCACAGGCGATCTCCACACTATCACCGGCGGCTGGGGCCAAAGAAAGCTCCCTCTCTGCGTCGGCCACGAAATCGTCGGCAAAGTCATCAAAACGGGTCCGAAAGTCACGCTCTGCAAAATCGGAGACCGCGTCGGAGTGGGAGCTCAGATCAGGGCGTGTCTGGAGTGCAAAATATGCAAGTCTGACAACGAGAACTATTGTCTGCACAAGAAATGTGAGTGCCTCCTTCGACCCTGGGTGTAGTTGTGTTGCTGAGTGCGCGATGGTGGCGACTAGTTACGTACGGCTCGGAGTACGAGGACGGGATCGTTTCGCAGGGTGGTTATGCGAGCCATGTTCGGGCACATGAATATTTCACGTTCCCGATCCCGGATGATATGGAGTCTGCCACGGTCGCACCTCTGATGTGCGCCGGCCTCACCGTCTTCAGTCCCATGTACCGCGCCAAAATCGGTCCAGGCATGAAGGTCGCCGTCCTCGGAATGTACGTCGTATCTTCTCCTCTGACTTACGCCTTGACGATCCGCTCATTCTCTAAATAATAAATCACAGCGGCGGCCTTGGCCATCTCGGTCTCCAATTTGCCCGTGCTCTCGGCGCCGAAGTCTACGCCCTCTCCCACTCGCCCCACAAAAAAGAAGACGCGCTAAAATGCGGTGCCCAACACTTCATCGTCACCTCCGAGCCCGACTGGCAAAAGCCCTGGGCGTTCACGTTCGACTTCATCCTCAACACCGCCGACGTCACTCACACCTTCAACATGGTCGACTATATCTCCACACTCAACATTAACGGCGTCTTCCACAACGTCGGCCTTCCGGACGAGCCGCTCCCAGAGATGCGCGCGACGCATTTCTTGTTCAATGGCGCGAGCATTACGGGCAGTCATATTGGGAGTAGGCCTGAGGTGATCAAGATGCTGGAGGTGGCGAAGGAGCATGGGGTCAAGAGCTGGGTGGAGGAGGTGCAGGTGGGCGAGGAGGGGTGTAAGGAGGCCTTGGAGAGGTTGAAGAAGAATAACGTGCATTTTAGGTTCACGTTCGTTGGCTACGATAAAGCGTTTCCCAACCGAGTGACGGAGGCATAGGAGGCGAGGGAGGGCCGAGAGGTGGAGGTGCAGAAGACGTAGAGAGTGGGTGATCGGAAGTCCTATAGAATTATGACAATGTACGCCTTGTATACCTCATTATGAGTTGCTTATCGGCCATGTATATGGTTACTGTTGAATCTTTGCAGTACTTGCACATGCTTCTGGTTATCTCGTGTGGCGTATGTGTGGCGTGTCCCCGCGCCACACCTGGAATATGGACATCGTCCCGTCTATGACCATCCAGGATACTTATACCAAATACATATCTGTTCAAGGGGAATGGAAAGGTGCTATATTTTAAGCTCAAAAGTCGGGCCACCCTGGTTTGTCAATGGTGAGCGGTCAATAAAGTGAACGACGTGTTGAATGGCGCGCATTACCGCGCAACAATTTTTACAATCATTTGCGTTCGCGGTCCTTGATACTGAAAGCTTAACTTGTCGCAGGCTTTATCAATGATGGCAAATTCCATTTCCTCCGTAAGTAATCATACACACTGCAGACCGCTCTATAACCGGAGTCAGAGGCTCTACGCCACCTCGGTACGTTTAGATCTCGGATCAAATCCCTCAACCTGGATACGCAAATAGACCGTAAGTTCAATATAAATTACTTTCGATGTATTACAAAAACACGCACCCAGACGATCCCGTCGGTCAAAGGACTATTCTTCATATGCGCGTCCTCCTCATACCACATCCCCAAACACTCCTTCTCCGCGATCCCAAACTGCTTCCCAACCCACTTCAAAATATGCTTCTCCCTCTCTTCAGAAAGCTCCCTGTCGTGCTTCGTGTAGTTGCTATACAGCGCAATGACGAGATCGTAATCGATATTGATGACCATTTCGCAGGTCACGGCAGGCGCTGAGAGACCTGGGTGGGCTTTGAACCGTTCCGCCAGGTGTTGGCCGACTTCGTGGTGAGTTTTGAGCTTCTCTTGGTGGCCGTAGAAAGACATCTGATGGGTCGTGATTCCCAGGCCGAAGTACATGGTGACGGGTTTCTTATTATGGCGGGAGGCCACTCGAGCCCGTCCGGTGGTTGGATCTACAATGTCTAGGTCCGGAGGGAGAGCGTTCCTCGGTTTGGCGACGAGCTCTGGCAGCATGAACTTCATTTTCTACCGAAAACATTCGTTATCGATGTTGAATGGTATGCATCATGAGAGAAAACGATGGGTGGGACACGTACTGCACGCGTGAACGCCATGGCGCGTATTGTCTTCGACCTTCCATCCGGCGTTCGCTCCTCCGAATAATCTGGAGCATTCACGCACCAAAGGCGTCCATTTTGTGTAGTGAACTTGAAATTGTATCGCGCTATAGCCTCATCGAGAACGGAAAGCGACGGCTCCTCAGGCTTTGCGACTCGTCGATTTGACAGTGTGATCGGGGTGCGTGAGGGTTGCATTTGGGAGCGAGCTATAAAGCCAATGCGAGAACAAGATAGTAAAGAGAGAAAGAGAGACCGGGAAGATCGCGAGAACATAGCCATCAACATGCTTAAATATTGATAAGCGCGGTACCATACCATATATGGGACGAGCTTTGTAGGACCCTGACTGCGTGACCATGTCTTTGTTCCCAAAAAGGACTTTCGTCGCTGTGCAGTCGACACCTGTAGTCTCGGCCCTCTGCCACATGGTCACAGATAGGGAGATTGCTTTACAGGCTGACGGTAACATCGGTATATCACGATTTTGTCATTGACGTCAAGTAGATAGGTGTGTTTCAAAAAATCCTGTCTTCGTCCCAGTCACTACCTTGCAGTAACTCACTCGTACATCAGTCTGCATTATGCGTTCACAATATGCACTTATCCCTCACTACCATCGGCGTCTATATCATCCTCATCCGTGCCTGGAAAATGGAGAGGAGCTCCAATATTTCCAAGCACTCTACTTTCACTGGACCACTCTGTAAAGAGCCCGTGTCTTGCGTGGCTTGGGAGCCGTGTTCCATCGTAGGCCTTGAGGTTAAGATACAGCCTGCTCACAAGCATGTTTGGTATACTATTATGACCATTGCTGTTAGTGCTCATGATCAAGGCTTGCAAATATACTCACAAGACGTCAAAGAACGGGGCCATGAGGAATAGGAAATGGTTTGCTGCGGCTGCTACCGACTGAGGAAGTATATGGTGAGCTATATATGAGGAGAATTTGAATTGAAGATAGTAAGACGAGGCAGACCTACTTCACCAGGGTCGGACGCTTCAAACTTCGAAAGATACTTAATAGGGCGTACAATGTATATATGGGCACTTCGCGATACTCACTACTTGAGGGACAGCAACTGCAACGCCGCTAATGAAAGCAATGCTTGCAAAATGGGGTAAACCGTAAGTATCATGATTAGGCCTCAAGAGGAGAGAGAGATTGGACGTACACAAAGTATCCTGTGCCTATCGGAAGGTGTCAGTATGAGAGACCCATATACAACTCCATCAACTCACCATCACGAACAAGAAGGTGCGTGATGCTCTGCTGCCTGAAATGGCGCATCTCTCGGGCTTGCTGCACCGTCTTGATAGACGTCAAGACGAAGATAAGGGAGTCGAAGGCCAGCATAAGGAAGACTATCGCTGTCTGCACTGAAGCGCAGGGTGGATCAGTACGGGCTTGAAAGCGGAAGCGATATAGCTATGAAATTTACACCTAGTACCCCTCAGTCAACTTGCGAAACGAGTAGAAAATGAAGACCATACCGATAGTAAAGCTCAGGATGAATGATCTGATCAATGCAGCTACTGGCCTTGAGGGGCTCCGTGACAGCTATGTCGTCGGAGTAGATACTCGAGGTCATGATAAGGTCTATGATCTTCGAGGAGGGTGGTCAGGATTTTTCCCACCTGGATATTGATGCAAATCTGAATGCTTACAACATGAAGAAGGAATCGAGCTACTGATAAAGCGATAGGCAAGACCACTATTGTGGCACTGCAACCGTATAGCGCGTATACTCTGAAGATAAACAAGGCTGAAGCAGAAATTAGTGCCTCTGTACATTCATATCAAGCTGTTATCGCTCACCGCAAGCAGGCATGATCGAAGAGATGTAACAAGATCTGTAGGCATACCAGGAATAACGGCACCTATCAAACGACAATGTGAGCAATTCCTGGCCCGGCACTTGGATGTTATGTGAAGAAAAGCCTCACAAGGAAGTCGACCCAATGATACTGCCAGAGATTCTTATGGCGAGACAAATATGACTAAGGAGGAAGATGTACTTGTTTGCGATGTAGAGGCAGGAGACAACAGTAAGGCGCCTCTGCCAGACACATCGCACCTCGACGGTGAATGTGAGTATGAAATCGTATATCCAAGCAACTAGGACAAACAAGTTTTAGTTAATAGCCGAGTTGAAAGGGCATAGGATTCGACATACCAATGCCACTCAGGATAACATAGGTCGCGAAAAGCCTGCCAGATATCAGAGAGTTTATGGGGATATCAAAACAATGATGTACGAACTGGAGGTTGAACTGAACAGCGAGGTTTTCTGGGGTAAAGTTGGAGTCACTCATTACCATCCTCATGAAGGGCGTAGGATCTATATATAGTACAATAAAACAATTCCAGTGTGATATGGAGCGCGTAAATCCTACGCCAACAGCGCCGACCTCGTCTATTGCAGGAGCATTGAATATACTCCATGACGCCCATCGCTCACACGACTGACGGCTACCAGCCAAGCTGAGAAACTATCGTGGCGAGTCACGAAAGCATACTAGCCATGCGAAGAGTCAAAGACTGGAGAGGGCATGTACAGGCCGGTGGACGGTCGCTAGACACCGATATGGGATGTACGATGATGTAGACCGATTCTATCCAACAAGCGAGGTGATGGATCAAAACTCAGCGGTGATGCAGAGGATGTTTTCAACAATCGCATGGCTGTCGACTGCGTCCGAGTCGGGAGCAAACAGGCCAAACACGATGTTGATGCGGCCGTTTGAGCTCGAGGACAGAAAGGAGAGATTTTGACAAGGAGTTCTAATCACGAGGGCGAGAAAAAACTAGAATCATGCGAGCATAGATACTGCAATCGTCCCGTATCGTGAGTCGCGAGCAAGTCGTTCGGTGTATAGGACCAAGTGGATTGAAGTTGGAGTTCATCCGAGTCGTAGTTCAAAAAATACCGGCAACGAGCGGATTGCGTTCCCACAGATGCCAGCGCACATCAACCTCGTTCCAACCCCGTTCATTTCTGCTCGTGTCCGTCGAAATCTGATCGCGCTGATATTCCTATGGACGAACTTGTAACTTTGTCTACTTGTGTTGGACAATCATGAATCCTGGCGCCTGACGACGGATACGGTGGCCAAACGGTGGCCGACCTCTGGACGTCGTTTGCGAAGTTGCTGCAAGGTTGTAGTACGCTGATCCCTGAACAAACGACATTCTTGTTTGGGCCTACTAGCTGCTACTCGTTCTTTGCTCATCAAAGGGATGCTCGAAGTCTTTGCTTTTTTCCACCCATGTATCATTCGTCGTTTCTGGATCTGGCTGGCCATCATGTATCACGTCCGTCTGTCACCCCTCGTGAGAATAGGTACCAGAGGTAGAAAGGTTCTTCTCTCACGCTCTCCTCTTTGCTCTTGCCCCCATCACCGCATCTCTGAATTATCACTCTGGTGCAATGTTCATCCACCCTGTCAACCGCTCAGTTCGGCTGGCATATGCTTTTGGGCTTCTCAGTCTCGCCGTGTCAACTTGCTCTGCGACCCCGACGAACGTCACAATCGACGACCAAACGGGCGACGCGATCTCGGGACTTCTACCAAATTACAGTCCATCAATCGCGTGGAACCAAGGTGCAGGCTGTGATTTCTGCGCTGCGAAGCCGAACGCGAGCGATGCTGGAGGTGGGACTTGGCATGACGCTAGCTACAATCCAGGGGTGTATCCGGAACAATTCGGCGTAACGCTGCAGTTCAACGGTATTTTTTCTCGCCAAGCGTATACTTTGTTACCTTATGAAAGCTTACTTGACTGTGGGATCGGCAGGCACAGCAATTTGGATGTTTAATATTCTGCAGCAACTCACCTTCACCGGTCTAAACTTTACGCTCGACGGCGAGGACGCTGGTTCCTTCATCTGGGACAACGCCAGTAGCTTTGAATTTTTGTATAATCAGAGCATCTTCCAGAGAGATGGATTAGAGCAAGGGCCACATACACTTGTGGCAACGGTGTCTGGAAGTAACCAGAGTCTCATTTTGTTTGACTATGCGATTTACACGTGAGAGAGTTCTCTTGAATGTCCTTATCTACTCTATCATTCTCGAGTAGTCTTGCCAATGATGCTGATTCCATTCGCGCTAATGTTAGGACCGACACGGATGTCACCACTGCACCAAGCAGTAGCGCAAGTCCTACCAGCACTTCTTCTGCTCCCACCACTTCACACTCGACCCCTGTCGGTGCCATAGTGGGCGGCATCGTTGGAGGAATTGCCGCCATATCTCTTCTTCTCATCGCTTTTCTCTGCTACCGCTGCCGCCAGCGCACAAGCTCCGGCCTAACAACATCTACAACACATACCTCCATCAGTCCATTCACGAGCGACACACTCAGCCCGGAACCATCTTCCACCACCAAGGCCTCTTTCGCCTCCCTCGGACAGCCTTTGGCTACCTACCGACCCGCTCGGTATCACGAGCCGTCCAACCCAGCACCGAGCGACTCGACCCACCTTCCGCTTTCGCCACCCTCGCGCCTTGCTCCATTGAGTGACGCACCGGTACCCTCGTCTCATGGACTCCCAAGCGTTTTAGATATCCACGCAGGAACGCGGACTATGGCTACGACTCCGATGGGGCCGTTGTCGACAACGAGTTCAGAGAGAGACAGGGCGAGGGGAAGGCAGCTGGAAGAGGAGGTTGAGAGGTTAAGGACGGAAATGAGGGAGATGAGAGCAGGAAATGTAAGGGAAAAGTTACCAGGGTATGAGAGCTCAGGGGACGATGTTCTGATACACAGAGAACCGTAACCAGTGCTTAAACTGAGAAAGGATTTGCATTACATGCAAAGTTGGAGCGACGTTGAGCTGGCCGTAAGATTGCTCGACGATGTTCGGGTCTTGAAAGTGTGGCGAAGAACGGAACAATGATAGAGCGCCGAATACGACTCAAGTCGGATCGATTCAGACATCTCTTGAAAGCTCACAGACGACCGGATGGGAAAACATACATATATACATTCACAGTACAATCCACTCACGATCTACATCAGAAAAAATGCAAGAGAACGAAGCGAAGAACGTGCAAGACAGGAGAAAACAACAACAGTGACACGAACGACGGATTCAGGGCTTAGCCCAGCACTACACATTTGTAGACCCTACCTCGGCAGTTCACCCTCCCCCGACTCGATCAGCGACTTCCTTGGGGGAAACCTACGACAAGTCGAAACCGGCACCAGAGAACGCAGCCTGCAACAGTTTATCCCGTAATGTTTTCTCGTCCTTGTACCTCGGTAACTACAGTTGCAATTATCAGCACGCCGCCTCAAAGATCGGGGACAACCGGATGTAACAAGACCAACCTTCAGCAAGTTAACGCAAGTACTTGACGTCGGCAGGCGGGTCTGGTCTGATCCGGCATCTCGGATCGAGAAGTTGGGATGGAGCTCCTTGAAACCTCTATAGAACGCGTCGGCCTTCACATTCACGCCGGATGACAAGGAATAAGAGGAACGTACAGCAATGGTGGTCTGCCTACACTGGTCACAAACCGAAGCACAGCGCGCCGTTGGTCATGGTCGAACGTTTTGAGAACCTAGCGCAGCAGTATCGTTTGTCAGTGTCCATGGACGACGGAGGGCAAGCAACGGGGAAGGGACTGACATTCCAGAATGCCACGATGGTTGGCTCGTTGTCGTCATACAGCCCTCCGTAGTTCGTGTGGCTCCTGAGATCATCAACGTCTATCGGGGCATTAACTCCACCAAGGAGGACTTGCAGCTCTTGCTGGTTGAACATCCTGTACATTACATACGAGCCCAGCGTCAGCAATCAATTCAATCCTCTACGCCAAGGGGCGGTCGAAATAGAATGGGGAGACGAGCACGCACCTCAACCACTTCTGATCAATGACATCACTCAAACCATCGAAGAAGGCCTCCGTCTGTTTGCGAATCTGTTTCGTCAACCGGTAGTGCGACATCCTGTAGATGTACTCCAGCCGATTATCCCGGGTCACAGGAATGTTACTCCCATTTGGACAGAGATCAATCGTGTTCGTCACGCCAAACTCTATAACATACAGAGAGCCCAAGTCTAATTAGAACAAACCACGTACGACTAGGCTGCCAGGAAAGATCGGGATGGAGAGACAAACGCACCTTCTTCAGCGACGGTGAAGTTCAGCGAGAGCTCCTCTGGATTGCCAGTGTAGTGTTTCAAAAAGATGAGCCCATGATAGAGGTCTGGGTCGAGCGAGGCCAGGTCATCAAGGAAGCTCTGCTTGCCTAGCCACTGAAATACGATGCCACGCAAATCACGAGTCAGTACTAGCTCATGAGGAGTAATGAACGGTGTTGCAAGACGCACCTTGGCCAAGAAGAACCCTGCGAAAGCGACGTCCACCAAAATCCCTTCGTAGAGCGCTTTGCCCAGGATGCGCCCGATGAAGCGATACCAGTTCAAGTTGTGAGCTGTACGATGGCATGAATAGCTCATCAGCCTCCAAACACGATCACAATGAGAGATAGATGCACTGGAACTTACCTTCCCTCGCGTAAGAATGCGGGTTCGGATACAGTTCATTCTGCTGATTCGCAAGCCACAAACCCCTATTCGTATCAAACGCCTCCTTACACAACTCCGTGAAAAACTCCTTGAAAACGCCACCGCCATCAATCCCGCTCTCCACCTCCCCGAACTGATCCACAAACGTGATCTCCACCGGCATCCTCAGATCCGCCTCCGCCAGTCGATTGAACCCGTCCTCTGCGACGTGTCCTCGTCGGACCGTCACGCGCGTTCGTTTGTGGAAGTATTGGCGACGGTCGACGCCACGGCTGGACATGTCATTCGCTACAAAGTTGCGGAAAATGGAGACGCGGGCTTCGAAGGGGATGGAGAAGGGGATATTGTTCAGGATTCCGAGGCGGGGGGAGAGGTAGGCGATGTGACGTTTGGAAAGCGGACGAGTGCCCGTGGGCTGCGAGAGTTGTTGGTCCTCGAAGCTAGTAATGACGTCATCAGTGAATGCAGGTGCACATACAACGACGGGCGATTTGCGACTCACAGGGCAGCCTCAATGAACGAGGTTAAGTCGATCTGCGAGCCAATGAGCCAGTGGTCTGGAGGCGTGAACTTTTTCCTCGAACTAAAAAATCACCATCAGTTCACCTGCACACGCACAACGATTGTGAGCACTCACTCTCTCGCATGTATAGCTACCAAGCATCGCGTCACCTTCTCCCTAACACCCTCCCACTTCAACCCTCCCGCTGCGCCCCCAGCTCCCTCAAACCCAGGTACAGCGCCCTGCAGTACGCCGATCTGATCCTCCCTCCAATACAGCGTGAAAGCGATGTTCAACAGCTTCCTCGAGAAAACGACCAGCTCGTCAAGCGTCAAAGGGTTCCGTGGCACATTGGCGGCGGCGGAAGCGGAGGAGAAGAACTCGTCGTCTCCCATGGTAAGCAAGGCTTGATAGTAGAGATCGGTAAGGAAGAGGAGTGGGGGCCAGTCTTTCGCGTGTGCAGGTGCTGTGTGGAAAGTCAGATAAGTACTTTGATGATAGCCAGCTGGGAGTAAAGTGGACATACACATCAAACTACTACCGTCAACACCCTCCCTCCCAAGCGCACTGCTCCGCACGATCCCTCGATAGATCTCCCTCACAACGCCTCCTCCACTACCGATTAAGACTGCACTCAACACCCCATCGCTCCTGTTGGGCCAAACCACACAAAGAGCAAACAAGCACTCATACAACATATCCCTGGTCGCAGGATAATGTTGGGAAGCAGACAGCAAAGACTTAAGGTGCGGGATGGATGGTATTGTCTGTAGTCGTTTGAGCGTCCGGGTGTCGAGTTTCGGGAGGGATGGGGGAGCGGGAACTGGGGCAAAGGACGAGACGGCTGTGACTCGGATGGCGGCTGAGGATTCGTCGTCTGAATCTGATTCTACGGCATTAGAATTCGACCCGGACGAGGAGGATGGTCGGGCGGAGGGTTCGAGCGCATACGTGGGAAGAGACTTCATAGTCGCTCCGAGAAGTGACAACCAGCCTTTCAAGGCCGGGGCGGAAAGCTTGGGGTAGCGTGGCGGAATGAAGGCAACGAGGTTAGAAGTCAAATGGACCTTTTCTTCAGTGTCAATGAGCGGTACAAAAAGTGAAGGATCAATGGATAGAAGTGCATTGACAGGTAGGCGAGCGGAGAGCACGGATATTGAGGTAAGGGGTAGGCGATTCGGCAAGAGTGGGATGGTAAGGATATGTTGCGTAAAATCGACCTGAGCTTTGAGAAGCATAGCACCGAGATCGAGTGAGAATAGGTTGGTCAAGAGAGGTACAAGCGAAGGTAATGTTGGAGAGTTCTTGGATTCTACGGGCTGCACAAAGTTATAGTTAGATACGAACCGAACGGTAAGACGTTAGGGCTTACTATTCCGCGGATTGCTTGTGAAAGAAGTCGGTACAGGTCGCGTTGCAGAAGATATAGAGCTATTGGTACGGTCCAAGAAGATGAAGGTGCTAGCAGAATATCGAGCACGCGTAGGTGTGTGACAGCGTAGGTAGATCTATAAGGTAAGCGATCAGTATACGACTGAGACTCAGAATATGTCTTATCCAAAAATTAATTCGATATGAACTTGTATATCTTTCACATAGACCAGGAGAGAAAAACAACGAACGAATGCGCGTGAGTTTAAAGCTGTCAGTCGTGCCACAGGAGGTGTCACCGCGACGCCACACGACTCAAACAGTGGGATAGCGAGATTTTGACGAGCAGTGGCTTTCTGACTGACAAAACTTGTGCACGCTCCCATAGACGTGGGCGAAGGGTACCCAGAGCCCAAACATATCGTACAGAACATCACCGCATCAATAATGTGGCGCTAAGCCTCATGTATTCCAAGTCAGGATTGCTATCGGACCGCCCTCGGCATACTTGCCAAACCAAAAGCAAAGACTGCAGAAGGCATGCGAAGGATCGAAACATGCATATGAAAGACACTCACTCAGGATGCTCAGCCACGGATTGGAGGATGAGGAGGGCTGCTTGTCGTGTAAGGACCAACCAGCTCTCTCGTTCGGGTCCATTCGCATGCTGAAAGAACACATCTATAACGCAAGTTCAGAAGATACGAGATCAGATAGTTCCCAAATGACGGACCTTGACCACCGCTGGTCAACGTCGTCGACCAGTGACCCAATACTTCCTCGTCCTTCCCAATCAGCACCATACACCGGAGCCCATTGACTCCCAACACATCCTGCGCAAAACTTTGTCTAAGCTGCTGCCTCACATTCCTAACCTGCATATTACCCCTCCACCATGCCTGTATACGGACCGCCGAGTCATGTTTCTTCCTCGAGTTCTCGCGTTCGGAACGTCTTGCCTTGGCTTGATTGAGTATATGAGCATGCGTGGTGGCAGAGGATGCTCCGCCAAGATTGATATTTCGGCGCCGTTCTTCGCTGCCAAATAGTGAGCTCATGTATGAAATTTATACAGCTGAAGGGAGGCAAGGGTGAGGCTGAGGTAGGCTGATGAAAGTACAGAGCAAGGAGACGCGTACTCTGCCTGAGCGCTCGTCGCCACACATTACGCAATCCGTGGATCCGTCTTCCTCGCCACAAAATGTGCTCCTATTCAATTAATTCACTAACCTTTGTTCTCTGAGATTGTGAGGGCACAAAAAATAAAGGAGAGCAAGGATATGGTACTGTATATGAAACGATCATATAGATAATGAAAAAAGAGCTGTCGTGACAGTCAAGAGACAGCAAAGAGAAGTGGCCTCAACTGGAGTTCTGGTTGAATTCGACTCGGCCTAAAACTGACATCACTCAGACAAAGGAAGTGGCCATGGACGAGTCTGCAAGTTTCTTCTACCGATTCTGCTCTGAACATCGGCAAAAACTTGAAGCTCTACATCCAACATATATATCTCTGAGGTGTGTAACACCATCCATAAGGCCTATATCAAAATGCTTATTTCAGTATTTCAACCATCAGGTTTGTCTTAACACGGGTTTCCCGTAATGATGAGCCGCAATGTTGCAAGGTGGCGAAGGCTCCTCAACACAAGTCCTGAACGTGTTGTCAGTGTGATTTCGCTAAGGAGAACCACTAACCAACAAAATAGGTGGGGAGACACCGCAAATGTCAGTAGGATCGTATTCTCCCTGAGCTCACGTCGATCAGTGCGATAAGACTCTCGCTACCAGGACATCGCCGCTGTGTTCATCACTCTGAAAGAGGTCGCTACAGCGCCGGAATCGAAGCTATTGAGCCTCATCGTTAGAGGTAGGGAATCCTATTCTGTAGTCTATATTTTGGATATATATTCGGGAATGTCACTTCCTTGAGGACCCTTTAAACAACTCCATGAGCTGTGATATCTTAAGGTGGCGAAAGTAGTCCACCACGGTTTAGTGACCTTTCTGGTCCATTATTTCTAGCTAAATTGTCTCGACCACACGTTCAGAATGACGTTTCCTCAGAATCGATATTGGTCGGGGTACACTTCTACAGAGGCATCGAACGTGCAGGTTTGGGGAACCTGAACGGAAATCTCTCTGGAAAAATGTCTGTATAGTTCATACCGCTGTCATCGTCGAGGATGGGTACACGCAACCCACACGTCAAGCGATGCTCTGGCCAGTCCCTTCATGTCGTAGTATTAGGGAACATTGAAAAGTCAAAGGCAAAAACGGACGTGCTCACTTTTTCTGGCAAGCTCTCCCGCAGTATCGCACGTCCTGACATCCCTTGCATCGTTGACTAGATCTTTCTGTACATCCTCGTCGCATGCATCGCCGTTCCACCTCGCAGATGGACTGCAGCTCGCTTAAAACGAACCAGATAGTTTTTGTATGGTATACGTGAGATTCTGGAGCGGTTTGCCACCACCGGTGGATCATAGGGTCTGCTACGAATGCAAGATCGAGACATTCGTACATGAGGCGAGATCGAGGCAAATCAGGGCGAAGTATGGGAAGGAAAGCTGGGCTGTTGTCGACAATGCCGTGAATGTCTCTAAGAATACAGCTGACATTGTCTGGACACCACTGTTAAGTATTTAGACACCGTTGGTTAGAAGGATACGCACGGAGATTATTAGTCCCATTTTTCCCGTATCTCAAAACACCCTCTAGACCTTCAAACAACCTTGATTTTGCACAGACCCTGAGGAGCGATCCTGTCTGTTCTGCCCAGCGTCCGTCAACAAGGTTCAACAAGTGTCTTGTGAGAAGCAAGATGGCCGTTACAGCGGCTACGCTGTCGTCACCTAAGGATGGCACAAGCTGTCGGGGATCGTGGAGGAGAGAGAACAAGTAGGTAAATATTGGCAGAGAGCGACACATAGTATTCATGAACGATGTGTCCAGATTGGAGCCCACGCGTGAAACTTGGCTTAGTGTGATGAGAAAGCTACAGGCTGCACATAATTGCTCTAGGCGCAAGTCAGTCGGGCGCTGTAAAAAGTTGTCTAGAAAACGTCCTGGAGATCCATCCGGAACGCCTTGAAGGAAGGCGGGAATGACATGTGGTGGGACAGGATGGGACTGCCTATAATTGTAGACCATATTGTCCTTGCGCGGATCAGGATCGAACGCGAGGGAGAAGCAGTCGGCAGCTCCACCGGCGTCATGTGCATGGGTCGTGTGCATCCAAAAGCGGGAGATAAGTGGAACAGTTTTGTCGTCGCACGAATCGATGATGCTGCGTACAATCAGCTTGCGATTAAGCACAATGACTGACAGCCTACCTGAGAAACGACGGCTCCTTTCTCATTAATTCAGCTAGGAGCCAAGCAAACACTGCACGCTCAAACACGTGTGTTGGTCCCGGGAGGAGGCTTCTCTGGGGGTCCCGCCACATCTAATTACGAGAGTTCCATAAGGATGCGTTAAACACACAGATCGCGAACGACATTCCAACTCACCTGATCCGTCAATGCTGTCCAATAACGCTTTATACAGAGAATGAATTTTTGATCTCTCGACGAAAGGGGACTCTCCAGGTGATGAGCACCCATATAGAGAATCTCCACAGGGATATGATAAGACGATTCCATCTAGAGGAAACAGTGATTGAACGACAGTTATCGAACCCCGAACTATGGACCGAAAGGCGTACTGTTTCTCTGGCGGCTAGTCTTTGCTGTTCCGTCGTATCCAGATTTTCAGGAAACTTCATCTCGAGATTGATAGCGGCTAGGCAGAGTTGTTCTGCAATACCATAATCCACAAGAGCTTTCCAGGAAGATCCGCCTTCCCAGGCGACCTCTTTCATAGCGAGCATGGACATGGTAATATCCTACGACTCTTGATAAACGGAGCTCTTAGACAAGGGTGATGGTTGCGTACAAGTCCAGTATACCCCCAGCGATTGCGATTCGGACCGACTTGATAGAACTCCACCACTCGCTTCGGGTTTGTTTCGATAATCTTGCGCCACGCAGATTCCGAAGGCATCGTGGGTCTAAAGAAGGGAGGGAGTCTTCGAGGCTGTTTGTGTGACATGTCAGCTAAAGTCGGGCCTTTTCTTGGGAGTGATAGCGCTGAGAGGGCCGGGCTCACCTTGTTCGCGAATATCGGAGATGGCGAGCGCAGGGCTGTGGGATGGTAGAGAGCACGACGAAGAATTACTACGTCCGCGACGGAAGTCGAGATCAAATATAGGCGTCCAATCCGGAAGAACCGTGTGAAACTCTATACGGAATTAGCCGGTTTGGTGAAATCGAATACGGTGTGTGGCCCTTTGGTGGACCTAAGCATGCCTCTCGCTCCCAGTGGGGGTTTTTTTTCCTATCTAGCGTTGATTATATATACATTTCCTCAAACAGGAAAAAAGTAATGCCAAGATAAGGACAAGAAGTGTCAAGCAATGTCTGTAATTTACATTAAAGGTATCTGAATCGGAGAAGACGCACTGCACAATCGAGCCCGAGGCCTGCGCCCAAGCTTCCTTATGATCATAAGGGACGCAGACGCCGCTCAACAAAAGGTACCACACGAGCTTCCCCGGTATTTGGCTGTGTTATTCCAGTTCCAGGGCGTACCGGTCTCCGCACGACAACCTTCCGTCGTCCAGCGCTCTTCATATCTAGCCCCAACCTATCCGCGATATCCTGCAAGGCCTCCTCTCGCCTTAGACTCGACATGATTCCAGATATACTTGATCTCGGCGAAGCAGCAGCCCCTGTGGTGAGCGTCCGCGTTCCTGCATGAATATCCAGTACGCTCGGGAGGTCCAAACTGGGCGGTGAGAGTACAGCAGGACTCGCGCTCGGCCCACTGCCGCGGTCTAGGATCTCGGTCATGTCTATCGACAGTGAATCATCGTGACGGTGGTAAGGATGAGCGACCCTGGTTGACCTGTTGTCGTTTCTTCGATTTTCATCGAAATGGTCTGTGAATGGAGTGATAGTCCCGGGATTTTCCGGGTGAAACGTGTGACGGGAGGAGGCGATACGTCGACGGCGCCATAATAGAAATGCAAGGGCGGAAACGGCAGTGGCCACAGCCGCGGCAGCAACGGAACCAGCAATGATCTTGACCCGTTGTGCGTGCGATGAAGCAGATGAGGGTATTGTTGCTGATGGTACGAAGGAAGGTGAAGCCGATGTCTGCGATGATGTAGGTGATGGCGCAGTCGACGAGGAGACAGTCAATGGTGAAGTCAGTGGGGCCGATGTGATCGAAATGGAGAAGCGAAGAGGAGATAATGTTGAATTTGTGGGAGTTGAGGTCCTTTGCGTGATTAGACTTGTCGGAGGGACTGAGGGTGACGTGGGTATGGTGGATGGAGACTGCGGTGCGGGCTGTGTGGTCGACGGTCTCAAAGAGCTCCAAGAGCCTATTGTGGAGCTGGGTAGTAGAGGTTCTAAATCTGTCCTGAGAAAAAAGAACTTCAGAGAAAGAGCACCCTGAGGAGAACCGTGTACCTACATGTATACCGCATAGTCAAATAAAACAGGACCGTCGCTGAACAAGACCGTCCCGACCACCGTGTGAAAGCCTTGCTTCAAGCCCTCCTTAGTGAAGACGGTCTGATTGTACTGGAAGTCACTGTCTCCCGTCCCAATGGCGTCCAAACCTTGAGCAACAAGTGTAATATCCTTGTCGTCGAGCGTGAATGAAAGCGATGCAAAGGTCCCGACTTTGATGATATTGGAAATCCAAATGGCAGTACCTGTAGCGATCCTTACGATGATCAGCTGCTTTTTACAGATACGATCATGATAGACATGGTAGGAGGTGAGACGAAAAGACGTACCATGGAACTGGATCGTGAATGAGGGTGGCTCTTCAAACAAGCTACCGGCAGTCGCGTTGTGCCAAGTCCCGTCAAGAGCGCTACATGGGTCGTCTGCGACATTAAATTCAGTACAGTTGAACTCTTGCCATTCCTCGGCAGGGCTGTAGATGGGCTTGAGACCAGTCACTTCGTCCCCGGCCTGATCGTCTATAGTCACATTCATTGGCACGCATAGGGCGTCCAGGAAAAGGAATGTCATGAAAAGGAATGTGAGAGCGCGCTGGAACGGACGACCTGCGACCATTAGTCTAAGGACTGCGGGTAAAAGGGCTAGGAGGGAAACAGGCCGGGAGACTTAGACTCCGAAGCTAAGCTTTATGGAAGGCAAGTGTTGAAACATCTCACATGGAGTGCAGGACTGACCGGATCGCCAAAGAGACCATTGTAGGAGACAATGCGATGACGCCGACCGATATAGGAACCCATTCAAAACAAAGACCGAATTTGGTAAGAACGAAGGACTGCAACAAAAGTCTGTTCCTGACGATCGTAGCCCTGTAGCATTGCGTGGTGCCTGTCTTCATGTGGTATACGGGAAGCGCAATAGGAAACAGTAGTCTTTCTCGAGGGTGAATGAATACGATCGCAATTGGTCCGATTGATCCTCGTCAGATAGCCACTAGAACGCGCAGGAGCCACCAACTATGGATTTAGTTCGAGTCGAGAATTGAAAGCAGAAACGAACGCCCTCCGAGCACCAGCAACGAATATCACGTCTATGAAAGCATAAGCATCTCAGCCATAATTTGAGATGCCGTAGATCATATGTACCTGGAAATGCATATATGCCGAGAGGGGCTTTGCCCAGCGAACACGTAGATGAGCCACTCAGCCTCGGAATATTTTTCTTGGAGCCTGCACCTGAAATGTTCGGAACAGCTCTATGTGGCAATGTACCGAGACTCGCCACCGTATTACAGCACTGAACCTGTTGAGAATCAGCTGGGCCACACGAGACCTTTCGCGAGGTTTCCATAGATTTTCTCGAGTAATGGATCTGGGAGGAATACCAACTTGTCGCGATCAACGAGTGTAGACAGCCGTCAAGGTCCTTAAACCTCATCGACCTCGGCATGGAGCCTACGTTGCACTTCGAGCGGAGCTGGTAAGAGGAACGTTATGGAGACCACGCAACAAGAGAAACCATCACAGGAGAGCCATGATGATATTGATGTTCGTTGTCGAATATCGCCTTAACGAAAGATTAGAATACTGAGGCACACAAAAGGTCTTATGTACCACTGTTTCATCACGAAATGAGCCTCTCAGCTTCCGGAGACCTCAGTTCAAGCCGACACCTGAAAGGTGTAGGATGGCTGAAAGATCCAAAGATAATCGTTCCATCAAGTTCAGCGTCAATAGGTCCTGATTAGATCTCAATCCACACACCTAATCGTTCCTCCTGTGTATTCCACCTTTGTCTCCACCGGACATCCATCTTCGTCAATACATGGAAGGATGTTGAACACCGAGAGTAACATAGCGGCAGTGATGAACAGCGAATCTTCGGCGAGATGCCGGCCTGGACAGATGCGCCTGCCATATCCGAACACAAAGGTCCTCGGATCGGGATTCGTCTCCGTCGCAGCGGGGCGCTTATCGGATGAACGGGGAGGGTAGCGATCCGGATTGAAGTCGAATGGGTTTGGGTAGAGAGCGTGGTTGTGCAGGATTCCCCTACAGTGCAACGCGGATGATTAGGATCACTGCGATATGGCCCGCAAACTACCTACCAGTTATTCGCAATGACGGTAGATCCAGCGGGAAGGTAGAAGCCCTCGTAATGATCGTCTTCCGTTAGCAGGTGCGGGATTCCTAGTGATCAGGGAGCGTTGGTTCATCTTGTAGTCACGCTAGTCACAGCAGTCGCACCTAGATTTGCCACAGGATTCCAGCGGTGAACCTCTTTGAGTACCGCGTCCAAGTAAACCAGATCGTCTCGATCGTCGAACGTGGGAAGACGTGAAGATCCAACAACTTTATCGATCTCGGCCTGGGCCTTACGTTGGACCTCGGGGTTGATGAGCATGGCCAGGAAGAACGACGTTATAGCGGACACGGTCTATGGTGAAACGTTAGCAGTAGTCCACAGAGATGAATAAGGCCACGCACCGTATCAGCCCCAGCTGCATGAAGACAGAGAGGGTTCGTTATTAATGACCGGCCAGTGGCATAAACGAGAAAGGGAAACGACTTACCAACGTAGAATGCAACGGACGTCCACTTGAGAACTGTTTCCTCCTCTGGAGTTGGGTTCGGATTGTTCTCGATGAGGCTGGCCGTAAAAGAAGGTTGCGCCGTACCATTTTGCTTTGTATACGATTAAAATTCACTAGGAGACCGGCAGAGGAAACCATCGGTAGAGCGTACCAGCTGTTGCGAAATATACTTGTATGGCTCGTCTCTGAGGTCGATCGTCGTCTTTCTCCATTCCCTCGCTTTGCGCTGAAATCCCGCACCAGGGAGCCACTCGGGTATGTGCCTCACTGGGAACGAGTCGTTAGGCCCAAAGGAGCAGAGAATCAAAGAAATAGACATACGTTGAGGCAGCATATCGACAAGAAATGCACCGGGTGTACTCGCTACGCTGAATTCGTGGTCCGCCAGCTCTGCGAGCTGTAGAAGCCAGTCATCGTCTTCTGTTACTTTGTGGGCATGCGACATCTGTAAGACCGTAGCCGCCACCAACCTATGCGACATTCGTTCACTACCCACGTCAAATGCAAGATGTCGTAGGAAGTGAGCTACGTACTTTCTAATCTGCCCGATGAAGGTAGCTGGAGATACCTGGAGTTGGCGCAGGAACTCCAGATTAGTATCCTGGATCATCCTGTGCCAGCCCCGCACTTCCCGAGGTGCTAGTGCTTGACCCAGATACTTGCGTGCCAAACGATGGTTCGGATCGTAGGGATGCAGAGGTATGCTATCCACGTAACCTATCCTGCAACTCTATATCGATATGGCGCGCATTATCTCAAGCTAAGATAAGCGACGTACATTTCTCCAGCCATGGTGAGGGTTGGCCTATCCGAGTATATGGCACTCCTTCTGTCGAGGAGGTCATGTACCACCTTCGGAGAATTTAGAACGACGATGTGCCGACCGAGGACGGTGAGATGCACGATATCGCCTGAACGCCGATTCAGCAACAGGCAAGCATATAATGAAGTAGCGGAGCCCTACCGTGATCTTGAGCCATTTCCGTGAAGGCAAGCCACTCTTTATCGGTGGGCATCTGGTGTGCGTTTCCGATCATCGGCAGCGTTCTCGGACCTGGGGGGTATGGAGGATGTTTCCTAGACGAGACCGCATTATGCACTACAAAGCCAGCAAGACCTATGGCAATGTAGGAAGCGAGATTAAGCGAAGACGACATAGGCAGAAAGAAGAGAGATAATGGGAATGCGAGTATATGATCCCACCCATGTATATACTTGTGCGTTCCCGATCGGCTCTCCGATGGTCCTAGTTTCAGTATAAGGGCATGTCTTGATTGGGAAATTGTATGTCACACTCTCACGTTCTCTACAGCTCAACAAACTTCAATGGCGGACATCAAACGCCGTAGCTCAGTCATCCATCGTTTTTAAGAGAACGAGTAGTAGCTGACGAAGCGATGACAAAGAGGTTGCTGAAGCAAAAGCAATGTCAATATCGTCCTCCACTCAAAAGTCCACCGAGTATCAGCTCGTACCTTTACTAAAACACCAAGCCCCACCAGTCACTCCGCTCAGGATTCTCCGCCACCTTCGACCATCCTTCATCGTGTCCAGTCGCCACTTTCGCCAAATGCTCTGCCACCCTCGCCCAAAGTATTGCATTCTCCTTATCTCCGAGTGCGCAATATACCTTCACCAATGGCTGTAGCACCCTCGTCCATACGTCCGCAGGCCACGTCTGCTCTCGTTCCATTGTGCGCGCCATATTCAGATACCGATCAATCATCTTCATATCCTCCTTCTCCCTATCCTTTCCATCCATAGAACTCGCTCGAGATACCCAAGCCCTCAATTCCTTCTCGTGCACGTCGTATCCATTATTCTTTGCCCATGTTTTGAGAAGCGACCTCGACATGTCACTGTACTTCAATTCCCTGCTTGCAGGTGGAAGGGTGCATGCTGTGCACGAGCAGGTGAAGCCGTACTTGCGTCGGAGCTCGGATTGTCGGCTGGACGACGGTAGGAGAATGTCGATGTACGAGGTAGTTATCTCGGAGCCGGAGGTGATAGGCTGTAAGGCTCGAAGTTGGAGCGTGAAGTTGGTAGAGTCAAAGCGCCAGGACGTGGCCGGTCGACAGCTAAATAAGTACATCATGGACCGTCGTATCAATGAGGATCCTAGGGTAATATCTTGTGTCGCAACGCACCTATGATTGACTCGAGCGATATGTTCCGCCACAGCAACGTAACCTCCCTCCATCTTACTTCCTTCCAACGTCCCGATTCCAATCCCGTTCGTCAACACTCTCCCAAAAACTTTCCCCTCACTACTCTCAAACGCGTTCCCCAAACTCAAAAAGGCCTTCCTTCCCTCGACTGACATGCCCGCCAAAATCCTCTCTTCTAACTCACGGTCTCTCCGCTCCGGCGTAAACCCAAACGTTACTAACAACGACCGCTCTTCAATCACCACTTCTCCCGCATCGATATCCTGAGTCGCGAAGACTCCGTGTCCTCCACCAGAGATCTGTGACTGTGCGATGGAATGAGTGAAGGTGGGCGGTGTATAGTTCCATGATGTGGCGTTGGAATACCGGTCCCAGAGACGTTCCCCAACGGAAGATTCCCAGAAACATGAGACGCGTGTAGAGGATGAAGATGGCCCGAGAGTTTCAAATGTGGGTTTAAGGGTGGAAGCCGTGAGACGTTGGCCTTCAACGGATGGGGGCTCTGGAGGAGTGACAGGTCCAGTGGGTATTGTGATGGACGCCGAAGAAGCAAGGGAGAGTGAAGACATAGCGAGCGATGGCCGTTCGAATATAGCAAGTTTTCGACGTTATTCTGTGAACGAATCGATAAGCCCATTGAAAGCTTCATCGAGTAATACAGCCCACGCAGTAAGATAGTATACCGTTGGTCGAAGGGTGCTGGTTACGGAGCTAATACTCGACGACGCTTGCTATGGTCCTCTCGGAAGCTGAACAAGTTTTTGACGTCTACTAACATCCATTGTATCTAACGAGTAGGTGTTGTGAAACTCACTGGCTAGATGAGGCGGTGGATCGTGGTTGATGTTTACAATCTCGCACTAGTCGTGTTCGAAAACGTTGCGTCTATGTTGGTGTCACCGTGTGAAAATTGTGGCACCTGCGGGTCGTGTGGCGTTACCGATGGCTGGATGGGAACGGAACCTCTTTCCCTCAACGCCCACTTGCTACTTCAACCAACGCAGTGCGCGGACTTCGATTCATCTTTTAAGTACCTGAAATATCGCTTTCATCTTGAGCTGCTCTGGCTGCTTTCAGTTCGACAAGTATTCGAAGTCAGTTTTCTATCTGAACCGTGAACAAACAAGCGGGACAAATGAGCGCTTTGTGATGGAGGTCGTTGGTGCAAACCTCAGGCTATCGCTCGGTGTCGTAGGCAATGGAGAATTATCGGGAGTGCCGACAGGTATGTACGGCTCAATAAGATATCTTGTGATCAACATCGGTTGATGCGAACCTCGTTCAGCATAAATAATATCGGGAGTTCCGGAATACAGGGCCAACAAGGCACGTTTACACAAATATAAGAGGCAGGGATGCGCTTTGGACACAGGCTGTCTGCCTACCTGGATTCTTGAATTCCGTTCTCTACTCATCCGAAGCTTTGAATTCCCTGCCTCTGCATTACACCTGGTTGTACTCGGAAGTGGCCATCTACGCTTGCAAAGACGAGGCATACTTTTTTTCACTTCATCAGCAGGGCCATAACGGAATTTCTCCGGCCTTGTGCGGCCTCATAATGCTTCTCGATTCTGTGAATGACCGATCTCATCATTTTCTCCTCAGCGCTTGCACCCAAACCTTGAAGCGTCTGGAGGAGTCGAGGGCAGTCGGGCGCTCGAAATTTATAGACAGGCACATAATACCTCCAATGTTCGCATCTGGTTCAATTTCATATTTCGTCGCCTCCCTTTGGCCTGTCGCCGACGCCCATGTCGTTGGTCCATGTTTAGATGCTGAAACAATCACAGTTGGATGGAACTGTACGCATGGGCACTTCGGCCTGCTCACGAGGAACATCCGAGATGACAGGCACACTCTTGAAGACGAGCTGCATTAAAACCTGCTCTTCTATGGGAATTTCATCAATTCATCCCGATCCCCTCGACTTGAGGGCATCAGAGGCATCTTCACAATGCTGCCCGACTTCCTCATGGTTTTGGTGGTTACTTTATTTTCGCTTCTCTCCTTCCTCCCAGCCGCAAATGCTGCAGGTACTGATTTCATGTCGCCTGAGCTGGGAACCTTACTGACAAACCTTGTCAATAGATTGTACCACCGCAACCGTTGGCGCTCCGTACAACGATTGGTGCGGTATTCTACTTTGTTGTTGTTGCCTCTTTTTCAATCGCAACTCAACAATGTTCTCCATAGTTATGATATCTGGACTGCTGCTGGAATCACATCAGACGATTTCTACTCGTATAACCCAGGCATAGACTGTAGTCTTCTGGTCCCCGGTGTGTATCCTTGCCGCTAAATACACCGCGATAGCTATGCGCTGACCAAAACGGCTTTATCTTGTAGGCCAGAAAGTTTGTATTTCCTCCGGCTCACTCCCTAGTGACGCTCCAAGCCCATACCCAAATGGAACCTGTTATGAATACACAGTCGTATCCCAGGATACATGCTCTTGTGAGTTCTCGTTACATGCTGTGACTCCGCTTTGCTCACCCTTGACGAAGCCATCGCTGTGAAATTCGATATTACGGCCGACGATATCGAGACTTGGAACGAGGACACGTACAAGTGGGAAGGTTGGCGATTTTATCTCACTGTAATCCTAGGAGAGATAGCTAATATCTAGGGACGTGGACGCAGGATGCAATGGCTTGCAGATAGGTTTCGTGCTGTGTGTTTCTCCAGGTACTCCACCTCCAATCCCGTAAGTGCAACGTTACCAGGTCATTGCGCGGTTGATACCTGACAAGAATGAGTTACGCCAAATAGCATCGATCCAAACGCACAATGTGGTCCGACCAGCTCTGGAAATGCGACATGTCCGTTGAACGCATGTTGTAGCGCATTTGGCTACTGTGGTCTTACAGACGAGTTCTGTTCAACAACCGTACGTACTGTCTATATTGATATGCGCAACTTCCCGGTACCTGCTCACGCATCCATGACTTTTCATTAGGGTGCCAACCCATGGTACGTGTAAAATTCCCTTGTTTCTCGTATCATGCCTTCGACTTGTGTAAGAAGTGTGCTGACATGTGATGAACAGCCAATCAAATTGCTTCATCCCATCACTACCTTCCTGTTCCGCTCCATCCTCTCCGCGAAAGATAGGCTATTACGCAGGCTGGGCCACAGGTAGACCCTGTGGTGCAGTTTACCCTTCGCAGATCGATTGGTCCGGATATACACATGCACATTATGCATTCGCAACCATATCAGAGGACTTTGAAATTGGTCAGTTTGCGTATTATAATCGGTGCAAATTATCGGAAGGTTCTACATCATGCTAACTTCCCTTCGTCGAACATCGTAGTGATCGCTGACACGGACGTTCCGCTTTTGCAAGAGCTCGTTGCACAGAAGGTATATGCAGGTGGGCTCAAGGTCGTTATCGCCGTTGGTGGATGGACATTTTCGTGCGTCATCTAACTCATCAGGCAGTATCTGACATCACGAATTCTTAATGACAACTTGCGACTCGGTTTCTTAGCGAGGCTGACCCTTCGCAACAAATATTCTCGCTCATGATTGCGACCGCGACATCGCGATCAACATTTATATCCTCCGTTGAGTCCGCCTTGAACACATACGGGTTGGACGGGATAGGTGAGCATTACGTTTGTCCGGGACGCTAATGTTGTGTTGATCGCTAATTGGAAACTTGTGAGGGTAGACATCGACTTTGGTACGTGGATTGTTATACGAATGTGGCATGCATGAAATATTTACGAGATCATCCACCAAGAATATCCGGGTGCCGTGGAACGCAATGCCCCCGCGACAGGTATGCTTTCCTTTACGCTAACTTGCTTACACCATCTCTGATTTGTGTCATAAAATTATTGCTCAGACACTCCGAATCTCACTGCTTTCTTCAGCGAGATTTCGGCTGCGTTACCGAACACAATCCTCTCTATCGGTATCTTACCACAGCGTCTCTTCATCTTAAAATGACTCATTATTGACCCGTAACTATTACAAGCTACACCGGCTGGGTACTGGTTCCTTAAAGGATTCGAGATCGACAAAATCGCTGACTACGTGACATATATGAACATGATGTGTAGGTGTAGTTTCTATATATCTTACCTTTCACTGTACTCATTCAACGGGGCGTGGACATCCATAGCCTATGGTATGCACTGTATATATTCTGCATTTCAACAATATTTTTAAAAGGATGTGCAGACTATCATGGACCTTGGGACACAAACGTTACCGACCAGCCTTCAGTGACAAATCCGCAGACGTCGATCGTGGATATAGAGACCAGTACTGAGCTCTATGTTCGCGCGGGTATAGACCTTTCCATTGGTGAGTGGCTCCTCATTTTTCATTCGAGCTGGTACTTGCTTAGGTCTTGTGTTTTAGTCAACCTCGGTCTGGCGTGGTACGGACGAACTTATCACCTCCAAGATCCCACATGCACTGGCTACAATTGCACGGTTAGCCTGATTTAAGCGCTTCTGACCGCGATTTACAAGGCTCACAACAAGCGGGATAGATGACAGGCGGTGGGGCAGCGGGTGAATGTGATCAAGCATCCGGCGTTCTCGCCCAATTCGAAATCTTGGATATGATAGCCAACGGAAACGCCCCAATATACGACGGAGGAAGTGAGACGTACTGGTTCAACACAGTAAGTTACATCCATTTATTATCCTCCGTTTGAGCTCCGCCAAATCTGTCCTGAGATGAACGTTCACTCGTATTGCTTGTTAGGACGGAGACCTGGTAACTTTCGATCAGGATGATACATGGAGGTAGGCAAGCTTTCTACGCTGTTTCCCTCGCGCACTTATAATATGCCAATAGCGCAAAGACCGATTTCGCGGAGTCGACTTGCTTTGGAGGTACCTTCATCTGGTATGACCTCATCATTGTCTTCATGGTGATCCGCTTGCCTTACCTCACTACTTCTCGAGGTCGATGGATCAAGTTATTCCGGTGTGTAAATGGCTTAGTCACCGAACGCATGCGTGCCAGCCTTGTCGCATTTCTAAACAATACAACTGTCTGTAGGGCACGGACGGCACAGGCGTTGGATCCAACAAAACCGGATCAGGTAGCGGCTCAGGCTCTGGGGAAGCACCGACGTATTCTATAATTCCATGGAGTATATATCTGACATTCTTCCTCTCGAAGAAGAAGCAACTTTCTGAACAGCTATTCCATGTTTTAGATCCCAATCCGTACCCAGCGTCCGCAGCGCCATCCGAGACTTTCGTTGCTTCAGGTGCTACTTATGTTATCCCGGTGCCGACAACGACAACAGCTATCACGGTCGGAGGAAATGTGATTACGCTTGGCCCAGGAGGGACACCTATAATGTCCTTGGTTCCCACTGGCGTCTCACAACCAAACGCTGTCACGCCAAGTTGGAGTATGTTCATGTTCTATACTATCACTAGTGAGCTGTATTTATGACGACCTCACTCGCATTTCTTAGCGTATCAAATCGCCCCACCTAGTGGCGCTAGGACCTTGACATTTACCGCGCCAATCAGTGGTTCGACAACCTATGCAACCTCCATTGTCGTTCCTGCGACGCCCGGAGCTCCTGCAGCGACAGTGACCGGCCCGCCTGGCGACACTAACTGCGACGGAAGCAACCAGTGGGCAGTTGCCTATGGCCCATCAATAAGTGGCTGCCTCCCGGCTGACGTCGGAGTCCCTGGAGGCACCACGCCTTCCGCGGCCCCACCAAACGATTGGACAGGGGCCTGGATAGATCCTCAGCCACCATTCGTGCGTAGTATCAATTGTATCATTGCGTTTACCCGTAACGTATACGTCTTCCTCTAGACGACATCGAATGTTGCTCCTTCCGCTTCGTATTCGTACATCACCTGGAGTAAGTGCTTACTATGAACAAGAGCTTCAGGTATGCTTACTGCAGGATGCAAAATAGACCCGAATCCATTCCCCCCTTCTTCGGCATCATCGGAAACAATCATTCTTTCTGGGACCACAACCACGTTTTCTATCCCTTCGACAACGACGTCTCTCTTACTTGCTGGCGCAACGATCACATTGAACCCAGGTGGAACGCCCATCAATAGCCCTGTTCCGACTGGATTTTCCATAGTAAGCGGCACCACGCCGACTTGGAGTGCGTCATTTTATCTACACTCAAGCTTTCTGACACTTTTACACAAACAATTCATCACCCTTTACTTAAACGTTACTAGCATATTACATCTCGCCTACTCCTAGCGCCTCTACAGTCACATACACGGCCCCACTTACTTCGGCACCTACTTGGACTTCAACGGTCCCTATACCTTCTGCTTCTAACGCTCCTGCATCTACTGTTACTGGGCCACCTGGAGATCACGACTTGTGCGACCAGTCTACGAACGTCTGGAGTTTACTGTTCGGAGGGTCTATTCTCGGTTGCATGCCTGCTGACGTGGGAATCCAAGGTGGTATCACTCCTAAACCAATGCGTCCACCTGGGTGGACGGGATCGTGGACGGATCCGTTCCCAATCGCTACCGGCGAACCTGATGATGGCAGCGAACCAAGCACGACTACAACTGGAACGTCGACGTCTACATCATCAAGTTCAAGTTCGTCTTCCTCCGCACCAGCATGCACGCCTGCCAACTTCGCTGAGTTGTATAACTCTTACGATCTGCCGGATGATCCTGGGAATGCGGATTGGGAGGATGAGGGAACTGATCCTGATTACAAGCGTAAGCGTGGCCTACTGGGTGCAAGAGTTCCAATTTACACTCCACGACGTATGTAACAGTCCTTACTCTACGACTCTGCATTGACATCTTTTGACGCTCCCGGTCTCCAATTCCAGATATCGCTGTTCAAAATTGTATATCTGTGGAGTCTCCTCAGGCGGTATTGTTAGGGGCGGGTTCATATCTTACCCTTGACGATACAACGTTTTACACTGGAACAGATCTCTCGGTATCGTACGTGAACAGTCGTCCCTCTCAGCGTCCGTCTGTTCGTAAGTATTTCTCTCCATTTATTCTCTCAGTGGCCAGTATTGCTGACTCCCCGCCGTAGAGGAGCATATATTTGAGTAAGAAATCACATCAACGTTTCATGACTTACCTCTAACGACATATTTCACTTCGACTCCAGGCTAGGATACATCAATCAGTTCTTCACAAACGGGCCCATCACAGACTGCGATTGGTATGTCCCATCTATACTCATATTCAAGGAGGTTACATTAACTCGGTGCGTCGCATATAAAGGATAAAGAGCAATGCATTTAACTATGTCCGTGCCGACGGCTCGACGTTGGGAAGCGCTATTCTCGCCGCTATTGATAATGTGAGCGTTGTTTATTGAACAGAGTCTATTACTTCCAGTTATCATCGATCGCTTACACTGCTCGTAAATAGACAGATAACATGGTATGGGCCGACGTCCCAATGAATCAAGGTAATTGCTGGCAGCTCGAATATATTAAGGCCAGACATCATGATCTTCTCTTGACATTATTGCCTTCTATCACGACGTATCTAGCAAAGTCCAATGTGGTCAATGGAAACTCGAACTCGGCATCTTCGCCTCCTCAACTAGCGACCATGCAGTATATCCGGATCAATCAGGCCGGCGACACTAACCTCGAGTCCGACCTTGCCGAACTTGAAACCTTTATCCGGAACCAAGCAGCGTTGGGAGAATGTCAGTTCTAAAATGATGTCGGATTTTATGAAGCATAAAACTCATATTGTGACATATCTTATTTTCATAGATTTCGGAAGAACGAGCTCAATATTCTCAGCCACAGCCTTGAAAGTTCAGAATTTGTTGGCAGAAATTACGCCACCGACTAATGGTATCCCTGATCAGTCAACGAGCGTTCCTTTACTGTTCTACAACTGGCTGCATGATTTGGTCTCGGGATACCCCAACGGGTGTGTGTAAGTGAAATTCTTTTCAGTCGTTGAAAACTTGAGCTTCTGCCGGGTATTGATTGACGCAATGAACTTCGGGCTCTACAGATCTCGTTCTGGGTATACATGGACCTATTACCAAAATACAGTCCAACTTCTCATCGCTTCCGGAGTGATCGATCAACAACTCGAATGTAGCCTGCCTCTTTACAACTATGGGATAGTGAGTTCTGTTTCTCTCGTGTCAAGACGTCCGTTTGTGAAATGTGCTGAAATTGTGCTATTAGCTGAACCCATCTTCGTTCACATACACGGTATGGTCTCGACGAGAGTGCTGAATCCGTAAATTGTCTGACGTTGACACATCATCCAACAGGACCTCCTGCCGGTCGCACCCACGTCGTCGCGTTGCAATGTCCCGGGTAGCTTAGGATATCCTGGATACCGCGATCCTCAAGGGAACCACTACATCCTTTTTGACGACGAATTCACTGTTATGGGCTCGGGGAGAACGGTTCGTTCCACTCCGCTCACTTATCGGATGTGAATAGATGCTAACATAGTATTTCTCCACTCAGGATTCGTATGCCATCGGAACTGGAACTACATTGAGTGGAAGCCATCTTCAAGCAACCGATGTCAGCGGCACCACCGGCTGCGGTGGTGTTTACTCCCTCGCCGACGCGACTCCTAACTCTGGCGACACACCAGTCTACGTCAACTTCGACTGCGCTTCTCAAACGGATCCCGGCGGCGCGGGCACATTTAACACCATGACTTACTACATCAACAATCAGCCACTTTCTTGTGCTATTATCTTCAATGACGAGGACGAACACTCTGCGACGTCCGCATTTTTGTGCGGCCCCGACGGTAACGCTGTATCTACGTGTGCCAGTTCGGTGGCTGCGGGTGGTGATTCTGGTGACGAGCCGATTATCATTAGTACGGTTTGGTTTACACAGTTGAATACAGGTACCTAATTATACGAAGATTTCTTTATTGTGATCATCTTTTTGTCTCTCTTGGTAATTGGGTAGTCAATGGTAATTTTTGTTGGACGCTTGACATGACCTGGATTGGAATGCTTCAGGGATGATTGTTTTGGTAAATATTTCGACTTTAAAAGGAGATCTCGCAGAACTCTAAGAATAAAGCCAAAACATGTAGGTTTAGCTTCGAGGTCTCCGCCTTTTCTGACCATGATTCACGGCCACTTTCTTCGATCTTGAGAAGCTGGTAGTGCACATCAGATCTCTGAGATTTGTGTCGATGTTTATTCACGTAAAGTGAAGGGAGATGGCTATCGTTCCGAAAGCATCTGTGAAAATAGCAATTATCACTGCTGTTATTGATATGGGCAAAGGTGAAACCGATGAATGGCGAGAAAACGTTCAGGTGAAGTGGTGTACTGCCTCGTCGATAGCTTTCCACTGTGAGAAATAATTCAGCTTGGTAGTTGCGGGGCTCGGGCAACCAACATCACTGATATAGTCTTTATTACAATAGGCCTTTGTAGGGCAAGCGTTGTGAGGATTCATGAGAGCATATACAGGAGACATATATATGTGTATATTTCCTTCTCAAGTCATCTGAGTATCGACGCCCCTCGCAAAAATTCAAGGTACACAAAGCTTCGCATTTCAAACTGCCTCAGTGGACACCTCCGTCTCGCCGTCTCCGGTGATTGATGCACCATCGCATGTGTCCCTCTTGACCTGAACATCGCGAGATATCTTTACACACACATGATTTGTGTCAGATTTTGCAAAGGTAGACGACGAGAGCGAATAGGAGACAGCATTCATGGAGGTGCTCATGAGTAGAGGGCTTTGGAATCGAGTTCGGACTATGATGAGGCTAAATACGAAGCCGATGATGGGACTACCCTGTATGCAGGTCGATACAACCAGTGATCAGTACCATATGTCGGACAGAGTTCCGTGGAACTGACCGCATTTACACCAGGGAATTGAATGTTGGACCCGCAGAGATACGCAATAAACGTGTATGATGTGCATATGCTGTAAACAAGGGAAGTGGTCAGAGGGAATGTAGTTGTGGGAGTGAAACAGACCTACGTATAGATGGCAGCGCTCTCGATGATATAATTCAGCACCCTCTAGTAAGCATCCCTCGCTCAATATGATGACTGTATGATACTTTGAGAGAGCAGCTCACTGGAACAGGTGAAGGCGTGGCCGTGATATCCTTCATGGATTCGTTCCTTCTCCATACCCAGTATGCGATCACTACTACATACGTGCAATATGTAAGCACACGTGACACAAACAAAAACTTGAGGATGGAGACGGACAACTAGAGTACACGTTTGTACTGTGGACAAGTTTGGTAAGCCATCGTTGGATATTTTCAACTCCATGAACAGAAAGACTTACAATAACGTAGCCACAAAGTATATGGTAATCCAAGGTCGGAACCTCGATGTGAAGATGTGAACTTCCGGGTCGTTGGTGGCGAAGTGGTAGATGACCATTATCCCAGCAACTGTCGATAGTTCCAGCTTTCTACTTTCGCAGAAACGTGTGCACTGGAACGCACCTAATATACCAATTGTGGTGCAAGCAGGCAGTATGCATATCTTGAGCTTGATCTGGTATCTCAATGGACAGATGTGGTACAGACGACAGACCTATTCGTCACAGATTGGTACTCGTTGACACAACTCAGGGGTATGAGACGTACCAGAACTACATCCGCTACGATAGTCTCAAGAATGTAACATATGGCTTTCGCAACGTTGAGCCCTTGTCTCAGGTCCGCGTAGTATACCGCAGGGTCTCCTAGCTTATGGTGGATGAATGCCTCGAATGCTCGCGATATGTCCAGTATCCAGTGCTGCGACATGATCAGTGAACTTGCGAAATGTATAACATGAGAATTCTGTCGTTACCGTGAGAACACAGAGGAAAATGAGCATGGATATCAGTGTCAACGGTTTCGTCGGTCGATACTGCGACGTCGACTTCTGAAAAAGAAGAACATAGATGCTAGCGCAGAAGGTTACTAGATACATTCCTATATGTGAGGAACACGTTCAGCGCGCATCATATGGTCAACATGAACCATTGTAGAATGTGAACTAACCAAAGAATACGGTCTCGACGATCAGGCCTGCTAATTCGGCAGGAGGCAATGGAATGGGAGACATTGTTGATGGAGAGAAGGTGAATCTATACCTCTCGAAGGTAACACAATCCGATGGGATGGGGTATAAGTACTCAATGGCTCCCATTGCGGTGAGCATTTTGGGCACAGTTGTTACCTACTCATGTAGATGGTACATCTAAACTGCCTGGATCATCCGCGTTTCCCGCAATATCATTAGTCATCAAAGAACTGTACTTGCCTCGATGACGCCCGCTAGAAAGCTTTGTTAGGCCTGCCGCCGGACTCCATCGGAATGTCACAATCAGCACGCCTGGAAAGGATGCTCTTCATGGTAGTCTACTATTCATTTTGGCTAGTAATGTGGCTGGATGACAGAAGTGTGACCTCAGGTCGAAGCTATGAACCATGTCCAGCGATAAAGGACAAGCGTTCTAGAATGATGGCAAGGAACTCAAAGATAATGATGCATCAGTTGAGCATTCTCGTGATACACATACGGTGCGCTACAGCTGTTGGGGCGGGAAAAGGTCTAATAATATCCAAGGACGGTACTTGTGCAAGTCGTGCGATATTTGGTTTGCACAAGATACATAACTTCTATAAAAGGACTTGACTTACTTGCTACTACAGTATCTAGTTTAGGCAGCTAAATATAGCGGCTAGCGTCGCGTATAATCACTTCCGAGATTGCGAGTAGAGCGAGATACCACCAAGTGGTTGAAGTAACATACTAGCGCTGAACAGTGAAGTCGGAATGGGAGTATCTGAATCTTATCAAAGTGTACTTTATATCGTATGAGGGAAAGCGCCGAAATCAAAGCGAACGGTGACTGTTACCCTGAGTTACAACATGAATCCAAGTCTAGCTAGGACCGGAAACAAAAACTCGAACGCCGAGTGGCTTCAAATCCCTGGGCGAAAAAAAAAATCCTTTCGCAAGACCAAGATCAAGATAAAGACATCGAGACAGGTGCGCAGAGCAAAGGCTATACATTCCTAGCGAATGCTCGGACACGAGGACTCGAACCTCGATCTGCTGTTTGAAGGAAAGAAGGAATTTACTGATGAAAGACGGCGATGTTGACCCTTACACCAGATCCGATAGCATTGCACAGAGCGTCCTCACCGGAAGATCGCATGACTTTCGGGGAAAACAAAACGCCGCTGTGTGGCACAAGCAAATATCACTCGGGAGTACCGCGGCAAGGCAAAGACGAGCAGAAAACAATGTTTCTGCCGGCCACACAGACACAGAGCAAAAAGAAACTGAAGTCGTGGGGCGCGTTCGGACACGAGGGTCGGAACCTCGATCTGCCTCTTCGGCGTCTTGTCGTATTATTGAAAGACGGCGATGTGACCCTTGCACCATATCCGATAATACTGTAACACGCAGACGCGCAGAGGACTCGCCGGGTGGTTACCTAGAACAAAGGAAGACACGCATTGTCAGAATCAGACGGTGCTTCTCATGAGAAACGAAGAAACGAGGAAGGCAGAACAAATCAGCCCCCGAAATGCAAAGGAAAAACATCTAATCATCATGAGCTACACCGAACCCAGGGACTCGAACCCTGCACGACCCACAGCGAGCAACATACGTATAAATCTCGCTGGATAGCCGTTAGACCATCATCCGATGGTTGCATTGATTACCGGAGATTATGTGGCATTCGAACAAAGCGAAGCAGGGATTGCGTGAAACAAAGGAACGTACACCAAGGCAAGCCATACTTCGAGTCCGAGAGGAAACAAAGCAAAGTGAACAAAGGGGAACATAAGAGGAGAAAATGTGTTCGCATGGATATTGTCGAAATCCGAATCCAGGGAATCGAACCCTGCACGACCCACGACTAACAACATATATAACAAAGATGAGGATAGTAGCGTGTCAACGACTCGATTAGGGTTCTCTAGGTCGCGCTTGACTTGTTGAGACGAAGCTGAAGAGGTGCCCAAGGGAGGAAACAGACCAGAACAAGTCTGGAGATTTTATTCAATGTATCTACGAGTTTTTATACGTTCAGACTTAATAAAAATACCTAAGCATGAATGACTCGAATGAATGAGAACAATGAGAGAATAATTGCGCGATATAGAAAGCTAGCCAATAAAATCAAGAGCTTTCTAAGCAATATTCAAGAGTAACGAATAGAGAGACAAGGATAAGAAAATGGCTCAGTAATCGAGTACAGTAATAATCATGTGAGCATTACAGAGCAACACAAGATCAGAGAACGCTCGAAGAGGACGATAAGGAACGAGGGGGAGATGATCTCGATAGAGATCAGCGAGGTGGCCCGAGCTGGGTGGCGTAAGTAAGATCGCCGGGCCGGCAGCCGATTCAAATCATCGCTGATTTGACTCGTCTGCAGTCTTCGTGGCGAGGGTGTTTTTGTTTTTTATTTCGCTCATGCATTCGTAGGTAATAGTACTAATATATTTTATAGTACTACAAAAAGTTCATAACATAGCGTGCTCATGTGGACAAAGCAGAGGGCTGGTCATGCGATATGTGTGAACCTGAAGCCACCCGCGATCACGACGTAACGAATGGTCCCATCTCTCCACCAACAAATTCAAGGCATACCAAAGAATTCCTCTCGAAATATCAAAATATCCAGCCAGCCAGCCGGACGGATGAATGACAAAACATTAAAGAGTCGCGGGGGATGTTCGGACACAAGGACTCGAACCTCGATCTGCCTCTTCAGCTTATTTTGAAATGGACATTGAAAGACGGCGATGTTACCCTTACACCATATCCGACGACATTGTAGTCCACAGACTCGTAGACGACTCGCTGGAGAGCTCCCTGGAACAAAGGAGAATACATACGTCGATTCTGAGACGAAACGAAAAGCAAACAATTGAAGAACAAACGAACTGCAAAAGCACAAAGGAAAAAGGAAAGAAAACATCACAGAGAACCTACACCGAATCTAGGGAATCGAACCCTGCACGACCGACAGCCAGCAGCTCATGTATACCGATGCACACGTATAAAGCTCGCTGGCCAGCCGTTACACCATCATCCGATGGTTGCATTGATCACCGGCGGATTATATGGCATTCGATCAAAGAGCGTGAAGCAAAGGAACGTACATCTTGGTAAGCCATACTTCGAGTCCGAGAGGAAACAAAGCAAATCGAACAAAGGGGAACAGAAGGCCTCCGGAAATGAAAGCGCGAAAAATGTGTTCGCATGGATATTGTCGAAAGCCGAATCCACGGAATCGAACCCTGCACGACCCGCGGCTAGCAACGTATATACGAGCACCTCGCTCGTACATCTTCAATTCTTTCGACTATTATTCTGGTCCCTGAAAGACGGCGATGTTACCCTTACACCATATCCGACGATAGTAAACAGACAGTGCAGCTCACCGAAGAGTGGAGTGGAGTGGCTTTCGAACGAAAGCAAAGCAAGTCTGTCGCGAAACAAAGGATCCTACACATCGCTAAGTTATCCGCCGAGAGACAGCAAAGCAAAAAAATCACTTCCACATGTCATACACCGAATCCAGGGAATCGAACCCTGCACGACTCACGACCAGGAGCGCATAGACCCGCTAGTTAGCCGTTACACCATCAGCCGGTGGTTCATATCATAGAAATGGGATCAGGATGCGCGTGCGGACTTAGAGGGCGGGTCGTGCACAATATGTTTGGACCTAGGGCACCCACGATACGATAACACGGTCGCCTATCAAAAATACAATGTAGACCCAAAAGACTCCTAGCCAGAGAAAAAGAGCAACGTATACTGTAGGTCCGGACACGAGGACTCGAACCTCGATCTGCCGGTTTCATTTTTTTCGAATTATCTACACTCTCGATGAAAGACGGCGGTGTTAACCCTTACACTATGTCCGATGATATTGCAGTACACAGACAGCACTCACTTGGGGATTGCATGGTCCTCGAATGTAGACAAGAGAAGATTTGCGCGAGACAAAGAAATGACACCGCTGCTTATGCATCGGGTGGAAACAAAGCAAACAACGGAGAACAAATGAGCCCAAAAAATGCAAAGGAAAAAGTCTCTGCACAACAGGATTCAAAGAATCAAACCCTGCACGGCCCACAGCCAGCGACGTATACAGCTCACTACGTAGCCGCTACACCATCATCCGATTGTTGGGTCGGATAGCTTTCGAAAGAAAGCAAAACAAGACCGCTCATGGCCAGTGCGCGAAACAAAGGAACAAACACATTGTCACACGTCAAGTCCGAGACGAAACAACGCGAACAAGAGAGAACAGACCAGCCTCCAAAATGCAAAGGAAAAACATAATACAGAAGACGCTATACCGAATCCAGGGAATCGAACCCCGCACGACCCACCGCCAACACCGTACATGCATTGGTACAGACCTTGCTGTGAAGCCATTACACCATCATCCGATGAGTATAGAGCTCACCGGAGGATTACATGGCTTTCGAACGAAGGGAAAGGAAGGGCTTTTTAGCAGGTGCGCGAAACAAAGCAACGCGAACAATGGAGGATAAAAGAGCCCCCAAAATGCAACTGAAAAACATAATACAGAAGACGCTATACCGAATCCAGGGAATCGAACCCCGCACGGCCCACCGCCGGAGACATACACGTACATGCACCCGTATAGACCTCGCGTCGTAGCCGTTACACCATCATCCGATGGTTGCATTGATCACCGGAGGATTGTCTCGTATTCGAACGAAAGCGAAGCGAGGCCGGAGGCACTTTATCCAGTGCGCGAAAGAAAGAAAGAAACACATTACGAAGTCATACATCGAGTCTGAGCCTAGCAAACAAAGCAAAGAGCAAAACACTTACATGAGAACAAACGAGCCCCCACAATACAAAGGGAACAAAAGTGTTTGATGGATACTACAGAATTCGAATCCAGGGAATCGAACCCCGCACGACCCTAGCCGTTACACCATCATCCGCTGAATCGTTATCGCAGAGGTAAGACTCAAGAGCGACATGCGTATGCGGACGAAGAGTTGGAATGCGGGCCGTACGATATTTGTGAGCCTATTCGGCCACCCGAAATGAAAGACTAATAATCCTAGAGCACGGACCCTCACCCCCCTATCCAAAATCCCGGAAAACGAATCAGCGGAAAGCGAACAAAGACGAAAGCCAGAAACAACACCGGAGGAAAAAAGGACAACCAAAGTTCACGTTCGGATACGGGGAATCGAACCCCGAGCTGCCGCGAAGCCTTCAATGAATGTTTTGACTATAAATGAGAGGCGGCAATGTTAGCCGTTACACCATATCCGACAACAAAGGACCAGTAAGTTAGCTCTGAGTCACACAGCGACTGGCCCGTACGAAGTGGATCCAGTGAATGCGAACGACACCAGCACAGCACACCGAACCGAACCGAAAAAAAAAGACAGCAAGCGGCTCAGCGTCCTAACGCTGTCAATGCCCAAGCAGCCGAAAACGAAAAACTATAAAATAAAAAAATAAAAAAACCAATGGTACTATGAGCACACCACTAGCCCACCGTGGGAGTCGAACCCACAGCCTTCAGATTATACATACCCACCTGTGAGACTTTGGTAAGAGTCTGACGCTCTATCCGATTGAGCTAGGCGGGCCGGAAAGTTGACAGTTGACAAGGGGTTAGGGACATGGTCGGAGAGCAGGACGGTGAGGACATGCACGAAGCGGTACGGATAGAAAGGGCCACACGGAAGGAATAGAACGCCGCGACTGAGGGGGAAAGACTCAAGTTAACGGAGAGTGACTACGGAAGTTCAATATCTGGATGATACGAAGATGGATGTGGTTGATCAAGACGCAATACAGCTGAGCATACTGTAGCCGATTTGGGTCGGAGTGAGCAGTAGGCTCGAGAAGGAAGACATGCACCATGGCTGGTCGCTATTAGTCGGCGGTGTTATTGGCCATCGTTGGCTTAGGCTGCATCCAGTGCCGGGATCCATGTGGTGAAACGAGCAGCAAATTGGGGAACGTAGAGTGAAGTAGCAGGCGTGAGCGTAACTTCCGGGGCTGAGTGAGTGCACGGTGAATTGGATGGCTGTAGAGACAGGATCTCAAGAACGGTCGATGTTATACCCAATGATAGCGCATAGTCCAAGCACATCAAACGAGAAAGATGGATGAGAGAGAGAGCAACAAGTGGACGGCGCACAAGGCGCTTTCAGCCAAGACGCCCACGCCACGTGGGAAGGATCCGGGGTGACTTGGCCGCTGTGTCGGCTAAGCGAAGGACTTGCTCCATCACGACCGCCTTCCGCTCAACGCCAATCTTCGTCATGCTCCTCATCCTCCTTTTCTGACCCCACTTTATATTCTACATTAATCTCCTCTTTATCCTCGTCCCTTTCCTCAACCTCAACCTCTCCATTTTTCCGAAGCCATGCCCTCAGCTATCGGATCCACGTCTAACTTCCGAGCACGCACACGTCCGAGGCCAAAACGCCAGGATCCGTCCTCCGCGATAAACGATGCGACTGGGTCTCTGGGCTCTTTGACGGGTACTGCAGCCGATCCTGGATCGACGAGTAATGGAGATACCTCGAGTGGAGGGAGCAGTGCTGATCCCAACAGTGGATCGACCACGGATAAGTACGTCCGATTTCCCTCTTTATTTTCTCAGTGCGTCTACTGATAGTTGAGTATCGTTCGTAGTGGTGAATCTGCGACGACGACGCAAGGGCCTACGTCGCAGCCACCGGACACTACTATCACTACGACTACCTCCAATCCGCCAGATACTACCACGACGACGTCCAACCCTCCGACCACCACCACCTCCACCACTCCTCCGTCGACGACTACCACCCAGCCACCGTCTACTACTACCACCAGTCCCACATCGACCACCCCAACCTCGACCACACAATCGAATACATCCTCCACCGTGACATCCACCTCGCCCATTTCAACGGCCACCTCCTCCGCGTCCTCTTCCGGATCGAGTTCGAGTTCAAGTTCGAGTGACAGTTCGAGTTCGGCCTCTTCGTCCTCGTCTGCGAGCAGTCTTACGCCCACTGGGAATGAAGTCCTCACCACCTTCACTTCCTATGTCTCTACTGAGATCAACGGGACGCCAACCTCCGTACGTTCCCTCCCCTTTGCCCTATCCCGCTCTTCTACCACACACTTTTTTTCTCTTCTTCTTCGTTGCGTGAGTCCCGCGCGGCGACGCCATGCCGTCCTCATATCCGCTTGTGAACTCAACGCTGTGTGCCATCATGCGCTATGCACATTCATTGCGCGCTACACTCTTTTCCGCTCTTGGCGTCTTTGGTACCATGGTGGGCTTGCATCGCCTTGAGGGTGGGTTTCTTATCTATTGATCCGTTCGGGCGCGGTGATTGATGCATCGGTGATTGATGCTCATTGGCCGTTGACCGGTCGATTTTTTCTTCTTCTGTTTCTTCGATTTGGCGTGGAGAATCTTCGGACTGCACTCGTTCTGAATCGTCCGAGTGAAGGCCAGTGAGACTTCCGTCGTTGAGCCCATGTCATGTGGCGCGCCACACTCTCGATGCGGATACCGTATACGGCACTGCTGTTTGCGCAGATGGATGTATGGACGTGTGCGGCGTCGTCATTTGTACCGATGTCGATGTCGATGTCGATGTCGATGTTCTCACTCGTACTCGTGTGTACGAGTCGGGCGACCGAGTGTATGCATATGCGCATGCATAAAACAACCATGGCTTATTGCTCTTAACGTTTGTTCAACGCATCGGAGTAAGAGTAGCCGTTCCCTCCTACCTATCCCCATGCCCACCTATACCCACCCCATCCGCATCCCGAATCCGAACGAAGAACACCCTGTTACTGCTACTGTTGCCATTGCCATTGTCATTGCGGATTAACGACGTCATTCGTGCATCCGTGTTGTCATATGTATACAATTCCGAGCCTTCCAACCCGAACTCCAGTGTTTTGTTGTTCCCGTTCCTTGTTCCTGACTCCTTGGATTCTTGGCGGGACGTGGGTCGTATTGACTCTATTATGGCGGAACGACTGTCATGACGGAACATCGCTCAGATCAGCTTTCCTTCCGTCGTGACTCGTGCGGGTGCGAGACGGTTGATGTATGCGTATGCGTATGTGTGAGCTTCAGCCTTCATGACGGACATGGCGGAATGGTGGTAGGACTCTACTGTCATGGCGGGAATATCCCTCGTGCGCTGTGCGGGAGAGCTTCATAGCGGACGGGTCGATATATGCGCATCGTTATGTGTGAGCTGGGTGGTTGTATGAAAGAGTTGATGTTGATGAGCATATATTGATGGGCTTTGGAGTGCATGTATCGATGTTCACTTTACCTTTACACGCAAGTCTTGTCTATCGGGGAATACGTCCTACTTCTGTCGTTCACCTTGGCGACGATTCGAGCGTGGGGTATGAATGGCGCTGAGAGTGCGTGCACTATTCGCACCGCGATTCTCGTCTCGTCCTACACGCCACTCTCTTCTGGATCCCAGAGAATATGTCTCCTTCTCGCTTTCTCTACTATCCTGTTTCTCCACCTTCCACCCGAACCCCCACTGACCACTCTTCATCCCCCCCCCCTTCTTCCTCCCTCCCCCCCCCCTGACTCACAGGCCGCAACAGTATTCACCTCCCTCGTCGCCCCCTCCCCCACCTCCTCAATCTCAAGCACAAAACTAACAACAATAATCGCCCCCACCGTCTCCGTCATCATCTTCCTTGTCGTCCTTCTCTCCTCCGTGTTTTGGTGGAGAAGACGAGCGAGAAGGAGGAGGTATGCGAGTCTTTTGAAAGAGACGGGCAGGAGGAGTAGGACGGGGTTTTTGGATGGGGAGGAGATGGGGGAGGTGGGGAGGGGTGGAGGTGGGACGCGGGGTGAAAGAGGGATACCGACGTTGCCGGTGTTGAGTGGGGTAGGGGATGATGGGAGGGGAACGTATGAGCGTACGAGGACACATAGTGGTACGCCGGGTGGGAGCGGAAGTGTGGGATGGATACCTAGCGACCCCTTCGCTGGAACACCTCGAGGCATGGGGCCACAGCTCCCTCCGCCACCAGGCTCGTCTCTCTATTCCGACGCTCCGTCTTCTTCTTCCCATCCCCATCCAAACCAACCACCACCTACATACCCCTACCCCTCCGCCACCGCCCCTGCGAACGTCTCCCCAACGTCGGCCTCCGCCTCCCAAACACACTCCCAAACGTCCCCAACCCTCCCACCCCGCCTCTTCCGCGCCCGCGCCTCCGAATCAGGATCCATCTTCCAAGAAGAAGTCTGGCCTCCCCCTAACCCCGGTTCGAGACTTAAAGATCCGCTTGTGAATGTGGGAGGGGCGGGGAGTGAGCTTAGTGTGGGGAGTATTGTGGATACTGTGATGGGGCCCGGTGGTGGCACAGCGGGTGGGTCAGGAGCGGGAGGGGCAGGAGTGGGAGGGGCGAATACGAGTAGGTTGAGAGGCGGGGCGGGAGGTGGGGTGTTTGGAGAGTCGAGTTGGTCGTTGGCGGAATCGGGGACGAGTCTTAGAGCTGCGTCGGCGGGGAGGAGGGATAGTATTTCGTCGGATACGCAGCTCATTCCTGCACCACCGGCGTCGGGGTCTTATGGACATGAATCCAGAACGGGCAGTGCACACGCGTACCCGAGCTCCCCATCCCCGCTTGGGTCGCCGCCGTTACAATTGCAGAGACCGCTTTCGCCGACGTCACCCACTTCTCCCAGGACTTCTACCACTAATGCACCGAGGACGGAGTCGCCGTTGGGTTTACGTGGCAATAATCATAATACACCGGGAAGTAATAACAGTAGACCGGGAAGTCCGGAGAGTTTGGGGAGTCCGACGAGTTTGAGGGGCGCGTATGGGTTTGGGTATGCGGGGGGGTTGGCGTTGGGGGTTACGAATCCGGATAGGGAGAGGGAGAGGGAGGGGAGTGGGGGGGTTGTTAGTCCGGGTGCGGAGGAGAAGGCGGGGGCGGGGAAAGCGGGAGGAGGGGGGAATTGGTTGGGGAGGAGTGTGAGGAAGTGAGCGGTGGTGAGGAGGGATAGGAATGATGAGGAGATTGGGCACAGCCGGAGTGGTTCCATCATTCTATGACCACAACTATCGGATTTCTGACTTGATCTGACCTCATGCACGGGCGGACCGATTGGACTCCCCTTGTTTTTAGTGTTCGTTGCCGCATTCTTCACGGAGCTATCTCCGTCCCTCCCTTCCTCATCGCGTTGACAGTCGAAGTGTGATCTTATGGTATGATAATCTATATTTCCCTGTTTGTTCCATTCTATCTCTTCTGCTCTTCTTCTCATCATCGGACGGTTCGGCTGTTGTTTCATCATGTGTATACTTTCATTTGTTTTTGTGCTTTCGTCATCGGATGGACTCTTTTTCGCTTTTTCTCCCTGTCTCGCTTGGCCCTCGCTCTCGCGCACTCGACTTTGGATGCTTCGGACTGCTTGCTGTCAAACTGGAACTTCGTTCGATTTCCTCATCGACCTACATATATACGTCCGTACTTGACCATCCCCCGACATTACCTCCTTCCCTACCTCCTTTACCTACCGAGTCATCGAGATCCTCCCCTACTCCTGCCTATCTACCGCAACTCATCGACTCGCCCACCTGCGTGTCCTCTTCGAATTCGTGGAACTTTTGCGACCCTTACCGGTACGACGCGACAGGTTCATCTTCGTAGCCCCTCCGTTTTCCGACTTACTGCTTTCGCATGATCGTTTTCGTTCGTGCTGTTACACCTTGCCAATGTTCGTTGCTCCTGTTTGCGTACCTATACATATACATACCATTCCTCCTATTTCTGCTTGTGAAGCTTCGATATCCGTGGCGGGTCATCGTCTTTCTCAGGTCTTTGACAGTGTTGTGCGCAGTTCATCGGGGACTCGAAGGTACGTTTTGTCAGGCTTGTTCTTTGCATCCTTCTTGACACATCCATCGACCAATACTGCTACCTCTCGAATCCCGCTGCCGACTTCCTTGCATGTCCCTGATGATACAGCATGGCCTCCTTGGTGACCTATGCTCCATGATATTATGTGCTAGAACCTGCCCTTCCTGGAGATCACGCCTGCTATTCTTGTTCGTGATCGTTACGACCTTTCACTGAGGGTGACGAGACCCTTCTCCATGGCTGGAACGGGTATTCGTCTCGACGAGTCCTTTCCTCTTCCGTATCTGAGGTTGCCTTGTTCTGCTTTGCTGTCAGACGACGCTCCACTTGAATCATCTTTGCTGTCCAACATACACAAATCATTCCGTAGACCTCGGTCAGGATCTATATATAATTCACTGTGGCAAGTTCAATTTCTCCATGGAACTACATACATATAGTACACTCGCTCATGATGCCGTCTTTCTTTACATAGACTCTGAACATCGAGTTCATGATGTGTATGTGTTGTTGTCTCTGCACAGGAAATCTGGTGGGTGTGTTTACCGTATGAATTGAATCTCAGTCACGGCCACTAGCACTGATAAAGCCCCTCGGTCGTCGGCGCTATATTCCGGTTGACGTCGGGGATGATTTACGCGCAGGGACGTTTGTAGTCCCATGCCTAGCGCAACGAGCACACTTAGCCTATGGAGTGGGGTATCGTCTGGTCACGAAAAGTGAGCGGCGCTGCAACTGTCGTCGTGTCGGCTTATGGGTCATATATTCGCTCCTGGTCCAATTTCCGATGATTTCGGTCGGGACGTCCGGTGCGTACGCTGTGGTTAATGTTTGATGAAGGTACTTAAGAGGTTCATATTTCGCATTTCGAGGTGTAATTCTGCATCACAGATTGATCGCGTGTGTTTTATACACCAGTCACCAGTCGTACGCCCATGTAGCTCCGTTTCCTTCCGTAAGTTGTCGTCACTCAGGCAGTTTTGTTCACGATGAGTGTCTAGGCAATTACGGTGAAAACAAACTGGTGCTTCTAATATGCAATCTTTTACAGACAGTCAGCTGTGGGGTTAGTATCCGAGTACAGCCTATCTATGGTCATGGTGTTTCCTGCGCCGTGGGTAGTTGTTCTTCTCCACAGTCTTCCCACACCAGGATGGATCTATCAGGCTGTTAATTCACCTCCGTCCATCTCTCTGTGGCGCATGCGATGAAACTCATAGAGTGTTGCTCGTCATACTACCGTCTGAGCTTGAGCCCCGCTTTCGACCGGGATATATGGTAATACCTGTAATTAATCTGGCCAACGATGCTATGCTGTTACTTCGCTCGCACTGAATTCTGATCTCCGAATGGAGTACGCACCATGGTGGCATGCTAGAGAATAGCGTCCACCGGCTCATCCACAGCGACCTTTCGCTATTACAACGATCACGACTGCCCTCTCAGCGGGCTTCCCACCCATTGTATAATCCCCGCCACAAGTCATTGATGCTCCATGATTCGTCTTCGGCCGCCGACAAGTCTTAGCTGCGTATTCCTCGTCAGAGCGTCGTCTTTCAGGTATAAAAGGCTCCCCCATCTCACTACTGAAGGGCATCCGCCAACCAGTCCACATCCCAACAGCACTCGCAAAGAAGACCACCACTCCTCGTAACTCGTCAACCAAATCATCATGCGCTCTCAAATCCTCGTCCTCGCCCTCTGCGCCATCTTCAGCTTCGCTGCACCTTCTCCTGCGGAGAATGAAATCGCGGCCAGAGGATGCCCTGGTGGCGGACCCGGCAATGCCTGCCCCGAGGGATTGTTCCAGGTACATATTATATCACTTTTTCTGTGACTAAGGGCTTGGCTGATGATTCACGAACCGGAAATAGTGCTTCGGCCAGTGCATCGCGTGTGGAACTACTTGCACGTAGAAGAAGAAGGGGGATACTACGAGGTACGTACAGGTTTCTCGCACATTCGTTCATGTGTAGCATTGACTGATATTTTTCACAGTCTGTCAGCGCCGATTATAGTCGTTTCAAGAGTCGACAAAAGGAGGAATCTGGTGTAGGCTCGCTTCTTGCACGGATTCAACAATTGGCGCTTGTGGTTTATTTATGTAGTGGCAAAATCTCGAAGGTTCAGGAGAGTTGTGTCAACGTGTTTGTGTTTGTGTTGCGGGTGCGCGGTTTTGTTGAAACCTAATATGAGTTGAGTCGAGGAGATGGAAAGACGGAGATGTTTCTCAGGCGACTGGAACAACGCAAAACTAGGCTGATTTCGACTAGCCATTTTATTCTCTCACTTCCCGGCCCACTCATCGAACTGGTGTTCTTGTTCGTCACAGTGGTCTTCGCCCTCTTAGTCCTCGCCTTTGTTCTCCTCCTGTTTCTCTTGATAGATTGGTTACTCGTGCCTAGCGTCGCCGCCTTGGCTGAGGACAATGGATGATATACGAGTCGCATAAGAAGGACTCGGGGGCCTAGGGGTGCTGGATTTTATACTTCATTTCAGTACCTTTCAATCATTCACCTATAGCTCCCTACTAGTAGAACGATGGTCGCACGTCTGCGGCTTTGAAGGCTATACTATGTTGGAGACCATTTTTGAGCTTACTTATGTATATTACGCTTGCAAATTGAACATCTATTATCATCCTCCTATTGCATACTCGCCGTAGTCGATTCAACGCACGAAGTTCATGACGGTTCATTCTTGCCATATTAGGGCATATGTGTAGTGATTCACATCGTGTTTTGGCGATGTGAACTAAACCCGTGACGGGTTCAACACTTCGCAACATTGTCCCGTTGGAGCGTCAAAGCTCAATTTACATTCAGCGTAAACTTGACGCGAGAGTGGCGTCCCTCCTACCTCTGCCTGTTCGTTGTCGTGCTTCAAAATGGCACAGACACTGTCGCAGGAGGCCCAGGTACGGTAGCATCCAGAAAAATCGAGGCATCAGAGGTCATCAGTAAGGGAGAAGGGAATGCGAGCAGGAATAGATCCGTCTCGAGTACTCAAACTCAGTGTGAACTGAGTATTATATCTAGCACCACATCCGAGATTTCGAGTTCACACTTTTCGCTCTCAGCATGATGAACGAAACTGATGTGAACCACTACATATATGCCCTAATAGGGCATATCTGCAACCCTTTAAAACGGCTTTACAACTGCGATCGGGCCAATCATTGCGTCCCGTTGGACCTTAGCGAGCTTTAGCGAGGTCAAAAATTCACTCGCAGATACGGTCTATCTAACAGCCTTCCCCAGAGATGAGTCAGTTGAACGTTGTGGGTCAAGGAGCTCTTGCGTGTGTGGCGGGAAATAGAACGCTTGTAGAACGCCACACTACACCACGACCGATGTGACGTCATTTTTTCTCAAGGGGTTTTTTCTTCTCGACCGGTGACCGCTAAACTTACTGCTCCTTGCTCTTAACGGATCTCTTACATCCGACGGAAATCGGGTCTTACTGCTTTATATTTGTTGTCACGCCGAAACTCTAGCTGTTTATATCGCGCGCAGGCTGCACTTTCTTCAGTTGGTGTCCTCATTCCACTCAACGCATCCCTGTCCAGTGCGTCGATGCTCGTACGATTCTGAACGTTGCACCGACCACCCTCGTGCAGTTGAAGATCTACTAAGAAGCCGAACGTCAGCCGAGAGGATACACTCAGAGACAGGAACAAGTGAGGCTGCAGATCGCAATTCAGGGAATAGGTCAGTGCGTTCCGCCCAAGCGAGGTGAAACAAGTCGGTTGTCCCAGAGACTGGTCCTGGTGGGAGATATGTACCAGTGCTCGCAAAACATCGCACCCCATGGTCAAGCTATGACACTGAGCAAATGTGTACTTCGTCGATGTGGACGACGTGGTGACGATCGCATGGGAGAATGGAGTGATCTGAAAATGGTCGACGGATTGGTTTAGGCAGTTCAATGGTGCAGCGAGCCTTGGAGATCATCATATCGTCCATAGGACCTTTATTCGGCCATTTCTTGCTGCAATGATAGTGACATTCCGGACCAACAATTTCAAGTCTGTGGCGCTGCCATTCGCTGCCATTCACTGTCTATCGTTAGACTGTTCTTAGGACTTGTTCTTCGTATACGTTCCTGCGGTAGAGCTGTCGCCTCCGTTCCTTGTATGCAGATGATTCGTTCTCTGTCATCTACATCCCCATACCTAGCTGATCAAACTTCGGGCTTCTAAAGAACAGTATGACACCTTGCGACACTGTTCTTCCAGAAACGTTTGCGACAGATACTTCTCTCTCCCACTTACTACCCCATCACCGGTGGTTGTGCGCAGGAGCTGTGGCGCCTGGTATTTTCCGTCTTCTTCTATTTCGAGAAGAAAACCTGTGTAAGGGGTATCAGTGTCGAGGAAAGCTTTGTCCTCCATTATGGTTTCCTATCGTTACACGAACAGCCAATCACGTTTTGTGGTACCCCTCTTGAAGATCCCTCCTGTCGGCCGAAACAGCCTCATAGGCAGTTCTGATCTTCGTGACCTATGTGGCACACTGTTTTCCAAACAACCTTACCGCGCGAGTTACTGTCAAAGTAATGAACGGTGCTGTCACTCTCCGAGTTCGCTTAGAAGACTCAGCGATACAGTTGAGCTTCGAGCGCATCTTGACTATCCGAAAACATTCATTCTTCAGGCAAATTCCATTCCGACATCGATAGCTATGCAATACCGTTGCCACTCTGTCTTCACCCTTACTCCGTGAGACCTCGACAACGCCGTCGGTCGCACTGATAGTATACGACGCAAAGGAGTAAAATTATCCCCAAACTCTGCTTTCGTCGCGTGGTGACCAATCGAGGTGAACATGTCGCAGATCCTAGCTATGGTCTCAAGGAAACTACCATGGCAAAGTCAGATCTGTTACAACACGGGTCTCCAGTAAATCATGTGGGTAAACGCGTTCTTGATTCTATGTCAGGACTCTCGCGCCTCTACATACATAAGGCTTGAGCACCTCGCCGAGACTTTCATCAGCAGGGAAACCCATCTGACTCCTCAAGTAGCCTCGCATTTCCTCATCTTCCTACTTCGCTCTATCATGGTCTTCTTCGCCGCCCTCTTCACTCAGATACTTCTCGCCAGTGCGGTCCTAGCTGCTCCAAGCGAAGGATTAGCTGGCAGAGTCGCTCGCCGTCGTCTTGGCGGCGTCAGAAACGGGAATCTGAACAAGAACCTCGGACCTGGTCCTTCCCACAGGCCCAAGCCTCATGGCAGTGGTTCTGACCCTCACGGCAGTGGTTCTAACCCTCAAGGCAACGGCAGTGGTTCGAACCCTCACGGTAGTGGTTCCAACAGCAGCTCTGGTGCCGTCCAACAGAGCTCAAACTGGGCCGGTGCTGCTTTGATCGCAGACTCTGACTCTGCAGTGAGTTTCCCTGCAGGCTGTCCCGGAATCTTTGTATCTCTATCGGAACGCTGACATGGAACACCTTTATTCGTGGCAGACGTACACGTCCGTCACCGGTACCTTCACCGTGCCATCCCCCTCTGCTCCCGAAGATGGAGGCGAAGGCCAGTACTCTGCTGCTGCGTGGGTCGGCATCGACGGAAACACCTGCACTAGCGCTATCCTACAGACTGGTGTCGACTTTACCACGTCCGATGATGGTTCGACTACGTATGACGGTACGCCTTTGTTGCCCATATACTCACCTCGTCGTGCTGATAAGGGCTTAATTCTTTCGGCTATAGCCTGGTACGAGTGGTTCCCCGACGACTCCTACGACTTTACAGGGATACAATTCTCCGCCGGAGATTCCGTCACAGTCACAGTGAACGCAACCTCTTCCACCTCCGGAACCGCGGTGATCGAAAACAACACTAACGGCCAGAAAGTATCCAAGAGTCTCACCTCTACTTCTCCACTCTGCCAGACCAATGTGGAGTGGATCGTCGAGGACTTCGATGAAGGAGGCTCTCCCGTTCCGCTTGTCGACTTTGGTACGGTGACTTTCACCGGAGCCCAGGCGGCCACGGAGCAGGGTGATAGTGTGGGCCCGGCTGGAGCAACTATTATCGATATGGAGACACAGGGAGGTGGTGGTGCGACTGCAGAAGCTGATTCAAGCTCTGTTACTGTCACTTATGACGGAGAGTAAGCGGGATGAGGTGGTTCTCCCGAAGACGGGCTTCGAGAATGATGGAGGCGCATACTTTGTACGTGTCTTCGTATGTTTCCTTCTTCAGGTTTACTGAGATGCTGGCACTATACAGCTTTAACGCCTTACTTGGCATCCTATAACATCAACATTCATTTGTTCCTCGTCGTTCATTATTTTGATAAAATGTCAATAAAGCCTAAAAAAAGACTGTGTATATATTTAAGAGTACTTACTGTATACGGTTGGAGATCCTCTTCTTGTGTTTAATGGTAGTCGTTTCTCAGTTACCATCGCCCTCTATGAATTATGTGTGCTATATTTCGGTACCAGTCATACTACAATATTTTCGTGCAAGTGTCCGACTTCGCGAAAAATGGCGAGCAATCCATGATGCCAAAGAGCTGGGAGCTTCGTCCACACTATTATGTTGAAAGCGACCGAAGATAAGGTTCCGTGTACAACGACGAAGCATTGAGAAGTAGTATAAGACCATCGCATAACTTACATGCAACCTCCATGATCTTCCACGAGTGCACTCGGGATATCGCATAAATATCGCATCCCGCTGTCCGACCTCGGGCATGGATAAAGCTCTATCTTTCTCTGGTAGGTCTTAATCAAGGAAGATGATAGCAGTATGCACATACCTACATCAATAGTGAACGTGCGAAATGGGTGATCCGCATCATCGGAATTCTTCCTCAAGGATAGGACCTATTATGTAGCGAAGACGAAGGTGTTTCTCCATTACGAAGGCTAGGAAGTTGAGATTTGATACCTCTATGTCAACATTCAAGTGAAGAAAGGCGATGAAAATGTAGGAGTATCGAAGCCGATGATCGTAAAACAAACGAAGAATTGTATCTAATTGATGATATTCTTAGTGACGACGTGAGCTCACGTCGTACGCTGGATGCCACAATATGTTATATTCCCGGCCCAAACACACCATCTCATGGCAAATATGACTTACATGTTCAGTCCTGCTCCCTGCTCCCTTGCTCCCCTCCCCTCCCCCTTGTCTTTTTTTTTTGTTTTTGCTGAAACAGATGTTTACGAAATGCACGAAAGCTCTAGTGCGTCGCTTATCTCCTTCGTGAAGGCTCTTGTTGGGGCACTTGCCACGGACCTATCCATCATATATCTGTGTATCATCCGAACTCGTGAACTTCCATACCGATACACATTTTCACAACATTGGCGGGTTGTCCTCCAGCCGCTCCGGAAGTGTATGGTATGGAAGATAATATGAGGGGATAAATATTATCGCAGGACCTAACAGAGACAGTCACGCCATATTACTCAAAGACGCTGAGGAGAACATGCCGATACAGTCATATCTGGATGAAACCCTTGCGGGTCATGTCCATCAATACTGATGGCATATTTGGGGTTTGCTTCTGCGGCTCCTCCTGCGGGATGTGGATATGCATAGCAAAAATCATTTTGCGTGTGCTGCTCGTATATAAATAAGTCCGTCGTTTTGCTTTCAATGAAGCGTGGTGACTCTCATCAGAGCTAATATTACGATATATCACTCCAAAGCCCATCTCTAGCTCATGCATACTATCACGTATTTCTTGGTCTTGATGTTTCTATGTCGGAGCATGGCGGCCACTCCCACTCACTCGCCGACAGGTCGTGTGGGTCGTCTCGGTGTTACATCGAGAGCCTCGCATCGACAAAAATCCAGGCCACAGTCTGTTCAATCCATGGCAGGAGGACTATCTGCGACCTCCAACGACATAAAAAATGCTCAGCAACAAAGCTCAAACTGGGCGGGTGCCGTATTAATTTCTGATTCCGCGGTGAATATTCGTCTAGCTCCTGTGCCTCATGCGTTGTGATCGCTGATACCTTATTTTCTAAATTCTTATTCTCACAGAGCTTTACCTTCGTTACCGGGACCTTCATTGTTCCTTCTCCCTCTCTTCCACATAGCGCTTCTGGCAAGCTGGGGGGTCATTCAGCCTCTGCATGGGTCGGAATTGATGGAGATACCTGCTCGCGGGCAATTCTGCAAGCAGGGGTCGATTTTACTATATCTGAAAGTGGGACTCGCTCTTACCATGGTATGCATTTATTTTAAATATAAGACATTACACTCACGCCTTGATTAATTTAGCGTGGTACGAATGGTTTCCCGAATTTGCCCACGACTTCGTCGACTTTCAAATCGCAGCTGGAAATATTGTCACCGTCACGGTCAGCGTGAACTCCAGCACTTCCGGGAGCGTCATTATCGAGAACAACACGACTGGGAAAAATGCCACTCAATCTTTGACCTCGACCTCCCCGTTGTGCCAAACCAATGCAGAGTGGATTGTCGAAGACTACGAGGAAGGAGGAAACCTTGTGCCGCTTGCCGACTTCGGGACTGTCAAGTTTACGGATGCATATGCCACTACGAAAAGCGGCTTTGAAGCGCCGACCGATGCGAATATAGTGACCATGGTGAACGTGACAGGACTAGCCCTAATTGCGGATGCTTGGACCGACTCTACCTCCGTAACAATAACTTATCAGTACGGATTCTTGTTATCGTATGTGTGTCTCGATTTGTCTTGCTCACAAAGTATTTGAATTATCCGTAGGAAAAACTCCCAAGATGCACACACGTCGAATAGTGTCAGTACCCCCGACATTCTCACAAAATCAAGCAGTTCCACCAGCACCATTGCCCTACTCGTCCTTCCCAGTGACATCGTCGGCATCACCGACCCGGCGAATACGCTTAGTGTGACTCGCAGTATAGTCGCTGGTAGTAGTGGCGACAGCGACCGCGTCACCAACCCCGCAAACACGCCTAGCGTTACGCCCAGCGTTGTTGCTAGTAATGGTGGCGAGAGCGACAGCGTTACCGACCCCGTGGATACCATCAGCATTACCCGCAGCGTAACTGCTAGCAGTGACAGCGAGGGATCTCCCCACAAAGTGAATGCGACTAGCGTTACCCCCAGCGTCACTGCGAGTATCGGCAGCAGCAGTGTAGATGCTCTACCAAATTCCTTGAACGGCAATAATGTGGCAAGCAACAACAGTGAATCAAACACTGCCCTGTTGGCTGCTCAAATCACTTCTGCATCTATCAAATCTTCACATCCACTCACATTCCCCGTGCTTTTGTCGACGTCATCCCAAGATTTACCAGACGGAAAATCTTCACCTCTCCCCACATTCTCCGGTTCTTCTCTCTCATCATCCCCGAACTCACCAGCCGTCGGATCTACTTCAGCATCTTTTCAGTCCTCGGCTCAGACATCCGTTGGACCTTCCCCTACAGTCCTTGCTAATTCTTGGAAGAGGGTACCCATAGGAGCTATCATCGGCGGCATATCGGGTGGCCTGACCTTGATTGTCCTGCTCCTGATCTCCATTTTCTGTGCCTATCGCGACCGACGTGCGGTACGTCGTAGTCTCAGCGCGGCACCTCAGGCAGCCATCATCCCCTTCACTGCAGAGACCCCGTCCCACATCATTTTTCCTACGAGAAAGCTCATCCAGCCCAGCCCACTCACAACCGATGACCATCCATCACCAACTACTTCCGAATCAGCTCAATTTCCCGTCTCCGTGCCTTTACCGCTTCAAACGTTGAGCGAAACATGTCCGGTCCCCTCATCCCAAGCACTCCCGAGTGTTATCGACATTCATGCCGGTACCCGGACCATGGCAACGACGCCTACCGCGCCTTTTACCTCTGTGAGTCAGTCCATATCAACACAGAGAGGATTGGAACGGGAAGGACAATTTGAGGAGCAGGAGGAAAAAATGAGAGGGGAGATGGATGGGACGGCAGTCGAGCATTCGAGTGCAGACTCGTTGCCGGAATATGAGAGTGCGAGAGGAGATGTGTTGATTTACCATGAGCTTTGACGTGACCGCAAAGCGGTTTATGGGCGAGACAACTGGAGAAGGTAATGGAGAGCTTACAGGATAGTGCAGGCGTTCTCAATATGGTATGATCCATAGCACGAGATCGTTATTAGAGTGAGAGAGACAAAATGGGGGAGGCTAATCATTCACGAAATATAATGTTGTAACGACAGGGTATAGCTGGATTGCCGACGGGATATATAGTATGTTCCCATATGCCGTACTCCTTCTAAGAGCCGGTATCCGAAGTTCGAAGAACGGAAGACATCACTGGCGAAGTGTTAGAAGAAAAGACCTACGGGTTTGACGGCGAAAGTGATATCTTCCGTCGGCGTTCCGAACACCAGAAACCGGAACAATAAAGCATCGCATCACAGCGAAACGATATCGACCCTTCTGTACATGGCAACTGTGCAATTCGTTCGGACTCAACCCTGACCTACACGGAGCATCCAACCAGTGAGTTAACACGAGTACGCACCATTCACATCTACTGAAATCCCGCTGTTATAATCATCAGTGTCTGGATCAGTGTCGCCAAGCCCAAATATGACAGAAGGAAAAATCCCGTTCTCATATAACGGAGAAGCTTTCGAGACATACTATAAAGTCGTCGGCGAGCTCGTATCTGACGCACCCCCTCCTCTCATCGTTGTCCACGGGGCGCCTGGGACGTCCCATGACTACCTCATCCCACTGTCCGACATCGCAACGGGCCCATCTCCTCGTCCCGTCATATTCTACGACCAGATCGGCTCCTCCCGTTCGACTCATCTTCCCAACAAGCCTGACCAATTCTGGTCCTTCGATCTCTTCATCGCCGAGCTTCAGAACCTCGTACGTCACTTTCAGGTCGAGAACGCATACCACATCCTCGGTCATTCCTGGGGTGCCATGATTGCGGTTGAGTTCCTCGTGCGGCATCACCCCAAAGGTGTCAAGAGCGTCGTACTCGCGAACACCCTCGCCACCGCTTCATCGTACAATGCTGCGGTTAAGAGAATGGAGTGGGCAATGCCAGGAGGTGTGGGAGATACGATTAGGAAGCATCAAGAGAACGGAACTACGGAAGATCCTGTGTACAAGAAGGCGATCATGTCGTTCTATGAGGCACACGCATGCAGGGCGAAGCCGTTCCCGAAGGAGATCATCTTCACTTTATCGCAACAAGCCGGAGATGGCGAACGCGTATGGGCTGCTCTGTCAGATTAGATTAGATTAGATTAATACACAGCACGGTCCCGTTGAGGAACAGCTGGACCTTCTCCGGCCTCCTGTGGACGAGCTCGCCATATTTTCAGGCTGTAGATCCACAGGCGCATGAGAGGCTTGGTAGTAGGTAGTTACAAGATGTAGGTACAGAGTAGCATCTACATGTAAGAGTCAGTTACGGGACAGGCAGTGCCGGCCAAAGCATGGGCACTTCCTGATATAGTTTGAGAACCTCGTGTACAAACTTTGCCACACGGTTGACGGTATCTCTACGAAAGATGATTTTTTGGGTGAGTTCCACTGCGTTGTGAGCATGAACTCTGCTCCGCAGCTCCGGAAAGATTGGCTCCAGGTCCACAAAGAGTGCCTCACGCAACAGCAGAAGGTCTCCGTTCCCTCGGCAGAGCAATAAAGCGTGTTCTGGCGATTCCACCGCCTGGGAGCACAGACGGCATAATCTCATGTCGCGAGGGACCGGAGCATGGTAGCGATGAACTCGTCGCATCTCCTCCAGCGCTAGACCATGGTCGCCGAGAAGCAGCCGTGTGACGGCTTTCCTATGATCTGGTACAGGTACGTGCAGGTAGTTGCGGAAGTACGAGACCACGTAGCGGAATACGCCCTTGTCCATAGGCTCGAGCCGTCCGTGTATCAAGTACAGCCGGTCCGAGTCGTTGACTTGCCGTTGAAGCCAGGTCTTAGAGGCCCGCTTCACCTCTTTTATGACCACCTCGACGTCCTCTTTGCACGTCAGGTCCAGCATGGACGATACGTTGACGGCCTCTGGGAGGTTGCGCAGAACGTACTGCAGATCCGCTAGCCACCCGGACGGCTTGCCCCTTTGGTAGAGATCCATGGAATCCGCCAGCGCAATGCGTGCATAGTGTGTGGGCGGCAGAGCGAGTACATACGCCAAGTATCCGAGCGCTAGAATTGCACGGCGGAATCGGATGGGGTCAATGCACAGCTCCGTAAAGAGGGGCGCAATCATGGACCGCGGGTTCAGGCCAAGCAGCCTTCGCAGGAACATCAGCTGAACCTCCACAAGGAGCTTGAAGCAAGCCTCTGTGACGTCCAGCGCGACTTCCGACCCAGAAATAAGGTGAGGATCGACTCGCGCAATAAACAGGAGTCGTCCTTCTCTGGGTGGTAGAGTTTCTACCAGTCGCTCCACGCCAAGTATGGCGTGTGCACACTGGCGCGCTTTAGACGCTTTGGCAGCGTAGTGTCCCGCGAAGACGTCGGGTGACGTGCTCTGGAATGTGAGGCCAACATATGTGTGCTCCGCTGTGTACCGCACGATCTCATTTCCAAGGTGAAAGATGTATGGTATCCGTGGTAGGGGCCCAAACACCATAACCCATGACTTCAACGCATTGACCACCAAGAAGTTTGCGGTGCACCATGCAAAGAAGGCATTCAGATGGGTCTGCAGACCTAGCTCCGAGTAGGAGCCAATGGCCATGTCATCTGCGTGCTCCATATGGGAGATGCGCACCCCGGCGAGGAATGGATCGTCGGCATCAGGAGGTAGGTGGAAGTCGGCCAGGAACAGGTTCCACAGGACAGGCGATGCCGGATCACCGATGAGCACCCCTGCAAGCGCTTTGTATTCCGGCGAAGTCTGGTCACCAAGTCTGACCACGTACGACATGCGGGTATACAGCATTCGCAGCCAGTCAAACAGGCTGCCACCAATCCCCATTTCGTGCAGCTTGAGCCATAGAGTGTCCTGATCCGTCGAGGGGAAAGCATTGCTGATGTCTACAAATGCGACAAACAGCGTCTTCCCTTCCTCTCTGGCCCGATCGATCATGCAACGGAGCACAAAGGCGTTGTTGTTTGTGCGGTATCCCTCTCGGAAGCCGTTCTGGGATGGCGGAAGCACGTTGTGCCTCTCTGCCCACGCATACATTCGCTTGTGGATGAGTAGCGTTAGAAATTTGAGCACACAACTTTCCAGCCCAACCGTTCGCAGGTTTGCAGGGTTGTTTGGCGCCTTCCCCTTCTTCGCAATCGCTGCCACGAGCGTCCTGAACCACACAGAGGGTCCATCACGGCTAGTGAGGCACTCATTGATTAGGTGGAGCAGGGCGTCGTTGTCTATGCCTAGGATCTGCGCATAGGACACATCATCATACCCTTTTGCACTTTTAAGGTTATGCTGCTTGATGTGATCCTTCGCCCATTCGATCTCCACGACAGTTATCGGAGAGCTAAAAGCTTGCTCATCGGACATATCCTCCGTGACTTCTGGCATCAAGCTCGCCAGGATGCGATTCGCTTCCCGCAGATCACTCGAGAATTGGGCCGGTGGCTCCTGCGGAGGGTTCATGCGAGATTCAAACTCGGTTGCAAGATCCTCCAGCGGCACATCTGGGATAGTAGGCTTCGCATCTGCGAGCTGGCGATACTTTCGCCAGAAAGGCCCTGGGTTCCGTGATGCCTCTACCAGTTCAGTCAGATGTGCGCGTTGCACTGCCCGCTTCATAGCGCGCCCCCGGTGTGCATCAGGGTCGTCCGACACCATGGCAGCAGGCTTCTGTTGTCGACTCGTCCCCGCCTCTTCCTTGTCTGCTGGGTCAGGCAGGTTTGTAGTCACTTTCGCCATCGGCAATGGGACCTCTGCAAGACCTGCTGACCCTGCTAGGATCGGCGGTGGTGGTGGGTCCGGTAGGCTATCGTCATCTACTTCGGGAAGAGTGGCCCCATGTTTCGCCATCGCATCTGCCGTGTCCCCGTGTACATTCCCTACATGAGCGCGAATGTGTTCGAGGTGCAGAGGGGCTTTGCGGGCCATTACCCATTCCTGGATGCGTTGCAGGACGTCACCGTGATCGCACCGCCAGCCAAGATCGGCGTGTGAGGCGGCCCAATGCGCGATAGAATGGATAGCATACTGCGAATCCGAGAAGACTGACAGTGACCGCCTCAGGGGCACTTTGGTAATGGCGAGTAGAATCGCCAACAGCTCCCCCCGATTATTAGTTTGCAGACCAGGCACTCGAACCGACTCGTTTCGCTGATTACCCTGGCCAAAGAATACCGCTGCGCCTGCACGAGCACGCACCGTCCCGTTGGCTAGGCAAGACCCGTCTGTATAGACCTTAATCGGCTCCGAGCAGCAAGTGACAGGGCCATATAGCTTAGCTCGACGGTCATCGCGAGATGGTGTGGCGGCAAGCGTAGCGATATATAGTTGATCAAGGGCTGTGTCCATCGGCAGTGGGGGTGGTTTGAAGCGACCCCCAATCGCTCGCTGTAGCGTGCTGCTCGACAGCGGCACGACTAGGTTCAGCAGCAGCGGTGCATGATCCGACCAGTCTGGTTCTCGACCGCCAACACGAAACTCTGAGACATACTGGATACCTGTTGCATTGGACAGTCCAAAGTCAATGACCGACCGCCGCGACACGCCGTCTGACCCTTGGAAGGATGTCCAGGTGTCGTTAGCTGAGCCAAAGAGGGACACGCCGTTCATGATAGTAAGTCCATGGTCACGACAGAGAGTCAGGAGATGTGTGCCCTGTGTATTGTGTGACTGGTCGGACGATGTTCGTGTTGGGTGTGAGTCCGACGGGACCCTGGACGCGATACGAGCATTCAGATCCCCAAGTACATAGACGGGAGCATCGCGCGAGCAAGCAATCGCGAGTATCGAAGACAGGTTCTGCAGAGGGTGTACCTCCGACCAGTAAGTCCACGGCGCATTTTCCGGAAGGATATATGCATTGACCAGGATGAAGGTATCGAAGTCGAGGACTTGGATGTCCGGTGCGGAAAGGTCAGTGCGGTGTGTGACTTTGAGAGTCTTCCTCACAAGTGCAGCGACACCACCCCATGCGCGGCCTAGGTGCGGAGGTGCCTTCCGTTCAACAGAGAAGAGCCTGAATGCTGCTGGGACATCCAGTGTGTCTGCTTGTTCCGGAAGCAGGTGTGTCTCCTGGATGAGATGGATATCATAAAGATCGAGAGACTTACGATAGGCGGGATGGGTAAGACTGACAGCGAGAGCACCGTCCATGTTCCAGCTAGTAACTCGTATATTGGACAAGCTGGGGTTTACATGGTCGTTTTCGGTACGGACTACACTATCTACAGGGAGGGCGGGGACTACATCGTGTATCGTAGCGCCACAACCTATTCTCCCAACACTTCCCATCCCAACACCTCATTCATGTTCCGCGACAACACCTTCCCATCCCGGCGCCTGAGCCCTCGCCCACTCCAGCACGAAGCGGATAGCGGAGGTAGCGTCTGGGTAGTATGCACGGACATATCCACCTGGCCCTTGCCCTTTTCCGCCTTTGACTCGTACGCAGCGCTGCACCTGGAATTCGGGTACAAAGCGGGGCATCCGAGCCACTATGGCGTTGAACTCCGCGGTGATGTCTCGGTTCCACTTGCATTTGCCGAAGAGCACGTAGGCACCGACAGCCGGGGGAGTGGAAGTAGGGGGAGCGGGAGCGGCAACGGTGTGCACGGCAGCAGTGGGCGGGGCAGGGACGATAGGTGCGGCCGGCACGGGAGCGATGGGAGCAGCCGTAGGACGAACTACGGGTACCGCGCGCGGAAGGACAGCCGACGGTGCCACTGTGCTCACTGGGGCACCCGAGACCTTCGCTCGTTTCGTAACGGGTACGAGGGGTGTAGATAGCCCCGGCCAGGGCATCAGCGGCGCCGCAGGAGGGTTCTGGGAGACCACGGGGGCTGGGCGGGATAGGGACGCGATGTGGATGGAGCGTCCAGTCGCGACGGGTTCGGGAGGGGGAGGTGGGTCTACGGCGCGTACCTCCGGTGATGGCGGCAGCGGCATGAAGGCCGGCTCCTGGGCGCGGGGTGCGTCCTGGAATGCACCCAGGAGAGCCTGGAAGGTGTCGATAGAGCCCTTGAGGTCTCGCTGTGACTCGCTGAGCTTGGCAAGGAGCGCCGTCTGCTCGCTGAGGGCGGCAGAGATCGTGGTCACGTCGGATCGCAGGTGGGCGATGTCGCGCAGAGTCTCAGAGGTGGCCGCAACCAGTTCGTTGTTGCTGACTGCGACAGCGGCAAGGTCCGCGTGATCGGCGGTGACAACGTTCTCGATGGAGGATACCGCGGCCTGCAGAGTGTTGGCGGTCTGGACTGCCTGCAGGATCTCGACCCGAGTACGTTGTACGAGTTCCAACGTCGCGCTCTGGTCGCTCTCGATGGTGGCGAAGTTTTTGTCGTGCCGGGCGTTGGTGTCCGCTTGTTTCTCCTTTGTCTGACGGGGGACTAGACGAGAGATGGATGGTTCGCCATGGTCAATGGTGGAGAGGTCGCGCGCCTTCCCTTTCCTAGTTTTGGAGGGGGAGGCAGGAGGTGAGTCCGTGCCGGAGGGTACGTCGGCGAAAGCTTGGTCAGCCGTGCGTTTCGCCGTAGACGACGCCGCTGCCGTAAATGACGAGAAAGCGGAGGCGGTCTGACGGAGCATAGAGCGACGCGACGAGGGAGTTAGCTTGGACGAGCACTCAAGGGGGGGAGATTCAGCGGGGGAGGGGCGTACAGTGGTACCAGTACTTTTAGCGCCTGCCACCGCGTCTATGGCCTCGTCGAACGAGGGCAGGTCCGTACCCCCAAAGGAGTCGTCCCTGAGCGTGTCCTCACGGTGAAGGGATAGGACCGTGAGCTGAGGAGGGGGCGCATCCGTGGGTGGCGCATTCTGCTGAGAGGAAGATGCTGCCATGACGGTGGGGTGAGATGGGTGGGGGAGTGAGCTTTACGTTCACGATGGGTCGGAATAAAAGGCGAAAAATCAACGGACCGGCACACAGATTCAGTCAAATCCGCTTGCGGGTATCGTTTGTCGTGGCCTCACAAGTCCGCGTTCTACGTAGAACGGTGTACTCGCCGACGGGGAGATTGATGTCCAATAGGTTTCTCTAGTCTGCTGACAAGCTTGACTAGTAGAGACTACAAAGTCCGTGAGGAGGTTCAACTACGGCGAACGCGTTGTTCGATGGTCAACGTTTACGCGGTGCGGGGAACGCGCGTCGCAGCTTATCAATACGAAATTGGCGCGGAGTATGCGGATGTTGATTGCCGCGGGCGGCCGGGTGGTCACGGACTCGCACGGGAAGGCACGGGGAGTGCCCACAGGCAGTTTTTCAAGGCTGCAGGACAGCGAGAGCGGCGTGGAGAGCCTTTTTTATAGTACACAGACGGTATGTACACGGTATGTGGTAAGGGGGATGAGAGAGGGTTGAAAGGACCAGCCGTATGAGCTGGCCTTTTGCGTGCGAGGGATGGATGGGTTTGGCAGTGTCCAGATGACGGGCGGCTGCGTTTTCTTTTTGTGCGCTCGACTCCTCCGAGATCCCTGACGTGCTACGCAAGCGCGGTGTATGCAGCAGTCCGTAGGGGTTGTCTCTCGTTGTGTGAGGAAGTAGAGTTGAGTCTCGCGCGGGAACTGCTCGTGCTTATACCGGGAGGACATGCATCTGTCGTAGAGATCTTGCGCTGTACCCTTCCGCCGGCTCGACGAAGTATTTATCATGAGGTAGCCATGTAATACATAACCACAATTCCTGTCTCACTGCCCACAAAAAGTCATTGGCTAGTAGGTCCTTCCTCTTGTAGAAACAATGGGAAGAAAAGTGTAACGTCGTTTGCTCAGTATCTCGTCCAATCTGAGGTCTTGGGATAGCTCACCTTAATCGATATCTCCAGAGAAAAGTCCATCTTTAACGACATCTGGGACTTCCGCGACCAAATCCACATGATCGATGTCCCAGGCCTCCTTATCAACGGCGAGTACGATTACATGACTGACAGCGTTTGCGGGCCCTACTTCTCGGAGATGAAAAAGATAAAGTGGATCAAGTTTGCTGAGTCTTCACATATGCCGCACTGGGAGGAGCGGGAGAGATATATGGGAGTTCTTCGGGAGTTCCTAAGTCTGTGGGAGTAGAAGTATGCAAACGAGCAGAAGACAGGAATTTCTGCTGTGGGTCCAGGACATCATGCGAGAGAGCTGGGAGTCGCTACGAGAGGTCGATGCCGTAGTGCAATTGGTATGATCACAAGAACAAAGACTGCATGATGCTGGGAGAGAGAAACCAGGCGAGCTCGGTGACGAGAAGAAAACGGTCGAGGACAAGGAGAGTGTGGCGCTCAAACGCCACGTCATCGCGAGGATCAACCTGATGACGTCATCATCTGGGGATCGTTTCGTCTCTCACTCAACCACTCAACAACATTCCTCAGCTGCACACTGTTCTTAGTCTCGTAACCAGTACCGTCGTATCGAATTCCGGTTTACAGTACCAAGCGAGTAGGCACAAACCGTCGATAGACGGTCTGGTACAGCGGGGTTTGAATCTCCTTGTTGCGCGACTTGCCTTATATGGCTTACCGGTCCGCTCGCTTTCCGCCCCCGCCACTTTGTAGTTCCTCCGTTCCGTCGTGTGGCGCGGCCGTGGCGATCTCCCCTCCTCGTCATCCATCCACGAAGATGGTGTCGAACTGGTCTTATAAGCTTAACACTACCGATTAGAATAGGTCTAAGATGCAGTCTGTATACGATCTACTCGATTCACAGCTCTCTGACCAAGCCGAACTAAGTACTTAGTATGGGGCCTCACTTGGATGGCCCTTTGAAACTGTATATCTCGTCTGCAGAACTTTCGGTTGCTCTTCGTGCATGTCTTTTGATCTTCCATCACAATCCCCAATGTTACGAAAGTACCTAGACTTATGCAACTCTAGAGTGCTCTCACTGTTGTGACTTCTCGCAAAGATTCACTTGTTGATTCCACCACTGGCTCTGGGAAAACAATCGCCATGGTTCTTGTATCACTGTTAAATCCGGCGTATGACGGTGGCCCTGATGGTGCAGCGGAGTGAGATTTCCCGGGAGTGTACCCTGAGAAGCCGAGAGCCGTAGCATTCATTGCTGAAGACATGGAAGCAGCGCCTGAGGTGGGGTTGTCAAAGTCCAGAACAGTGCCGTTATACTGGCATTTCGACCTTTTTTTGGGTCTAGAGTATTTGAAGATGTCGGAAAATCCATATCAAGAGTCGGTATATGGTATAAGAGGTATTATTGAGGCTGAAGCTGGGTATGTGCAGGTCTATGTACACGCGCCACACGACGGAACAGAGGAACTACAAAGTGGCGGGGCTCGGAAAGCGGGCGGACCGGTAAGCCATATAAGGCAAGTCGCGCAACAAGGAGATTCAAACCCCGCTGTACCAGACCGTCTATCGACGGTTTGTGCTCACTTGCTTAGCTCTATAAACCGGAATTCGATAGGCGGTACTGGTGACGAGACTACACTGTTCTTGGTCATATTGCACTTACCTCGCATCGGGAGTATACTCTGCAATTTGTATGGAATGACCTTGACTGTACTCCCGCACCACTTTTCGAGAAATACACGCGCACTGGCACAATCGCGATCTCTATCATTACCGACTTTTGGCGACCTAAATGGCTCTAGATGGTCTCTCTGAACGCTCTCAGGCCCTTCTTGGATCATTGTAGTCGAAGTAATACTCAGCTTTCCATGGTTTCGTTTTTGTCCTCGACCTGTCCTCGACGGTTGAGGGTAAATGATCATTCGGGAGAAATGGCAACATGTGTGCCAGCGGCCGAAGTACGGCAATACAGGTTCGTCTGGGCAGCCTTGTGCTCCTTCTTCGTGAACTCATGGAGGGCGTCATTCTACCAACTTTTTATTAGTTCGTTTCCAACATGCCAATAGGCCTTCCGTCAGCTACTTAAATGGCCTCGACTATCACAGACGCAACCAACAGCCAGCAGATCCACCCTCTTCTACTCGGCTCCCCTTTGGAACGCACATTCATGCTCATCGCTCTGCTCTCATATTCGACCGCAAGACATATCGTCTTTCGATATCGACGTTCTTGCCGAGAAACAATGTCCCAACAGCGCCAAGAAGAGTGCGTTCTTTTCTCCTTACTCCGTATATCTAACGAAGGCTAACGTCGACATGCACACCCCCCGTACGGTCTACCTCGACCCCATCACCACAACAGGCTACCAAGGCTGGCTCGCATCCGTAATCATCGACGGTCTCCCCGACACTGAGAACAGTTCCGATGCGCTCAAAAACGGTCCCTACTGCCAATGCGTCTACGAATCCTCCGGCGACGTCTGCGACAACCAAGTCGTCAACATCCAATACGACTCCGGCGCCACCGTCTCCTTCACCATGGTAGCATTCACCTTCCTCATCTGCGAGCGTCCTCGGGTGACTTCCTCCAGCAGTTCTTCTAGGCTCGGCCGTCCTGATGGTGCACTGCACTAGTGGACCTGTTCCGTACGTTCTTCGCTATTGTATGTTCCTCTTGCAACCAGCTCTTCTCTCTGTTTTTTTTTCTCGAGCATGTCAGCTTGGCTCCGTTCCGCACTCTACAACTCCGCATCGTCGCCCTCGCCATAGTCTTCCCGCTACGCGAGTCACAGTCGAGGGCTTAGCATGAGCAGGCTGATCTCAGGACTAGGACACTAAATGTTGTTGTCTCATGCCTAAAAGCTATGGGCTGCAAGCACTTTGGGCAGATGTTCGGTGTTTTGACCTCGAAACATGTGTTCTAGTGTGGTGTGGCGGCCAGGGCGCCATCATTCTGCGATGGGTGATGCTGAGCTCGTAGCGTACCGCCAGGCGCATGCGAAGCATCTTTTCCCGCTGGACTACTTGCCCACGGTGAAGTTTGTTGTCTGTTTCCATTGCCACGACCACTTAACCGCACCCGCAAACTTGACCATCAACGACTCCAATTCAAAATCTTCTTCGAGTCCTCGCACATTTCGTACAGACGTTTTTCTAACTCGCTTCTCGTCTTCCAGTCGCTTCGAGGTTATTCACAATCAAGTTGACAGGCTTACGCGTTCGTAGCGTACGCGCCATGCGGCGACTTTGCGTACTTTATTACTATGGGGGTGTAGAATTGGACTTTGTGGTTCAGCACCACGTTACAGTGCCATTTCGAGCCGATATCAGTACTCTCCGCTGCTGGCGTTTACGCGACTGCACACGAAAGTCCTTTCCCGAGTCAAGGGTAAGGTACACCCCCTCAACGTGCTTATTATCGAACATTGTGATCACCACCATCCATACTCCTTCGGCAGCGTCACCCTCTCATCATCGTTTTACATCTACATACGCCGACTAAGCTTGGCTGATAGGCCAGTCGACTGATCCAGCCCCAGGGTCCTTTTGCCAGATACTCCCGTACTTCGACCTAACTATCTTCTGCTCCCTCGTCGCGATCCACGAATCATCCGGAGGCGTATTATACAACGCGACCTGCTTCCCATCCCCGCTCATGACCATCACCGACACCGTGCTCGCGCCCAACATACCCGCAATCCCGCTCGCATTGAGGTACATGGACAAAAAGTTCTCGTCCTTGATATTTTTGTGATCCCCGGCTGCGATAGGGATGGAGTTCTTCTTCACGGCCTCGATGACCTTCAATGCAGCTTCGGTGGGGCGAGTACCGACGCTGAACGATCCCGAGAGCAGCGTTCCCGTGATCTTGACGAATTCGTATAGGTCTCGGAGGGAAGCAATGGTCGCGGGTAATTCAGCGGCGGTGAAGACGGCTTTGAGCTCTGTGAGGCCCACGAAAATGAGGGCGACGTCGGTGACGATATCGGCAATGGCCCAGTCGGGGTTGGGAGCTGCTATGATGTAGATATCTTGTCCGCTGTCGTTCGCCATCCAGACACTTTGGTTAACACCCATGATTGGTGCTATGGGGAGGAAGTCAGATGCGGGCACCACGACAGTATGAAGACGAAGAAGCTCACTCTCTGATGTGGTACCTGTTGTTAGTGCTGTTTGACAGACGAGGTGAAGAGCTTTTATACTCTGAGGGGTGTGTAGTGCACGTAAAGACGCTATACATCACATAGATCTTCTTAGAGCTGCTGTGCACTTGGTACAGGCAATACTCAGCGCAAGCTATATTTTGATCTTCCGGACTTCGTATGTGGGCACTACATTTACTATGTCTCCGCTGATAGTCATCAGTGGTTTGGTGATTCCTGTGAGAGACCGCACATAGATTGTGCTTCCATGCAACTTCCATGATATGGTCGACATTCAGCGTGTTACCCGGATCGCGTTATATGACGAGTCAATGTCATCGGTAACCGCAACTTGCGCTGCATACCAATTGTCCTTCGGCCTGTCACATACACCACCCGCGCCTGGTGCACCAATAATCAACGTAAACGATATTTTTCACTTCCGGGCTTTGTCTTTGGGCACCACTTTTACTATGTCTCCGCCGATAGTCATCAACGGTTCCATGATTCGTGCGAGAAACCTCACACGGATTGTGCTTCCATGATGGGTCAACATTCATCGAGTTATCCATCGTCTTGCATGATGATTCAATGCCATCTTTGTCGCAACTTATGTTGAAAAATGATTATCACTCAACCTGTTTGTACTCGTGATTCGTATCCCTGTAATGCTCCTTTGTTTGTACCAGGGTAAATACATCTGATGTCCTCACATTGTAACCTTCGACCCCGAGATAAGATACGACGAGCGGACGAGACTTGAGTGCACAGTTTAGTTCTATGGCCGAAGACTAGAGCTCGTGTCTGGAAATCTACGATGAGCTTCCAGTCGATTTGTGTAATGTTACATGCAGTGAAGAATCTGGTGATATACTGTGCTCAGCCAATACAAGTCTGTGATCCCAGCGACGATCCGAGACCTCTGACTCGGAGGCCCGAGATACTCGCAGAAACTGTCCGGTTGCTAAACAAGGACACTCGCAAATCTGGTACCACAGAGTCATTTGAGATTCACGTATACGTCCTTGGATCGAAGATGCCGATGAGGCCTAGTAGTAAATGAACCTCGGTCAATCTCTGGGGATGTGCTGAGTAATGGCGATCCTAGAGCTTCCATTAAAGTGGCACAGAGCTAGGCCAAGAGCCTGAGGTGATGGACGCGAGGGAGTCAACGTATATGATCGTGACTATGATCTGGCAAAACCACATGGCAGCCAAGCACAGAGGACTATATCGCGTCAATGAACGAACGACGAGCTACGAGCAAGTGCGAAGGCGCAAATACCACCGCTATGGATGCCAGGATAATACAAGGCGTCGGAGACAGGGTACTCTGACGGATCGGGGACAGGCGTGAACGTGTATTTGTTGGGCGACAGGGCCGCATTAGATGAGGGATGTCCATGCGACGAGAAATGTGCCGCTCCATACGCCGCACCCGCTCCCGCACTGGCCATCCCAGCAGTCGGGGTCGATGACTTCCTATCATGCGTCTGTACCATCCCTGGCGTCCCCTATTCACTCGCGAATATATCCGACCCCAACGCCCCTGCCCTCCCATGCAAATTATAAGCATATGTCGTGATCTCCGCTCCATCTGGTGCGACGCCCCCGGCTTCCCAGTGAGAGCCACCGCGCCATTATGCCTCACGACTTTATCCGGGTCGAAATTGTTGTCGAATTCGTCCTTAACTTTTCTTGGCCTCAGTAACCAGAATAGGACGCCGCTGATAGTGACACCGCCGACGATGGCACTGGTGTTGGAGGAGGAGCTGGAGGAGGAGCTGGATCATCCGGTTATGAAGGGGAAGAGGAGGTGAAGTTTTCGGCTGCTTGGTCGGCGAGGGTGGAGGCTTGGCTGGTAGCGTCGGTGGAACTATAGTTTGGAGAGTAACGTCAGCAATCTTTCAAACGTGATACGAGGAAGGCGATTCAAAGAATCACGACGGAAGGGAAGATATGCCGAGCGAGAGAAAGGACGAAGAAGGAAGTGAAGGAGGGAAAGAGCAACACGAGAAGAAAGGGGTGAGGTTCGACGAAGTGCGAGGTAAAGAGTATGGTAGAGTATCACGCCAATGAACGAACGTAGCCGAGAACACGAAAACGAGTGTATAGTTCGATGTCGGAAGCCAAAAGGAAGTGAGGATGAACGAGACGCGACCGACGACCCAAGCCGTACGAACGAAATCGAATCTCGAGGAACCGAACAAGGGAACCACCAAAAGCCAGAGATCGTTCACCCGTCAAAAACAGAGATCCTTTCTCCACAAACGCGCGAGATAGACAGATGTGGCGATAGGGGCTGGCGAGCCCGTGCTTTGCGGATGCCTGTATGTGTGTATACACGTATTGACGGATGGAAGAGAGGAAGAAAGGAAAAAGTAACGGATGTACGAGAATAACGAAGTAACGCCGTAGGTGGTTTAGGGCGGAGGGTAGTGCATTGGGGGATGTAGGATGAGGTGGTGTACGACGACGAAAAAGGAGAATACGAAAGTGGGCGTTGCTTCCGGGGGAACGTCTCATATGCGAAAGGAGTGGGGTTCCGTATCGCAGGAAGATGAAGAAGGTAAGGCATGCGTGGAGGGGTTTGGTTGAAGACGAGATGACGACGTGTGGATGGGAAAAGAGGGGATAAAATCGGGAGAATGAACGGAGACGCGCAGTCGACCGCGGAAAACGAGAAGAGAGAAGAATTGGAACGAGATCGCCCGATCGAGACGAAGAAGAGGAAAAAAAACAGCGATAACAGAGGAAACTTACATGATAGTCTGAAAGACGGTTGAAACCACAACTTTCGTCGAAGGCGTTGCCGAACTACTGCCCCCACTGCTCCCCACCGGCTAGCTGCTCGCCACAACGGCGGTGTACGTACTTTCGTTCGCATCGGTCGTGATAGATGTGCTTGTGACGGATGCGACCGAGGTCGAGTTGGTTGGAGATACGGATGTGCTTGTTTACGTGGGTGGGATGTGGTCGAGGTGGAGATCGGTGTAGTCGGAGAGGTTGTCTCTGTGGGAACTGTCGAGTCCGAAGTGGAAGTTGCGGCCGTGGATGACGCAGGTTGCATTGTAGCTGTGAACTAAATGAGTGATCAATACAGGGAGATGAGCAAGCAGGAACAAAACACGATGAGAAGACGACAAGGTATACCGGGAGCAGTAGTGAGAGTTGTGGATGATAGAGGATCGGAGGAAGGAGAAGAAGCTGGAGACGATGCAGACGGGTCAGAAGCGTTCAAACAAAAAAGAGAAAGGAGAGACAGTTCTAGCATTCGGATATGACGCAGAGCTCGCGAAGAGAAAGTATTATGCGGATAAAGCGTACGAACTGGAAGTTGTGAGCGCCGAGGACGATGATGGTCCGCCAGTAGTGCTCGTTATCGAACTGTTGCTCGAGCTAGCAGTCATGCTAGCGCTGCTGCTGTTGACAAACGCGGACGAGGCAGAAGACACGATACGAAAAAGAAAGCGGGCCTATGCTCTTCCAAGACAGATGTAACTGTCTAGTCTGCTGCGGTGCTGGGGTCGACTCGCGCTATCATCTCGTCGAAGATGATGACGGTTCGAGTTTGGAAGCGATACGAGTGAGTGATAGAGGAGAAGTCTCTCTGTTTTTGTGAGCATAGCTTGCCGTCGGAGGAATGGGAGGACAAGACTCAGGAGATCATGCGTGAGAGTACGAAAATCTGCTCTGAGAGTCACTGCGAGAGGCAGAAACTGTGATATTATTACCATCACAGAGAAGAATTACCGTAGGACTCTTGTAGAGATATAACGTCGAGCTCGGTGAACAGAACGAAACGGTCGAGGACAAGGAGAGAGTGTAGCGCCCAAACGACACGCCATCGCGAGATCAAGCTGATGACGTCATCATTCTGAGGTCGTCTCGTCTCTCACTCTCTACCATGTTCCAACGGCAGTCCTTGGTTGCATGATATGCTGTACCTACTTCGGATGACGAGGATATTGTGGCTTTGGTACTGCATGACTCTGAGCGTACTCTGGCACCACCTTTCGTGAGATCAACGCGCTCCATTGTGATCCCTACCCATACCTCTACAGTATTGAGGCACTCCTTGATCCGGCTCTTCGATGCATATTATTTTCCGAACACTCTTCTCCCCTCCGCTCAATCCTTCAAGCCAGGAGTGTCAAATACCCTTGGATGGACTTATAAAAAAATGGGAAAGGTACAAAACACAACATTGCACGATGTGCAAAGAAAAAGGTGGTGTGGCACCGCGGTGCCACAAAGAGCCGCTGCTTGATCCGCAAATGGAGAGCTCGCAGTCCATGTCTTTCTCTCAAAATATGGACATAGACCTGATGAGGGGTACAATATGGATGCAAATATACTGTATCTTCAGTTTATGGGAAGTATTGCTGGAGGGAGCAGCGTGCGGAATGTGGATCAAAGAGGGGCCCAAGATCAAGGAGTGTTTCAATACTGTAGCTTTTGGCGACCTCGACGGCTCTCTGAACGCTCTCTGACCCTTCTTGGATGATTATAGTCCAAGTCATGCGCCGCTTGATGTGTTTCCTTCTTCTTCCTCAACCTGTCCTCGACGGTTAAGGGTAGATGATCGCACGGGAGAAATGGCAACATGTGTAGTACGGCGGTTCAGGTTCGTCTGAGCAGTATTGTACTCTCCCTTCATGCGGTTATGGACGGTGTCATTCTATCACTATTGTACTAGTGCTTTTCCTGACCTACCAATGTGCCCTCTACCGGCTAAAACTGCCTAGACTTTTATGGACGCCACTAACAGCCAACAAAGCGAGCCTCTTCTACTCCGCTTCCCTTTTGAACGCACATCCACGCTTCTCGCCGGATCTCGTATTGGACTGCAAGACGTACCGTCCGTCGATATCGACATTCTTCCCGTTGTCGTTCTCGGATCAAGCCTTCCAATAGTTCATACAGGCTCGACCGTCCTGAGGGATTGGTGACCCCATTCCGTACGTTCTTCGCTGCCGTATGTTCCTCTATACACTTGGCTTCCCTCTCTGTTTCGATTCATATCCACGCACATGCCAGCTTGGCTCCGTCTTGCGCCTTCCTACCTAGCATCCTTGCCGTCGCCCTACATAGTCCTCCTGCTACGCGAGACACGGGCAAGGGCTTGGCATCATCGGAGGGACACTCGATATAGTTGTCTAATGCCTAAAACCTATGGGCTACATGCGATTTGGACAGATGTTCTGGGTCCTAACTCAAGATATATGCTCCGGTCTGGTGTGGCGACCAGAGTGCAATCATGCCAAGATGGGCGATGCTGAACTAGTAGCGCAGCACCGAATACATGCGAAGCATCTTTGTCTGCTGGACTACTTGTACATCTAAAGTCTGATGATCTGGGACCGTTGCCACGGACACGTAGCTTCGCCCTCAGACCCTACGACTTAAGTCAGCACCTTCGAGTCCTTTCCCTTTCCATCCAGATGTTTCACTGAGTAATCATCCATCATCCAGCCTGCTTCACGACGTCCACAGTTTTGCTGTCATGTGGCACTAATTTAGAAGGCGGAGTTGATATCGCGATGAAACTAACGGAGGTTCGTCGTCTTAGCTCCGATATTCACGCACTATTTGTAGATGGTTCGGAACAATACGTCTGCTCGCAGGTCGAAGCTTTATGTCTACCTCCCTGCTCTTACGAGGTCCTTCATGATGAATTGAGACGTTCACGCGTTTCGTCTCCTCTTGGCTGAACGCGTTCGGCCTCTCGAAATGATGAGAAGTCATATGTCGAGAGTGGGGCGACCACTGCGACCACAATGAAGGATGACGCGCCTTTATTTCCGTCCTTCAATACTTCCATTCGACCCATTAAGATTTGTCGCCATACGGTCTATGGAAAGGACGTCTTTAACAGCAACGGTTAGCCGCCGATACGGATCTGTCTTCGTTCTTCCCGTGCTTCCTTGACTTGTCGGAATGTGCAATCAAAGCATTGCACACGCGCCGGCGTTGCGTTCTTGTTAATGACCTGAATGTGGGAAGCTGCGACCTCAGATCCTTCTCGATGTATGAATGCAGAAGGTAGGAGATTGCGGGTAAAATCCATTCTTTCGAACATCAGAAGTCGTACTGAGCGATATCCGTTTCGCTCGGAGAATGGCTCGAGAGTGTTGCGGTTTCATTCAACTCGAGTCTACGCCCGAATATGCTGAACTGTCAAACTTTGATCGCGGTTTGTCTACGTCCGCTGCAGAAGCATAAGATTCAGTCTTATTTAAACTTCAGGTCACCGCCATTTGTCTGTGCCCTCATCGCGGCACAGTGTTGTCCATCTCCGTAGTTACAGCATCGATCCAGTCTTGCCACGTAGGGACCTTCAGAATTGATCCTGTCCGCGTCTCGTACACCCGATCAGAAATAGTATCAACGAACGCACGGAGTGTAAACATGTCTTCAGACGAGTTCGGAGGATTAAGGGGAATCTATATGGTTTGGTTCTATGTTTGAACCACGGCTTTCGAACTGCGGACCTGCACATGAATAGACGAACCATCCTTAGTTTTTCGCCTCTCGAAACCTGCATTAGGAGAAGCGAGTACTTGCTATCATTATATTGAACGATGTCTCACTGGTTGCTATACAGTGGGATTTATATAATGGCCGATCGGAGTAGTCGAGTGTTGGGGGTTAGGTATGAATGGAGTCGGTTTCACTGTTGTATATCCGTACGGAGGGAGTGGGAGTCAGCTCCGAGCGCGGTGAATAACTTCCACAAGAACATCATACAGATCATCCCTTTGCCCATTCATTTCATCACTTTCCATCGCTGGATATACTCCATCATTTCTTGACACCCTTCCTCATACTGATTAATCGTCACTTTCCCATTTTAGACACCGTTTGGTGCACCCCGCGCAAATGGATCAGGCTCATACACCGTTGCTCAGTGGTTGAGTTCTGATACGGACGAGATATGTCGCTATGTTACAGAGCTTCAACTTCTTCCGAGTATCACTGAACTCAGCTGTGTATTTGTGGTTGTACCATCCGTTTCCATTATGATCTTCATAGTACCGGTTATTTGTTCTTCTATTACCCAGTCACCAACTATGATCTTACTGAACTACCTGCCCTGCCGGTGTACAAAACCAGTTGTGATGTTCCAATATATTTTGTCATCTGAATAATTAAGCACACTCTATAAGTGTCCTACACCTGTAGGCCAGTGCCAGGCCTGATCCAAATTTTGCTAACACTGTTCGAAGCCTGTGACTTATCACACTCACCAGGCTCAAAAGCAACTAACATTGTGGAGCTGGAAAGGATGACTGTTCAGTGGATGTGTGAATTAATAGGCACCCGGTGATGTGGAATGAAATTGTCCAGGTCTGATGGCTGGACAAGGACAAATGATGGTAAGGAGATGACAGATGTGGTTGCATTGAAGTAAAGTACATCTGAGAAACTGCAGTGATGATAGGAGCACTGTAAATGCTGAACAAATTAATGTTGATAGATTGATTGGTAGGTGAGAGATGAAACATAAAAAGATGTGTTATTTTGACTCATTCATTTCTCTGTGATGGGGTGAATTGTCTATAGGTTGAAAATATGGCTTAAGTCTCTGACATTCACTACACAGTCCCATGTTCAGATCCTCATTGTTCTGAATTTTGTGAATGATAGTACTCTTAATCCTGCATAATTCATGTAATTGTACTCGCCTTGATTTGAAGCTTTGACCTGCAATATAAGCTATTATTTTCCGTCTTCTCTGATTCAGATAATTTGTCGGGGGGCTGGGAGAGGCTTCAGGTCCACAATAGATGTAACATGTGTGTATGATATGCTATTGCTGATCACCGTGACCAGGCAACAGATAGAAGAGCTGATCTACTAAACAATTTTTGTGATGCAGCTCATCACAATCTGGTGGATAGTGCTTATGGGATTGAAACATAAGAGGCTTCAGATGTTTCCATGTCGCAAACCAGTAATCAGTGAGGAAGAAATGATCCAGAAGGAGTTGCTGTGGCCCTAGTAACTTGCATATTCCAATGATGTTTCTGTTGTTCTCTGTAGTGTGTTTCATCTCAAGATAGCATGTTCTTGTTTTTCTCTAGTGGTGAGACTGGGGGAAATCAATTAATGAAGATTCTAGAGGTATATATGCATGATACCTCCGCACATTCTCTCCATACCACTTACTGGACTCACTCATCATGTCAACATCAGCAGACATTACATTTGCTCAGACACTCTGGTATTACAATCCAAGCTCATATTCATATAATGGTGTTTTGATTTAGTTTTATAGGTTGGTTGAGAACTATACCATTCTCTCTGCAAATAGTATATATTTTCTTATGAATATATTATAACTACTCAACATTTTCCACAGCAATGTGGCTCATGGATTTTGTCTACACCTTGCCCATGGAATGGAGGGCAATTTGGTCAAAGAAACTCACAGGAACATCGATACTATTCCTTCTTAACAGATATTTATTTCTTGGCTGTATGATTATTGGATTTATAGGGAGCTTTGACTTCTCAAGTATATTAAGGTATTTCTGCAATTTCTGGCTCATTTTCTCCAATAGCTCATGTATTACATGAACAGTTGTAATATAATCTACCCAATAGAGAACACACTTCAAATAGCCTCCATTCAAACCACCAATAGTGATTATCTGAGATTTTGATGATCTCATATTTACTTTGACTAACATGATATTTAGTCCTCTTTGCAATGAGAGTATATGCAATATCTGGACAAAAGAAGACTGTACTTGTGATATGTTGCATCTTGACACTCACTAGATTGGGTGTTGATATATGGGTATCTTACATGATTTTCATTGTTGTACATCAGCATTAACACTAATGAGTATTTGTGTTGTAGGAGGGCACATTGCTCACAGGAATATCCACAAAGGGAACAATCTGTGAATCATTGTCACCATGTGCTTTTTCACTTTCTGATGCAGATGATCAATTAGATGTTATGTGAGTAAAATCATGTGTATACCAAGTAGGCACTGACCCTTTTCACTTTAAAGACGTAAGTGATTGGGTCTTTCAACGCATACCATGCTCTGAACATATCTCAGTTGAAGCAATCACATCATTCTTGGCACTTGCTTTTGACACTATCATTTTCATGATCACCATAATGAAGACATACAGACATGGCAAAGAGATGCACCGGCTTGGCCAGCTAAGTATTGTGCAACTTCTTCTTCAAGATGGTACATGAACTTTATATTTGAAACCACTGATGAGACTCTAACATGTCCCCCAAAACATTTCACATAGGAATATTATATTTCAGGTGAGTGATTCCTTGACACAAAGTGGGTATAGACACTTAATAGGCATAATATTGGAAGTGTTGTATTTATTACAGCAACCTTGGCAGCCTGTCTTGAGATTGTATGTCTACAATATTTGATATATGTCACTATGAACTGAAAATATCAAAGATCTCTATAGTGGCACAAGGAAATGTGAGGCTAACATGGTTCAAGTGGCTTAATGTGCCCACTAACAAAGCACATCTATACCAGCTTTCATCTGCAAACTCTGATTTTGAGGACCTCACGGGAGCTTACTTCAATGTGTAAGATATTTCTTATTCCATCTGATAATGAAATGAATGCAGTATTAATAGTATCATCCTCATAGCCTCCCAAATTTACTCATCGGCCGACTGGTCCTCAACCTCCGCCTCTTTGATCAAGCACCAAATGCACCATCCACAGGTCACCTCCCAGGTTTAAGCTTTGTTCAAAACCGGATCCTTGGCAATATTGGTGCTCCATTGGACCATAGTCAATGGGACAGCCTCATGGACGAAGAAGTTGAGGGGGAGCAGGATGTAAAGCAGGATGATATAGGAGATAGAACTGGAAATGAGCTCAATACTATGATTCCAGTGGTATGCATTTTTCTCACTTCAAGGCAAAGCAGCTGGATTGATGATATATCTTTCAGATTTATGGTGAAGAAAGTGAAGCAATTCAGATGGTGCCAATCACAAGGGATGTGTAATCATAACTGTAAGTTCATGTTAATTTTGATTGGTTTGAGTATTCTGACACTATCACAGCCCCCATATAGAATGAAACCATCTGTTTCAGCATTATGTCTTTCCTTTTGCACCTTCTCTATTTTTCTTGATATTCTTAGAGCATTGTTTCACTTTATGGCATACTGTGGCCCAATAGTGCAAGCTTTGGACTCTACGTTCTTGAGCCATTCAATATGCATATCTTGGTTTCTTGTCACAGGTAGACAGTAGACAGTGTATTTATTTACGGGGGCAGATATATAGCTCGCCATTCTAGACCGATTCATTTTCACATTGTTCAGCGCACAGCAAGCTTGGACCTCAAGGCAAAAATCATCATACACATGAACCTTTATATTTAAATCAATGTCCTAGTCACCTACCACCAAGAAGTATAATTACCAGCTAGTTAGATCCTAGTAAATTCAAGGGGTATAAATAGCAAGATCAGTCACCAGAGTTGAGAGCTAGAGATAAATGAAAATCCCAACCTTCCATATATTGTCTTAGCCTCCTTATCCCAATGAAGTGCATTGCTCAATCACAGATGGGGGACAGCCGTGTTCATCAATGTCAAGCAATGCCTTGTCAGGCAATACAAACTCGGAATCAGCTAAACATCTCAACAATATAATAGTGCATCACATTATTGACATACAGGGTTGTATGCACAATCTTCGTTCGGAAAGCTGTGAAGAGCCACAATGAGGCAATGTGCTTGTCAGTACGCCATTTGGTTCATGTGAGGTTCCAGGTGCATATTTCGAATTTTTAACATACTAGCTGAAACGGCCTTCGGGCTAAACCTAACTCTTTATTTCTCGGCGTTTCTAAGGAGTGTACGCGCCTTACAGGCATTGTGGCCCCAGGTGCCACTTCGACGATGGAGATGTGGGATGGATAGAGGGATAGGCACGTGACCAGTCATGTGGTAGGCACGTGATGGCATGTGACCTTGTGGTCGTGATGTAGGGACATGTGATCAGGTCTGGAACGTTCTAGAATAGTCTTGTGCATGTTGACTCAGCGGTTTGTACCCATTGTGCCCATTGCTGGACCCACTGGATATCCATGAAGGATTCCTGTAGTGTTCACTCGTAGTGTACAGTGAGGGTGTGCCCTAAAGGGTCAGCTCAGGATGTATATAAGAACCACCTGTATCGTAGAATAGTTCCCTAACTCGATCTCCTTTGCTTCTCGCCATACTCAGTGTGACCTTGTGTCCTGGTGTAT